ACAGTACTGTATCATTTATGTGGTCTTCAAGCAGAAGTGTTGTAAAAAAATAAAAATGGTGTCTTATGGCTTAGGGGAGGGGGGGCTACTAAGAATAGAATTCTGCATAGTAATGTAGTTTCAGGTAAATCTGTCAGTTATAACCTCTCTTCACCTTCGTAAAATCTTAAAGATAATACAGCTCTTCTTATTCTTAAACAATAGAAGTCAATATCTTTAAAACATGCAAGTGCTGATAACATGTGACAAAGACAGACAATTGAAATCTATTTTAAACAAATGTTGAATTGGTTAAATAAACAAATTTTGAATGATAAAGTTTTCGCATAACTGATATGTAAAAAGTATATGATTGAAATGTCTTCAAAAATCATCAAATTGACAGGAACATTACACTTCAAGTTTCAGATAATAAGACCTGAATGAAGGGAGTGTTGGATCCTCAGAATTAAGGACACTTCCTGCAAGTATGGTACATTTCAAGATATATTTTCACATGCATATAAACTAGTATAGTTCGGATACTCGAATTAACAAATGAATTTCTTTCAAAATTTAGTATTTCAATGTTTAAGGACAATTTGTTGAACTAGATGGAATATGCAAATATATTTTGTAAAAAACGAGAAAAATCTCATGAATTCTGGCTTTTGTTTGGTCATATCCGGCATCTCGCAATAATTCGACTCCAAACCCAATCAGAAGTTTCAATTTTGAGTGACAATGCATACTACTTCTCAAGTCTCGACCAATATTTCTATGTATACGTTAATAACTGAACCAATGAGTGTTGTCTCAAAAGTGTTGCACTTAATTCTCCACAAAATCAACACACAAAACCATATAAGAAAAGAGCAATGACTTTTCAGATAACAAAATAAGCTTTGACCTCAATAGAAAGAATCTTTTATGTGTTGGTTTTAGTATTATACAAAAGTACAAACTTGTTTGATGCCACTTGAAATATACAACAATTATACATTTTAAAGTTATATTATGTTATAAAATGTAAGATTGACAGAAAGATGGCAGTAGCAGTCTGACTATTGATAAATACTATAACATACATGTTAACAAGTCAAGGAGGATTGGCTCCCAGAGTGCACCACCGATATTCTGTCCCATATATGGTAGCGTGACCTTTGACCTTGTTGACACGTGACAGGTTTCTTTAGCACGGAAGCCATTTTGAAACCTGTGAGGTCAAAGGTCACCGCTACCATATATGGGACAGAATATCGGTGGTGCATTCTGGGAGCCAATCCTCCTTGTTAACAAGTGGTACTTTTACTTTAACTTTAATTTTTGATTTCAATGCCATCTTTTAGTATATGACAATAGCTCTTGAATGTGTACCTTTATCCTGGCTGTTTTGACCCGCCCTGTATATATCATTAAATAACCTTTAAACTTTCACCAGTTTTAAAGGCCCCGTATAAAGTTTAAACCACTTTGGCTTATATTGTAGTCTTACCCAATGTTATCAAAGTGTGATATGTGAAACTTTTTTTTTAAATTCCAAAAAGTGGTTTTTGATAGACTTTTTGTTCCAAAATTTGTGAATTTATTTAAAACCAACTTTTAGAGGTCACTCATATCTTCTTATTAGCCACAATTCATACCAATGCATAGCATTCATCCTCCCATGTTTTTTTGCAGAAAAAATTAAGAAAATCGGTTCATAAATAAGCGAGAAATGAACTTATCAGTGCATGAAAATGGTTCTGAGAAAAATGCATTTCAAAATTTTAGTTCTCATAGAAACCAATAGTACAATGATATCTAAAACATAATTTATTCTTCTTTTTAACCTGGTTAGACAATCATCATTGTTTTTTTATGAAAGTCTAACAAATTTAGAAAAGATTGACATCGAAAAAAAAATTTCAATTTTTTTCAAAAAGTTTTTGGTACCTTAGTGACATCACTAATGTTTCAAAATATCTTTGATATGCTAAAACATTGAAGTGGCACATTAAATATGGCATTTTATTATTGAAATAGTGTGTCCTTTGTTCAACCTTTGCATTGGTGTTAAAAAGATAATCTTTTTTGAAATGCATTAAGAAATATTTGATGATTAAGAAATTTCAACTTCTTTTGAAAAATGGCGGGAAATTTGAATATTTGAGAAATGAAATGCTCACAACTTTTTTTTCAAAAATTTTTTTTTGTTCAAAAATCTCTAAAATCACTTTTTAAGTCTTGACAAATAGTAAATGAATGATAAAAAAATATTTTCAAACTTTAGACGGGGACTTTAACAGTTATGGGCCAGGCCCGTCAGACACTTCTGCCAAAGGGGATGTGGATTTTTACCCGTACCAGAAGTAGTAGTACGATATCAGAGATATAGATCAGGTCCATTATGATCCCTTAATTTCCATTTTTCATCTGAATAGTGAATATGTAGAAGCACACCCTACCCCCATAAATGTGGGGTCGATTAGTCGTTATTTAGATAAAAAAAATTCAACCCCAGGATTTCAATACACAAGAAATTTTGAAAAAATTTGAAAAATCAACCACATATTTATGGGGGTAAGTAGTAAGTAAGCACTGGGTGTAATGTTGTTAAGATCATCCCCTAATGAGAGTAGTAAATGGGTCAAGTGACTATAAGATATAGGAATAAGGTGTATGATTGAAACACCAAAGCAACAAGTACCCACCCTACATTTTGACAATAGGCTTGCACCCACCTGAGAATCCATTTACACCTACTTGAAAATGAGAAAAATTGTGACAAATGGGCATATTTTGACCAATTTTAGTCTGAATTGTGAAATGGAGGATGGATACTGCTGATTGTGGGAATACACAGGCCCAAGTCTTACTTAAGTCATGTTTGACAATTCTCAGTCTCCGAACGCTAACACTCCAAGACCACATAGACTCCAACACTACCAAAACCTCACCCACAACTGAAACCTATTCCAAATTGTGTGGTTGGATACCTTGATGAATTGAAGATGAAAATCAAGACTATGTCAGCAGTTTACTTACCTATTCTCTTGTTTTCTTCATATCAGCAATTATTCAGGATTTATATCTAGGTTTTGAAATTGACCACCATTTTGTCTAACTACAAGATTTCAAATGGCTAACATTTGTGGGGGAGTTCTGCTATTACTAGACTAAATGTCAAAAATAAAAAATTTTAGGCAAAACACCCCCACATTCATGGGGGTATAGCCATAGTGTTGTCGTGATGTGCCATAATCGTACATCGATGCATCGGCAATTTTCAGTAGTAAACATCGATGTACATCGCGATGTACATCGAGAAAAAGTCCGAGAAAAATGCACTGAAATACCGAACGCTAATGCACTAAAATACTGAACAGAACAAATTAATAAGAGTACGCTAGTACATCTGGGAACTTCTAGTAACGGTGAAATGAAAGTAAAGTAAATTGTTTTAGATTAATGGTTTATTTCGACTAACTAAAACAGTTTAAAAGCGAAAGAATATCAGAAAACATCAGAAAATGAAATAAGACATGAGAAAGGTAAGCGATTTGGGTCAAAATAAGATAAGAAAGGGTGATTTTTAGCAAATGAAATTTTTTAAAAAAAAATCGATGTTTTGTTTCAGACATCGATGCATCGCCAGAATCAGCTTTGGCGATGTTCATCGCGATGTATCGATTAATTGCGACAACACTAGTAGATATTAGACTATATCCTATTTAGTCTGAATTACATTCAGACTATAAGGCACCTATGTTAAAGTTTGGTAATCCTAAATATTTGTTTACATAGGAAGTGCTATTCAAAATGGCCGATTGGGTAAAATTAATTTGCACATTTGTTACTTCAACTAGCTTTATTTCCACTTGACAATATGCTGTGTTACTTTTTATTGCATTTAATTGTACCTTACTATTTAATTGAAAGGACGATTCTCGGTTTGGAGAACAGTCTCCTGGGTTAATAATTTTTTTAATGAAAAATATAGAAATATTACCCAAATTAAACTATGAATATTCAAAAGAGGACATTTAAATCTACAAGATGTAAAATTAACAAATTGGTCTGAAGCAGGGATAACGTTCAATTTGACCGATTCAATAAAATACAAGTCTCGATTTGGGGAAAGAAGTTCATCAGTGTACTGCGCTAATATTTTTTTTGCGAAAAATCTAGAAATATTACCCAAATTAAATTATGACTATTCAAAAAAGGACATTCAAATCTATATTATGTAAAAATATCAAATTTGTCCAAAGCAGGGATAATGCTCACTTAGATTGATGAACTTCGTTCTCCAAACCGAGAATCGTCCTTTTGTAATGTTTATTTTATTGAAGAAATGGTTCCTCTAATTGATAATTTTGTGCAAAAAACTTCACTGCAATTTCCATAGGAAAGTAGAGTCCATTTCATTGTTTAACTGCGTCAGTAAAAGCTAAAAAATCGAAATATCATTTTGCAATAATATATGGAAAAATATATTCCTATTGTACATGAATGACATTTGTATATCTAGGATTGCTTCTAGTTTGGCTTTTAAAGTGTGTGGCCTCGTATATTTGGATGCTTCTCTGCCATGTTATTTTCAATAAGATTAACATGGCTGAAATTCTTCAAATTACGGGACGGCACAGGCTTATTGCACAAAAAACTAAAAAATCTGAAATATACAAATGTCATTCATGTACATTATGAATATACTTTTCCATATATTATTGCACAATGGTCTCCCAATTTCTTATTTTTGCCGTTCTACTGACGAAATGAAGCAGTGAAATGAACTCTAGACTAAATGTCAAAAATAAGAAATTTTAGGCAAAACACCCCCACATTCATGGGGGTATAGCCATGTAGATATGGAAGAGGAATTTCGCATTCATAACTAGGTGTATATAATCAGCTTATAGAGTATAGTAGCCTAGAACTTCTCGTGTAGGCCTAATCATGATTTCATGGAGAAAAAAAACAGATGTTAGGCTATGTAGCGCCCTACACTACTCCATATTCCTCCTCAGTCTACTTACCAAACATTGAAATACTGGCCGTGGCATCCATCTCTAGGTCTGTGTAGTTTTTTCGGTTTAATTGTTCATAAAACAGAACAACGTTCGATAAATCAAGAAAAAGTTATTTTCAAATTTTTAATATTTACAAAAACCGCCTGAGATGGCAGTCTCTTGTTTCGTACTTTCTACACTAGAAGTACGAACGAAACTCATTTAACTATAACGATGCACCACAGCGCATCTTCGTTCACTCGGCTCCCGTCGGAACGCAGTGAAGACCGAGCGTGCGAAGATGCCACAGCGAATGCCTCAAGAAAAGTGCTTCAGTCACGATCATGTAGGATACCGATCCAAACACAGTAACACTCTGGATTTTCAGTTTCTAATACGTTCACAAGGGAAACGATGAAAGACCCCCAAATTCCAGCTTGTATACGCCAAACTGCCAAAAAATCTTCACATTTATTTATAGATGGCAGTGATGAAAAAGTGCATTAAGTACCCAGAAACAACCAGAAAGCTTCTTGAACTGGTAAAATATTCTTGCAATTTGCCCCCTCTGCCCCCTCTCTTCCCAAAAGGAAAACCATTGAAAAAATAGAATTTCTTAAGATTGTTTCAATTTCTTTTTCAATTGACACTTTCTAAGTGCCCAGAAATCACCAAATACCATTTTAAAATTGTAAAATTTTCTAGCCATTTTTCCACCAATTTTCTCCCAATAGTAATAGTAACCACCCCCTCCCAAATAATAAAATGAAAAGAATGTATGCTGTTTTTTCTCAGTTTTATTTATTGTCTAACACCAGAAATAACCAACGGAATGTTGTATCTTGGATTGGTCAAATTTCCAAGAGAGAAGGGTCACAACTTTTTCTTGCTCACTCTCCTTAGAAAGTGATTTTTGTCCAGAAAAAAGTATCTTGACTTATAATTCTTAGTAAAATTTTCTAGCATCCCCAAAATAAAAAACAATCGAAAAAATGTTTTATTATTTCCACTGAAACACATTCAGGCCTAAAGTCCGAAATAACCAAATAATATCTTGAATTGGTAAAATGTGGGTGACTTGTTACACAATGCACCCAAAAAGATAGGAAACTCAATAAATCTAGTTATGGGGAGGTCAAAGCCATTTTAGTTTGTTTCGATCCGACAAATTTCAACATTTCAACAATATTTTTGCAATTTTGACTAGGAATGCCTTGGAAGTGTTTAAAAAAAAGATTTTATAAGTTTTGGGGAGGGGGGGGGGGTCAAACTCAAAACTGGATTTAAAGGGACAAAGTGCGTAAATGAATTCTCACTTTTGATCTTCATAGTATTTCAATGGATTAATAAGTACCCGATCTTTCATTTGACACCAAAAAAGCTCAAACAGACCACATCAGAGTTGACACTTGATCATGACAAAATATTTTTGATGTATCAATTTATATATGTCAAGTTTTTAGCAATGCCATAGAAAGATGGCATTGCTGTTTGCATTAATAATTATCAATTCATTTTTGACAGGATTTTCAAGCATACGCCATTTTTTAATCCAAGAGTTATTTAAAACATATATGTACTATTTGTGAAAAGTGGTAATTCACTTTTTTCAATCTCTGAACTTCAAATGTTGTTTTCTATGCAAGTAATTTTTTTTCACTTCAGTATTATCCCAAATTAAAGTTTTATCATATTTGATTGACTGTGTGAGTGACATGTCTCAAACAATATTTTGTCCTTTTTCATTCAAAAATAGGCGCATTGCCTGTTTAATTAGTTTCTTATCCGACGATTAAACTTTTGATGCCTCTCCTTATTCCAGCTTATGCCGAAAATGTTTTCATTTATTTATAGATTGCAATGAAATTATTGTTTGTAAAAAATTACATTAGCCTACAACGTCAGAGACATACAGTGTACTAGGAGGCTGGGGTTGAAGAACGGGTTGAGGGCGGGAGTCCAGCTTGTCGGTGCTCTATATGTCGATCGGGCGTCCTCAGTAAGTTCTGCATCAATGTGGTCGCCCCTGAGAAGCTTAGGGTGTCCAGGTTGTCTAAGGAGGGACGTACAGGTCCAGGGTGGAAACGCAGCAGACAAGTCCCCATATCGAGCAGTAGCAGGATCACGCCTGTGAATAGGCGTCGGCTTGCAGCCCTTCCAATAGAGTTGGACTCAACTCTTTTTTTTTTTTTTAAGTCCCAACCCACAAGATAAATTAAAGATAATACAGACTTGTGCAAGGCTATTTGAGACCCAATAGTTGCATATTAGGCCTAATTAACCTTAAAATGTTAATGACCTAAAACCCATCCTGGATGACTGAGTTACGTTTTTTGGCTCTCATCTTCACCCTGTACAAGCCCATATCATCCAACATTTTTCATTTCGTATCTAAGATTATATTTTATTACTTTGCTCTTTAAATATATAGGCCGTTAGATTACATCTTTACTTATAATGACAAACTTACATACAGCTCCAGACTGTTTCTTCATTTTTTGTATAAAACTCAAGAATTCCCATGTTGCCTTTATTTGTCTACTTGATTGTCAATATAGAGAGACAATATGGGGTATTATCGTATGATCTGTAAAATCAAACCTTCTGATTGGTCAGTTCTTGTGCTGTATTAATCTGTATTGCTACTGAGGTTTTCCCCGTTGATTATCTCCGTCGCAATACATAAAATATTGGTACGGAGGGGACAATCTCAGTAGCAATACAGAGGATCACACGATAAAAACGTCTCGTTCCAATACAAAATTTCTCGAACAGAATATATCCTGTATTGCACTTCAAATCATTCAATAACTTATAATGTAATGCACCTTGAATTAAAATACAATTAATTTGTATAAAAGTATTTTATTAGTTGTAAAGTATACAATTTTATTATTTACATTTAATAGATGTATTTGTCCTATGTTTGTAACCTGGTCATATTTTCACGTACCCTGACTCAGTCATCGCACCATTCGTGTGTACAGTAAAACCCGAGCCACAAATATGTTTCCACTGAAGATAGGTGATCATAGGTAATCACGTACAGAGAGGGTAGTTTATACAGACGTTAGAGTATGTGCAGAGGAAGGGTATCCACTAGAGTTCACTTGAGAATTGTGTTCATAAGACAGGTTTTACTGTATGTTTATACTGCTAAAGAACACATATTTTCACGTATTGACATTTTGAAATACTTCGAAAGCCTAATCAAGTAAAGTATATAATTGCCATACGGTGGATCCGCCCTTTATCGCCGTTTTAATTCGATGTTTTAAAATTAACGAAATAAAATTTTAATTTCCACTTTGGAATCAGATTTTTGGAATTTATATGTTTATGATATATCCTATCTTGAATGTAGCTCATACTATGTACAATAATGTACATGATGTTTCACAATATGTACAATATATTGAATGTATGTATATATGTCAATATGGGCATATTTATAGCTTGATCGTATGATATAAGCCTTATATATTGGTTAAACTTGTAAGGATTATCTATTGTCACGTGGTACATCATCGACCGGGGCATCCTGGGCATGGGCGCCTCCTTCGTTGCGCATCAAGAGGAGTAGAGCTAGCTCCATCTTTACCTGAAAAAGCAAAAAATAAATAAGTTGGTTTTCGTAAAAAATTATATAGAATTCATTTGAAAAAATTGATATAATTCTTCAAGCAAAAAATCGACTCTGCTCTCAAAGTCATAAAACATCTTCCATTGATAACAAAAAGTGCTCAACAAAACTTCGCAATACCGTTTTCTATATGAAACTATTCCATGCGTAGTTAATTTTTGAATGAGATAAATCATGTACTCTAATTTAAAATTCACTATGAGTTATCTATTTCCCTTATTTTGTTCCATAATATTGGCGATTTTCAAAAGGTTGTTAAATATTATGAGAAACGCGTTAAGTGACAGCTAACAAGAATTCTTTTCAAGAACGTACAAATAACAACTCAACCTCTAAAAGCCGATCACGAGAATTATTGAAAATTAAAGTTGCAAAAATCACACTTATAGATTTACCAGAAACATGGGACGTTTACACTTTTCAAAATATTGCCAGAATAACCTTGCAACTGAAGGATTAGGATGAAATAAAGTCAGGACTATTGAACTTTTTAAAAAAGACGAGTTTTTGAATTCGAATGTTGTGAACAAGACATAGTTTAAAAAGTTGCTTAAAGCTTCAAACATAGACATGTTTCATTAACCTACACTTTCATAAGGAATATCTATGTCAAAGTTAATAGCATAGGTAGCCGACCTCTATACATCATAACATAGTAGGTAATGTCTCTTTATAAAAACAATATCTCACCTTCAAGTATGTCTATTAGGAGACGCGCAACTAGTCCAATATTATCTTTCTCGTGTTCCAGCTTTTCTCTCTCTGAAAACAGAACATAAAAAAGAAAAAATTATATAGGATTGCATTAGGTATCCATTTAATAATGAAAGGAAATGGTATGACTTGGTCAAAAGGGCATTTCTTCATACTCCATGCATGTCGAGCAAAAAAGCTGGATGTGAAGGATAAATGGAAGGAAATAAGAAGACATTTCTATGTGAAATGACAATCTTCTAAGTTCTATATTCCATCTCCCTTAATTTCACATACATATCCATTGCGCTTACATCCACCCTATGCAGACAGAGCCTGTGGGAAATATTGGGTGCGGCGCAAATGAGCGGAGGGTGCGGAGCTAACGGTCATTTTTGAATTTAAAATTGGGATATTTCTGAAACTAAGCCGTTTTGGGACTTCAAATATACCAAGATATGTGTATTTGACACCAAATATCAATAAAATTGTGAAAATAGTAGTGCAATTCATTTTATAGCGACGCAGTATGCCTTAAACATTTCCCAGACCTATATATTTTGAGACTATCCTTTTAATACTGCGTCCCCAGCATTCATAAAAAATGGTGTTCAAGATACACTACCCATGCAAATTATTTTTGCATCTTGGAAGCCAGGCAGTATCTGTGTGATTTTATAAAAATTCGGAAATGTTCTTCAGATATGAGCCCCTCTAAATATTGGGTGCGGAGCTACGTTTATGGAGCTGCTCCGCACCCAATATTTAGAGGGGCTCATATCTGAAGAACATTTCCGAATTTTTATAAAATCACACAGATACTGCCTGGCTTCCAAGATGCAAAAATAATTTGTATAGATAGTGCACCTTGAACACCATTTTTTATGAATGCTGGGGACTCAGTATTAAAAGGATAATTTCAAAATATATAGGTCTGGGAAAGGTTTAAGGCACACTGCGTCGCTATAGAATGAATTGCGCTACTATTTTCACAATTGTATTGATATTTGGTGTCAAATACACATATCTTGGTATATTTGAAGTCCCAAAACGGCTTAGTTTCAGAAATATCCCAAATTTAAATTCAAAAATAACCGTTAGCTCCGCACCCTCCGCTCATTTGCTCCGCACCCAATATTTCCCACAGGCTCTGTCTGCATAGGGTGACATCGCGCTGTGATTAATTGCAAACGTATGGAAAGGCATTGGGATCATCTGGGGATCAACTGATATCTGAGAAATCTGAGAAACGAGTTAAAACAATAATACTAAGTGGGTCATCAAGGATGTAACCATGATGCAATAGCACATCATACACAGGCCCGTAGCCAGCTTTTGCCAAGGGGGTTCACTTTTCAAAAAAGCCAAGGGGAGTTCAAATTTGATAAAATTTGCCCAAAAAGTGCTCAGAATAGTCAAAACTGATTTTGAAAGAATCATTGGCCACCCCCCCCCCCCCCGACTACGGGCCTGTAAATTCCAATGTTGCAAAGTCCCAAGTCATGCTAAGTTTACATTGTAGAGAACGTCATTGATCTCCATCAATGTGAATACACTAAGGTCAACATGACAGTAACACCCCACACAAAAGAAGAAAACCCATAACACAACTTTACCACTTGAAACCTTTCCATAAAATTATGAACTGACTTTTTATTGACGAAGATATGTAAAAAACTGTACATAAATCTTTAATTCGCATTTCAAAAAGGGGTACAGCATAAGAGAAATCCAGCTGGACGTCTGTTTATAACTCTTATTGTATAATGTTTGTCTGTAATTAATTACCCCGAAATTAAAATGTTTTCGAAAGGTCATGTAAGGTCAAATTTCATTTTGAAATGTTTTTATAAGATGACTTCAATTTTCTGTTCCTTCGCCAATTCCTTCGATCACTTCGTGGGTTCAATCCCCACTGCGGTGGACTGACTTTTCACACCAACCCTTAGCACAGGATTTAATTCTGTGTTTACATGTACAGTATATTAAATAATTTGAAAATAATTTGAAAACAAAGTGTAACAGACGTTCTGAGGTTTGAAACAAGTGGTAAATATTGAATACAGTAATAAAGTGTGGAGGGGTTAAATCATATTTTACAATATTTCTCATGCCGTAATATGGTACGTCCAACCATCAACAAATAACCCTCCTCAGGGAATAGTATATTTATATTCTTTCTGTTTGGAAAAATACCTTTTGATTCATGTTCAAAGTATGAAAACCAAGACGTATACATTCCTACGGATTGCTACAACAAAAGACTAGAATAACTTGGTATTTTACACGTACCTTCTTGAATGTATTTTTGAGCGGCTTTGAGTTCTTGTATTCCTTTCTTTAAAGTTTCTTCTGTGTTAACATCCTTTTCTATTGGTTTATTTAAGTAACTGTCCTTCCCACCAGATTCACTTCCGACGGATTCACCTTCCGTCCGTTCATTCACCGGGTTAGCATCTTTGTTAGCTCCATTTCCTTTTTTCAGAATGTTTAAGTATTGTTGAAGTATGTTCCTTAAATCTCCGAGTTCATGTTTTTGTTGTTGGTCAGATTGCACGAGACCAAATGTTAATATACAGCATAGGAATCCTAGTTTAAAGTATAAATCCATTTTTTCTGAAATAGAAATTAAACAATTTCTCTACATTTTTAGTTAAAATATTATATTAACTTGGCTGTAATTATGCAAGTCTAGAAAATATAACAAGATTGAGAGTGGCTTGAACTTTACTTACATATAGCGGTGTATCTTCACTCTTGTTTCTGTTCAGTTATTACGAATTACAATAATCAAGTTAAATCTTTATTTGACTTTTATTCTTTTTAATGTATATTATTAACCTCAGAAAAATCCGGAAGCAGTTGTTTCCAGAAGAAAGGTATGACCAACGTCCAATGAAGTCTAACAAGTGTTAACACCCACTCTTAACCATGACAACGAGCAGGCTTTTTATCTGATAATCCACAATCAGTAATCCAGTCAACTGTCACAATCAACTCCCACAAGTTAACAAACTACGAAGCTCCATTGGCCATGTCGTCCTTTTAGGTAATTTATTCATTTCATTAGGCCTATATTATATCTGCATTGCAAATATTTTACTTTCTTGCTTGGCTATTAACCCACCACGACATTCTGCCATCAATGATTTTTTGGCAAGCTGACGTTCAGCTGGGATCCAGATTTAAAACCATGTTTAAAAAACGCACATTTAACTCATGTAGTAGTATAAAAAACGTTTGGTTTACATATGGTCTTGTTACTTTGCCTTTAGTAAACAGTCTTCTTATCCTTCAACTTCTTTTTTTCACAAGACATATTTTGCAGATCTTTAAGTAGCGCAAAGATATTTCCTCCAAATGATGAGGGTTTCGACAATAAATTCAATTTTATGAGTTCAACAAGTTAAGGCCATCTTTCCTCTCGCTTAACACTCAAATTAAAATGCCAATACCTGCAACAAACTTATTTGTTGGAACTAGAAGCTTCTGGAATCTTTAAGGTAGACAAAATACACTTGGGAAGATTAATCTATATTACAACAATATACGTAAGGATACAGGTGTAGCGTGGGCTTGCAAGAAATCCAAAGTGATCTCAATACATGAATAAAAAAGCCTGAACAAACAAACCTTTTTGGCAAAATTGAATTCGGATTTAGTATCAAAATTTGATGAACTAGTGTGTGTAATTAAAAATAAACCAATGATTTATGACTCAAATACGCACTTATTAACCCTATCGTCACAAATTAAGGTGTCGTTAAAAAGGATCAGATCTAGCGAGTAAGCTTAAAAGTTGTTTCAATTTTAAAATAATTTTTGCTCATATCATTCCTTGTCATGTCTATTTTCTAAAACTCCCAAAACTGCATACTTTACTTGCGTAAAACTAAAGATTTTTACAATAATGTATTATATTTCTATAATTATGGTTACCATTTTATTTTTTGGGAGAATTTAAACATTGCCCCATTTTTGCACTTTGAATTCTTAATAACATCACTAATTTATAACACATCACGTATATTTTGGGAGGAATTGTACGAGTATTTGAGGAATTGGTGGGTCAAATATACATTTTGTTTGCGGTTTTATCACCCCCTATCTGATTCTGCCTTTAAACTTAGGTTCTTGCCAATAGCTTATATTATCAGGTGAATGTTAAAGTTCATAAATAAATTCAATTTGTCAATAATACCCCCTCTGTTTATTGGTGTTTACTGCTATATTTCCAATTGAGATAACTGGGGGGGGGGGTAAATGTGCATTATATGGTTTACATGTTTTTCCAATGTGTCCCACTGAGTTTGCAGGAAAATAAATTGTCGAAAACTCTGTCTGAATTCAACCACAAAAATGTTAGCCAAAAATATATTTAGGAATCCAAAACGTTTACCCGAATCAATTTGTCATGTTTTATCAATTATCACCGTCGTGTTGGTCTTGGGGGAGAGAGGAGTTTGCGCTCTTCGGATATTTGTAATCTAACTTAGGCGTTGAGATGGTAGTATTTTTGAATTATTGCACCAGTAGCCATTACTTAGGTTAAGATAAGATTATACTATTTATGCTTCACTTGGGGATCTAATGGGATATTGAAGTGAAAATATTCTCATATAGCATGTTTAGGCTTTCTTAACTAAAAGCAGTGAGATTTACTAGTATTATTTTGGCATATAACTTATAGTACAGCCCTATTATCACTGTGTCATTGCCCTCATGGTCAAAGTCTGGGTCTAGAAAATCAGTAGTAAATGAAGCTATTATTTTGAAATTATGATTAAACATTGGTAAGGGAACCACTGACAGTTAACATAAGATATGAGTCATACGAGCTTCCCAAAGAACAGAGATGTAACTTGAAGCATTTGCTTGACTTCATTCGGTAGTAGTTCAAGTTTCATAAACAAAGTGTCGCATTGTTAATAGCATGCTTAGATATGCCGTTTATCATAATAATTCTTTTGTATTTTATTTAACACTTTGTACGCTTTGCAATGTCTATTTTGCTAAGCATCCATTGTTTTTTTTGAAAATTGTTACACGAACGAGTGTTTGGCTCCATAGGCCACCAGGGACAAATTTCCCATTAAAAAATAGAACCCATTAACCTAACATGTAGCAAAATATACGAAACATGTCTCTCTTTTATTGCATTCGTAAAGGAACGTTCCTTGACACCACTTCTCTTCTCATTTTGTCATACTTTATCAAAATGCGTCATTGCTCTTTCAATCTTTTGGAAAGAAGTCAAAACCCTTGGGCCAAGGATGCACCTGACACCTATTATAGTTAAGGAGGGGAAGGGTCCCCATGCAACCAAGCTAAATAAATTTTTAATTACCATTTTTCATACCAATAGGATGCCTACTTTCAGAATATTGATGTTAACATTCCTATCAACTTGTAATGTCCCATGGCGCCCATTATTGAAGGATTATACCCCCAGGATTCACCCCTATTGGGGGCACATTTTGATTTCTTCGACATCATTATAAATTATTTTCATTCATGAAAAACATAGACAAACATTGATAAACCATTTTAAGAAAGATTTATACAATATACAATTATAATATATTAGCAGAAAGTGGTTATTCCAGGAGGCAAAATTGTGGGGTGTTTTTACACAATTATGGATATAACTTTTAAAAGCAATAATAGAATTCATGTCAAGAGCTTAGGAGTAAACCTAGATATAGTAATCCTGGAGAATGATCTGATGCGAGTAGAAATAATTTTGATTCACGTCATTAAATATTCAAAATTCCGTCAAGGTGATGTCATATTTGAAATCTGCATGTAAAAGTACACCTAGAAATATGGTTTCGAAATTGTTTATTTTTTGAAAATGTGACTTATAGCTCGGGGAGATTCCCCATAGACCCCAGGTTATAAAATTACAAAAAGTGAAATATCTTTTCTTGTATAGGACAGATTTTCTTTTAATAGACATATTTCAATTTGCATAACTATTAGATACATAAGGGTGATATGAAAATTGAACTCCTAAAACAGATGAATATTTAAGTTAAGGGAACTTTCTCCTATACCCGCAATGCTATCTGACCTGAACGAGCCACCTGGTGATGAAACTGCTAACTACCTACTCGCATCTGAGTTATTGCAGTATTTGCTTCACTAGTGCCTGAGAATAAAATGATGCATTTTCAATAATTGAAAGATCAAATGGATGGATTTCAAGTTTACCTACACAGAAGATGCACATCGTTTTAAAAAGATGGACAAAATTGAAATCAGTAAAGAATGTTTTTTTATTTAAATTATTAGAAGCAAGAATTTGTTACAGACACCGACCGCCGTCACAAAAAGTTTGAGTTGAAACTAATTAAAAAATTGTTTAGCTTGGGTGCATTAGAAGCCCTCTCCTTCCTTCTTAACTATTATCATAAATTTTTCCATATTTAGGAAAACACGGGGAAATCACTGGTGATCCACTCGATTACGCTGGTTACCGAAACGGTTCGTTTCGGTAACAAAATGTCGGAACATCGAAGGTACGATTTTTCTTTTTTCCTTATTTCACATGTTGTAGGCAGAATTCCCATGACATTTTTAACACAAACGTGTATCAGTATCATATGTTTAAGAAAATGTACATATTTGCGAACAAATAGTTCAGAAGACAACAGAATCGTCTATTTAATTCCTCATTTAAGTTACAGAAACGGTTTTTCGAAAAAACAGTTAAGATCTGCACTTAACCCAGACCGTTTATGTAACTTAAGTGAGGAATTAAATCGACGATTCTGTTGTATTCTGAGCTATTTTTCCGCAAACATTTACATCTTCTCAAACATATGATACTGATATACGTTTGTGAGCAAAAACGTCGTGAACATTCTGCCTACAACACGACATTTTGAACCGTTTGAGTAACCAGCGTAATCGAGCGGATCACCAGTGGAAATGTTTTAATATGGTCAGTATAATGATCATGAAGTGCTTATAATGCCAGTAAGCTGCCATCTTTTAAGATTTCATACAGAACAGTTGATGTTATCGTCTCTAAACTTTTATAATCTTTCCCACAGTATTCAGTATTACAGTATAGGAAAGTAGCACAAAATCACTTCAAGACAACTGGCCCTTTACTTTCTGTGCAAAAATATTTTCAGGGTTTGTCAGTTTGTCTGTCAAGAGAATTTCAAAAGGGTTAAATCAGAAATTGAAAAAGAATACTAGTATCGAGCACACTGTTTTGAAAATCTTAATAGCTCCTTGCCCAATGCTATATGCAAAGTTGAGAGTCGGTGACATCACTTCCTGTGTGAAAACTTAAAATATTGTAGCCTACTGGATCGGAATAGAGCACTACATTTTTAAGAGATCAATACTGACCATATTAAAAAAAAGTGTTTTGCTAAATATTGAAAGTATAATACAAATATATAACTACCATATTTGGAGAGAGATGGTCTGACAAGGAATATCCCTTTAAGTTCAAGCGCTAAAGCACATTTTTGGTGATCCTTTCTGATTTCACTCTTATTGATTACATTAATAAATTCACATTTGAGTTGTCGTTCTGCAATGAATTTGATGAAACAAAAAGAATCACGCTTGAAGAGTTGATACTTAGTAATTAAACTCTACGGGCCCCTTTACATTAGATCTAACACAATCGTTTACTTTCCGACACTTAGATTAAATTGTGAATTGTTCAACTGTTCGTAAATACTCTTGTTTCAAAAAGTTTACAAAAATGTAAGTCCAAACTAGGTCCAAAGCAATATGATAACATTCCAACATTTTAAAAGTCTATTTCTTTTAAAGTAATCGTAGAAAAACGTGTCACTTACCAGATGGGGTATTAAATCAACTGCTTCCTATCTAATCACTCCTACATTGTGTCTAGCCCAGATTATGCTTCAATCCATGCATGACATGCAAATCAGAAGAGTCGTGTATTTATCGGCTCGTTTCACTTTATGGCTCGGAAACTCTGAAATTTGTCCTCCCAACAGTGTAATTCAATGTGTTTGAGAAAACCCGCCCTATACAGCATCACCAGCGAGACACTAAACAGAACGTTAACCGTAACTCGGTACTTGTCAAACTGAACAAGAGAATGAATTTCTCAGAATGAAAGAAACCTAATAAGCAGCCACTTACATGTCCCTATAAGATTCTAACTAAAAGACAGTTGGATAAACACATCATAGGGGGTCCATTATATGTAAAGTTGCTTTCTGTTGATAGAATGGAATCATGCACTGTCCCTGGGGATACTGTACAGTTTTGTGGGTTGGTCCCAAGTTAAAAATGGACAATAGGGTCAATTCTCGAATACCGTAAAATCTCTTCAGAATAATGTAAATTGATCAGGTTTTCTTATGTTGCCTCTAAATGTTGCCCTCTGTACTTTGTGATCCAGGGAGCACACACACACGCTGCAATAACGACAAATTGTCGCACTACTGAAGACCATGACCTAATCTCTACCACGCAGATCCATATTTTTCTCAAGTAAATAGTTCTGTGAGTTCATGCTGGGAGTAGTATGTTAATTGACACGGGTAAGACGATATGTATTTTGTGGCAGAAGACAGAGCTAATCTTACTGTGTATGTCATCTACTGACAAATTTCATTCTAACGCATGCCACCTGTTTAACCCTCTCACACCAAAATTCAGTGATCAGTCAACACTCATAATATTCTTTGTATATCGCCAGACGCTGAAGGGTTAAGAAGATTTAGAGCCATCTTAAGAACAATAAAGACATGTTCTAGCAGTAACCATTTTTCATAATTTTGGATTTCTTGAATTTGAACCTCATATCATGCCTATATAATATTGAATTTGAATGTATACCTATTCATATTGAATTTGATTAGATACCTATATCATATTTAAATTGAATACCTGTATATCAAATTCCATATCAACTTTAATTTGATTGCTTGTCTATCAACTTGAATTTTATGATATGCCTTTATCATATAAACTTGATTACATGCCTATTTCAAATTGAATTCGATGACATGCCTATTTTATATTGGACTTAATTGCATGCTTACATCACATTGAACTTGATGACATGATTATAAATATTGAATTTGATTGCATGCCTATATCATGTTGAACTTGATGGCATACTTAATTTTATTGAGTTTGATTATATACTTGTACATCATATTGTAATTGAATTTGATTGTTTGATTGATGAAATGCCTATATTATATTAAACTTGATGACAATCCTATATCATATAGATATATTAATTTGATGACATGCCGATATAATATCGAATTTGATTACATGCCTATATCATGTTATACTTGATCACATACCTATATTATTTTAAATTTGGTTACATGCCTATATTATGTTGAATTTGATGACACGCCTATGTTAAATTGAATTTAATTACTTGCCTATATCATATTGAATTTGATTATTACATTTTGTATCGTATTTTGATTGTCTATATCAAAAACTTGAATTTGATTACATGCCTATATTATGTTGAATTTGATGATATGCCAATATAATGTCGAATTTGATTACTTGCCTGTATCATATTGAATTTGATGACATGCCAATACAATATCGAATTCGATTACATGCCTATATCATGTTGAATTTGATGACATGCCAATGTCATATCGAATTTGATTACATGCCTATATCATGTTGAATTTGATTACATGTCTATATTATATTGAATTTGATTACATGCCTATATCATGTTGAATTTGATGACATGCCAATGTAATATCGAATCGCTTACATGCCTATATCATGTTGAATTTGATGACATGCCAATATAATATTGAATTTGATTACATGTCTATATTATATTGAATTTGATTACATGCCTATATCATGTTGAATTTGATGACATGCCAATGTAATATCGAATCGCTTACATGCCTATATCATGTTGAATTTGATGACATGCCAATGTAATATCGAATTTGATTACATGCCTATATCATGTCGAATTTGATGACATGCCAATGTCATATCGAATTTGATTACATGCCTATATCATGTCGAATTCGATGACATGCCAATATAATATTGAATTTGATTACATGTCTATATTATATTGAATTTGATTATCCCTGCATCATGTTGAAGTTGATGACATGCCAATCTTATATAATTAGATAAATTGCCTATCATATTGAATTTGATTATATCACATCTGTGACGTTTTCAATTTGATTGTCTGTCTATTTGAACTTGATGACATGTCTATGCCTACATCAAACTATATTAAACTTGACGGCATGCCTGTATCGCATGTATCATGTTGAATTTGACCTTCTCTACCGAATGTTAACTAGTGGGCAGGTTTTGGAGGCAATTATGATGTCTATTTGCCTGGCAACCTCTTTCAGAACCACGGGTTGTCAACGAAAGATTTGTCCGGCTTGTTGCTCGCATTGTTTCTTCCTGCTTGTTTCTTTTCACTTCCTCCTCAACGGGGATTACCTGGACGCTGTGATCGTTTATCGGGTCTGAGTTGTCCGGCGTCTGACGCGGTTTTATTTATTTATTCACCTCTCTGCGTTGTGTTAGAGTTGGTGACAACCTCAGTCTATATTGATTGGTCTTACACCATTTTCTGATTCTTTCGCAACCTTCGCATAAATCTCGTCGTCCGTTATCTTTGCGAAGGTCATTATCCGTTGTGTTCTGCCTATGGGACAAGTCTTCCGCCCCCACCCCCTCTTGGGTCTTCCGGGGAGTATTCGCTAGTTTGAACTGTGGCTTGCATGTTATATCATATCAAATATGATTGCAAGTCTTTGTAACATTTGACAGGATCCTGTTTAGTATAAGATGTGTTGCAGAATATTAATGGCATGCCTGTAGATCATACTTAATTTGAAAATTTGTCAATTGTAATAACTTGTTAATTGATATAATGTTCCAAGAAACTAAATTACTTTGGATGGTTAGACTTTTTAGAGGTCAGGATGGCTTATTTGTTACTGTGGGGTGATAAATGGACGAACCTGTGGTAATCCCACAGCTACTCTTTATTCAAGTCAGGACAGATGAACACATTTATCACTATACAATGTGTAATCGTTTTAAACAGTCCGGCGAACATCCCCAATTAATAGGAAATACCCAGGCGACCCATCAATTGATTTACATAGACCGGTGACATAATACTGTGGCTGGGAGCTTGACTGCAAATTACACAAGCGCACTTGATTGCAGATTTAAAAAACAAAAAGAAGGTCTATCCGACTTTTACAACTAATGTAGATTAAATTACTACTATTTATTCAAACACATTTTTTAAATGAATTTCAGTATTCACATACAAAAATTAATGCAACTTTACTGGGTCGAATTTTATGATGAGTTAAATTTTATGATGCGTACAAATAATGTGATTCAATCATTCAACGCTACAAGAGATTGGTCTGCAATCCATAACTAAGCAAAATTAATCACCCCCAAAGGATAGTTTGCAATCCCTTGGGCCTCATTTTCAGGAAGAAAACCAGTATTTTCATGATGCAGTAAGTGTACATAATGTATTAATTCATCAAATATCTCATTGATCAATACCGATTTATAATTTATATATTCATTAATTACTTTGATGCAGCCGACTGTATAAACTACGGAAAGTTTGACAAATACTTTCTAATTTGATCCCGACCTATTGTGTGCCCTGATTGAATTTTATTATTTAATAAGGTGTTATTTTGTTAGTAGCTCTTTTATAAACATAAGGAAATGGGATGGTCTGACCAAGAGCACGGTGTCCAACCCAAACGCTCTTACACACACGACGGATCGTTTCATTACTGAAACTAAACAAAGGCTCCGGAGTAGGAAAAATGGTGGGCGGCAATGATGAGCCGTCTGACGATTTCCCCAATAATGGAAATAAGAAGTACAACCCCTCCATAAGTTTGGCAACCTTAGCTCCCCCATTGAACTACGTGTTAAAGCCTCTTTAGTGTACGTTTAAACATTTATTTACTTAACCGGCGATGAAATAACTCATAATATTGATGGAAACGTAACTTGACTTTAATTCCAATACCTCAAAATTTTCTCAATTTTTTCCTCAATTACAATAGGTCGAAAATTGATGATAAATTTGATGACTTTTTGAAAATCGTCATTCCCATGTAATCCAATGGTTAATGGAGGGTTCGGAGCAAATCATCAGAAATCAGGATATCTTTTCAGTAAAAGATTCAGCAAAAAGTATTTTTATATAGAAAATGGAAATGTCCAACTTTTTTGTACACTAAGTGTTTAGTTAATTTGATGAATACTAAAGTTACAGCGCTTCAAAGTCATTTTTGAAAATAATTTTTCGCCTCTTGTGTTATTTCAATGGGAGAGGTTTTTTGAAAAACAATTTTGACTTTAAAGCCCTATAACTTTGTTGAACCTGAAGAAACATATCAATTTTTGTGAAATAAAGTTATCAAATTTAATTGCCTGCCCAACTCGTATTTTTTGCAAGGATTTGGATGGATATTCTCTCATGACTTGCGGCAAACTTCCATTTCCCATTGGTTAACATGGGAATGTCGATTTTCAAAAAAATCATCAAAATCATCAATTTTCGACTTGTTGTAATTGAGAAAAAAATGAGAAAAGTTGGAGGTATTGGAAATGAAGTCAAATTACGTTCCCATCAATAGTATAAGTATTTTCAACGCAGGTTAAGTAAGTAAAAATTCAAAGGTAAAGAAGCTTTAACACGTAGTTCAATGGGGGAGCTAAGGTTGCCAAACTTATGGAGGGGAGTGTATGTGCTACTTAATTCGAGTATATCATTCGATGGGTGTGATATTCATGTTGTACTTGGTTGGCCGTTGACGTTTGACGCAATTAGGAAGAGCTGTACGAAGCAGTATAGTTATCAAAATTCATAAACGCATTTGTCATTCTACCGGTCAAACCCCCTTTTGTCGAGAGACGTGATTAGTTGAGTCAAGATTAGAGCATCAGAGTATATTTTGGACAAATTCCAAAGCTCCAACACACCATATATTATCGTAATTGTGATTTGATGACCGAAAATCCAGTCTTAAAAATGATGACATTCTGATGACATATTCAAGAAACTCTGAGATCTGGTTAACACAGTGAACTGGAAACACTGAGGTACTAGTCTAGATATGTTTAGGAATTAACTTGACTTTCCTTTTCAGGAAGAGAAAGAAAAGATCTATTATACCCCTTGGCATCAAAAGAAGAAAGATTAATTCACACATAAACTTTCTGTTTTGTTGTCAATAGTTTTAGCACACATGTAGGCATAACATCACCTAATGTAGGCTTAAGTCGGCTTGCACGTATCGCACCACCACGTTGGGACGTTTCAGTTTGCCTAACAAGTACAACACATAGATTCGATTCCGAACTCTTCTCTAATAATAAATAATCTGAAAATAATATCAAAACAAAATGGTAAGAGCATTTCTAAAATTGTGTCCAAAATCGACGGAGCGTTTCGGGGAAAACAAGCGATTTCTCGAAAACAAGTAATGGATTTGGACTGGGATTTTAGCAAATGAGAATATACGAGTTTGTGATGTACTACTTTGACAGAAAGATTGACGTTTTCATATAAATACTAGTTTAATTCGTAATTTGTGGTCAATTCGTCAACTTCCTCGTTCGATCTACACTACGGAGCTTTGATCAAGCCAATAACAGTTTACCACCAGAAGTTAATAAGATCTTTGCTCAGGGTATTATTCATCGAATGGTACATAATATGTCACCATAACGTATGATATGTAAGTGAAACAGTACTTACGGTCATAGTTGGATCTTCATTAGCCGCCATTTTATTTCGCTCCGCAGCGTTTCCGCGTGAATGAAACGCACCGTCGTGCATGTAAGAGCGTTTGGGTTGGATACCGTGAAGAGGCATCTGGCCTTCCCCTCTGGCTGACTGTTATTCCCTTTGACAATATCCCGGGGACAATATATAGATGAGTAGGGGAGTAGCTTTCAATCAGGGGAGATGCGATCGTGGCATAAGCGAGCCAATAATTTTTTTCCTTTAAAATTGAGCTAGAAGCTTCAAATAAAAAACATTCACTACGCATATGGAAGTCGCCTATGCATCGCTTGCATCAGCCCCCCCCCCCCTCTCTCTCTACACGTATATACGTATATCCACGGAGATATACTTGACTAATGTCTGAGTAATTTCATTTTCAAAATGATGGCACAGTTTGACTGGCGCAGGTAAGTCAAAACTAGAATGACTCATCTTTGTTTGCTCGGATGTCTCAAGCTGAACCAAAGCAAGCGAAGGTGAGACTGACTGACATAACTCAACTACGTACATTCTATCATGATAAATGTCGCATTATCCTGAAATCCTACATTTTCGTTTAAAGATTTACATTGAGAAAATGGCACTATTTCACAATATTGCTGGAGTCCTATCAGGGACAGCCAATACATGGACGTCTTCTTCTGTATGTATTTAACTGCGAGTCATCAATATCTGGAAATTAGAATGAAGATTACTTAACTTATATACATAATAGTATTTAAATCAGGAAAGTACTGATACTATGATATATGTTAAAATGACACGTGAAAATTGACAAAGTGATTTATTTTCACTCGGAGAGACAACTACTTGCAATCATTACAGACCTAAGATTCATCCGATTTATAAATAAACGAGGGGAAAACACGAGTTTCAAACTTAAGACATACTAACAGTACTACTTATTTATTAATATAATTCAAACAACAAACGCGTCTTTTGAAGATCTATTGAAACCCTGTCCAAGCTACTAAGAAAATAATAATATTTCATAAGATAGTACCCTATCTTTATATTCAGCCTATAATAAAAAACGCTTATATCCTTTCATTAATTATATCTGGTTTGAATCATTTAGATTTATCAAAGTCCCTCTTCAACTGATTCCGACACCCACTATCTTTGCTCTCTCCCGAAGATAGTAAAGGCTATTGAAGAACCCACGGTGGGTTTGAATGGATTCTGTGATTTTGTAGACTAAAGGATGGATGGTGGATGTATAGAAAAAATTGAAAAACATCATCTAAATTTCTTTGTTTAACATATTGAGCAAAACGTTGTTCGACATATCACTTAATTGCCTTTAATTTTTAAGTTCCGGTTTGTGTAAGACCAGGGGTCAACTTAGGCCAGTATACGGCGGGAGGTCAGCTTCAGAAACCCGGTGTGAAAGAAATTATGGTCCCCTGGGGATTATGGTCCCCTTTCTAAACGGCCCTTACTGGCCCTAACTGTGTATAAATAATAAGGAAAATAATTGTAATTAGGTCACCATATAAATCAATAGAAAGTAGGACCAAAATTTGAGAGGACCATCTACCCTTTTACACCAGGTTCGTTCGTCTATGATATAAAGAAACGTTTCAAATGTTAATGTGACTTGTTTTGTCTTACCTCCTTTTACTATGTCTACAAGTATACGAGCAACGAGACTGAGTCGTTCCCTCTCTTGACCAAGTTCCCGTCTCTCTGAAATGATTGTAAACAGCGGTGGAATACAACATAACGGATAATTGTGAACAACGTTGAAATACAACGTTACGCATAATTGTGAACAACGTTGAAATACAACGTTACGCATAATTGTGAACAACGTGGACATTTTGTGAAAAATCTCCGAGTTTGACCTTTGGGAACCTATCTAGCAACAGATATATGTGAACAACGTTGAAATACAACGTTGGCATAATTGTAAACAACGTTGAAATACATGAACGTTGACATATTTTTGAACAATGTCGACTTTATTATGAAAAATCGTTACAATTAATTAACCTTATTGAATTCCCAGAATGACGGATATTTTTGTCACAAATAAAACTCCTTTGGAACCCAGAGCAACAAATCTTTGACAATTTTTATCCAATCTACTCAAATTATGTTTTAAAAGGTATGCAATGGGTCTATGTTTACCATTCTTATAAATATCCATCAATTATAAATTTTCTGCTTAAAATAGAAGGACGAAGATTATGATATTACAAAACAAAGTAATATTGGCTACTTATTATCTTGTTTACCTTCAAGGAGTTCAGTCTTTTCTTTTTCAAGTTCCTTCATAGCATTGTTCACCTCAGTATCAATATGTTTTGACACATCGTTGTCAACTATTCTTTCTCCCGTTGCATCGTCAGTAGAAGCTTTCAATTTGCCGTCTTCCTTTCTTTGTATGTTGTCGCCTGTATCTGGGACTTTATCATTTAGTCGTTTGCGATATGCTTTTAGTAGTTCTATGAGGTCTCGTTCATCGTTATCTGGTTCGGCAGCCTCCAAATATTGGACACTAGCGAGTCCCGAAAGAAGGATTAAAAGTATCCGGAGTTCCATTCTGAAATTAGAGGATGCTTGAAGATTTACTAAGAGTGTGTCTTAGTTTGTTTAAGTGGTGGTAAGATTATATGATTCATTTATATATGAGGATAAACTTTGCCCAGGGCTGGGGGAGGTCTGCTCGAGCTTGGATTCCGATGGCTGTTCAATTTATATATGTCGCATAAAAATATTTCAATGCAGCCGTGTGTGTTAGTGGTCGCTATTTACCGAAACAGACATGACACATTAGGAGTAAATCAAATTTTTTATGAAAACATATTTATTCTAGTTAGTTCTAATTATCCAAAAAGAGATAAAAAACAAATTGTCCCAAGTAAAAACTGATATCATGATATCTTACCTCTTGCTAGCGACTTCTCCAAACTAAGTTCTGGTATATGTTTCCTTGGTTCTGTCTTTGTGTATTATCTCTCCAGTCGGAAATACAGGCTAAGTGGCTTGATAGTCACTTAATTAATGTCTTGTTGTTTTTTGTGTCACGTTGTATGTTTTGTAAGGCCTAAATCGGCAAATCTGAGATTGAAAAACCCTTACTTAAACTAATTTTGTGAAATACATTTTATAATCCAGGGCGATTTGATTTTTGCCGTGGTATCGTCCATTTACAATAATGTTACTTTAAGCTTTGTAAGCATCACAATGCCCCCATACAATGTACTTCAAATCTGAACGAATTGTCACCTATAATAAATGAATATACTTAACAAAAACGAAGTTTTTTTAATGTCTTTGCTTAGGAGCATATATTTATATACGAAGATCAAAAATCATGAAAAAGAAAAGGCGTGTACCGATTTTCTTTTTGTACGAATTCGAAAGAAGTCATGTTGAATGTGCTGTTTAAATAATTTTCTACATTGCATTTATTGAATAAAAACGCATACAATCCATGTTTGCCAGCAGTCTCTAAAAGTAAAACATTATTGAAATGAATATATACGGGTGGATTATAGACAAGATTAAAAGAATTCGTTGAACACACACTATCAATACAAAAAGTTGTCATTTACAAAAAATATAAAAGCTTTTTAGCAAACAGAAGGGATTGATACGCGACCGTCTGACACTAACGTGAACTAGTATTTACCATGTTTACATAATTTGTGTGTATTGACTCCTACGCAGATCTATTTGTTGGTTTACCCATCCTCATGAATTGTCCTCACAGAGATCCTAACTTTAACATAATAATGTTTTCATGCGCTCAGTTTATTTCAGCTACTTATGATCACTTGGAGTGGTGTTCAACTATAACACCATGGTCCAATTTGAAATTGAAGTACAGTCTATATTAATGCGACAAAAATCTTAATGTAACATAATCGTTTTTCTACACTTTGATAATTGTCATGATTGATTTTTTCTTTTTCATCTCATACCAGAACTCCTACTCGCATTGAACAAATAGCCAGTGGCGAGTCCCATAAATAAAAATATTTTAGTATGAGGACCATGTTGAGCAGAACTGGACTGGGGGTATACTTATTTTCTATTATAAAGACTTACTTTTTAGTGTCCTGCTGATTCAATAATATATCAAAAATGACATCATTGACATCCGAGAATTTGTTTAGAAGGTGCTTTAATTCTGAGGTTTGGTAGTGCTCTACTACAGTATGGGCCAAAGTGTGAGACTTTGTTATAAATTACTAGTACAATAACGTCATTTCCGCGGGCTATATTGCCCTTCGAAATGACGTTATTAGTATTATTACCACCGTTATTCGACCAGGGCTGAAATAGCAGGAAAATCTTACACACTGAACGATATTTAATTTCCCGGGGAAAATTGCCGGTCATTAATTGCATTATTGACTGCCATTATGGACCACCACTATGACGTCACATATTGCTCAGGTCGATATGGTAAAATGAATGCCTTCTAAACTAGCACTAAAACCCCTAGAACTGACCCGGCAAGGTGGTAATAATATTGATTTTTTCAAACTGATGCAGTTCGTATTATAATGACAAACGTCATCAGAGATAAGTTCGTCTTTGGAACCCAACCTGCCAACGAGTACGACTATATCTTGTCTTTTTCTGAGTCCTAACTGAGTCTTGGGTTGGGTAAACCTTTTAAACAGGACTTGTTTCTTTTCCCTTATTCATTTAAAAAATCTAAAACTGCGTAAATTGGAGATCTGACAGACGCCGCTAAACAGATTAGAGTGTATGCAAATATTAAAGCTATAATTATGATATGAGAATAGATGGCATCGCGTTTTGCTATCGATGGAACGTTGATTGATTGATTGATTGATTGATTGATTGATTTCAATTGATTTCTGCATATAACAAGAATAATATGTAAATGAAAGTTTAAACCATGATTATAAGGTCAATGATCGAACGTCAAGTGATCGAGACGCTATATTTGGTATACGGATTTAAAAGATCAATCCATCATGTATATAACATTTTTGCAAAAAGTCATCAAATATTACTTTATAGAATGATATACGACCACTGATATTCATGGGTAATTCCATGTTTTTCAAGTATACTATATTAAATCTATTCATGAATAGACGTGGCGTATTTATTACCTTAACGCAAATGCATTACCGAAATTACTGAGACATGCTATTAGGAATTTTAGGTGTCCGTGCGATCAATGAGTATACGCGATTATACACGCCATTCTTGATTATAAATACAGAATGTGGTTTGGTTGACATTGGAGTTCAGTTCTAATTTGTTTCATGGTGGGTTTGTCACGTTATGTATCCTATATATCACATTTATTTACAGCAAAATAACGTTCACATATGTTATATATAAGTCGAAGCAGGGATAACACAAAGCAAGGATGTTGATCGTTGCTCTTATAGCCAAAAGGCTAATTTGACATGACTTGAATAAATATCGATAAAACTTGAGATATTCAATTTCACCCGAGTAAAAGCAAATATTGTGTTAGTTCGTACTTTTACTTTGAGGTTTACAACCCTATTTGCTTCTATAGAAACCAAAAATGGCTGCCATGTACGTGCATTCCCAATAATAGAAAAGCGTAAACAGTCAGATATTCGTCGCAGATAAACAGTTTCGTGTAGGTAAGTGGTACAATTTCAAGGTTTTCATGATTTGCACCTTATGGTGGGGTCGCGTGTATTAATGGTATTATGATTAAGGATGAATGAGTAAAACATATGTGATAGCGAGAGCAAACATTTATTCCAACAAAACTTAATAAATATTTTAATGTGCAGGGACGCTCTAAGCTCTAAGAAAAGATTTGATTTGACTTTTTAGGCAGGTAAGTGTTCATTTTCAAGGTCTCTTTTAGTCTGAATATGATTCAACACGGCTTTGGAGTCTAGGAATCAATAATCCACTTGCCTCAGGTCAATCCTATCGCTAATCCAATACAAAGAAATACATCCAGCTCTCAATAAAATTATTAATGTTCATGCAAAACAAAATGGTGGCACAAAGATTGCGTTTGTCCTGGTGGAATTTCATTTAGGAGTAAGTACTCGGAATAATGGACGTTGGCCATCAAGTGGTGGACCATTCTTATAGGGAACGGTTACTCTTTGTTGTACAGAGTTGATTTACCAAACCTCGCTATCATTTACTTTTTATCTAAGCTTTCGATTGGGGATTTTTTGTCAATTAATGTAAACCTGAACAGATAACGTCGAATAACGATTGGTAATCAGATCTTTCCGAAAGCTAAAGAGCTAGAGATGATTGAAAAACTCAAATACAGACTACAGAAAACTATGTCAATGTAAGCGATCACATTTTGAATAAGAATTGATAAATCACATTGATCTATTATTGTATTAGGCTACGTGAATAAATAATAAAAAAGATGGAAGACTAGGACACGTACAGATTTGTGTCAAAATAACCCCAATATGTTTTGTTGATCGTGTTTATTATGGCAACTGATTTGATTCAGTCACGGATTTATTCCATTGTGATTTGATTAAATCAACATTCCTTTTTATACCTTAAAAATGTGTTTATTTGTATTTCAGTTGTTCCGCGACCATGGCTGTTCGGAAGAGTAAACCTTTTTTGATATGGATAAAATAAACAAACAAATTCAAAACTATCATAAAGCACAGACATACGCACCGAATCAACAAAAAACTCACACCAAAAACACCATTAAAGTTAGCAGTCATAACAGCAGAATGCCAGCACCCACCTATAAAGGAAATTTTAGTAACACTAGCAATGGATCTTATGGAGGATTCCATAAAGAATGGAGGCCAACCACACTGGGCCAACTACCCAAGTCCCAGAAGAATAAGAAACACATGAAGTTCATTGAAGATCTCCCGAGAGTCAGCGATGAATACGGCTTTTACGCATGGGAGAAAGTAAAACAGGATAACGAGAACAAAGAATTTATGTCCGAGTTGGAACGAAATAAGAAAAACAGCAGAGCTTCTGGTCTTTTGGACGAAGAAAAGGGATGGGCCAATACACAGAAGAGAAAGGAATCCTTCTTACCACCAATTAACAATAATAAAAGGGACTCCTTTAAAACCAATGCCAGTTTCAGTGTCACTACGGGCCCCATTGATCAGAGTTTCAGACTCCCTGATATTAAACATATTAATATCCAGTTAACATTGGCTGACGACAGACAAGTAACAATAAGGGCAGATCCCAACAAAGCCCATTTTACGTAGAAGATCAAATCATGGTTAATATGGAATATTGCATCTAGGATGTAGGATATCTAGGATATTGATGTGATGATGATATTGATGATGATAGTGATGAGTGAAATGATATGAAAGGATAATGTTCTGGACTCAATGATATTTGTGATGTTCTTGTATGGGATTTAAAGGCTTGCATAAAAGAAACAAGGTCACATTTTCCCTTATATTAAAGACTACCTTTATCAACCGTGCTTAGTTGTCTGTTAAAGCTCGGCCATGTTGAGCCCTGATTGGCCGAGTGTAATACAGGTCTAGCTGTATGAACAAACAGTATTGAATAGTATGGCTGTGATTTTAGAAATTGTAAGATAAGATTCAAAAGGATAATTACTTCATCCTGGGAAATCTGAAATCAAGTATACTGTATGCAACTAGTACATTCTGTCCTTTGAACCAATCAAAACATTAAACTGGTGGGTATAGCCATCCATGAAAATCAGTGTTGTTTGCAGAAAACTATGCCACACTTAGCTTGTATATCTCAGCAACATTTTGCTTTGTGATGAAAAAATGCCACATGGACTCCAATACTGATCGAATAATGTCAGAAAACAACTGGGATGTTAACCATTTAATCAAATAAGAAACAAAACATGACCAAAATATTGTGTATATAAGTAGTTGCTTGGACATGGTAATACTACATTAATACAAGTAGGGATAGTTGAGATTATTTTTATATTCTGATATAAACTGTAGAGACTTTACATATGATATATTCATTGAATGATACAATACAGTCTACACACAGTCCACATAAAAATAACCTCTGAGGTAAATGGTCTAGGGAAATAAATGGAGGGTCATCAAGCATTTTTTGTGGTTGTGTGATAGACTGTAGCAAACTACTCAAAACAACTAGTAAAATATATATGTTTGATATGTATATTTTATCATTGAGATTTTGCACTACATTTATTTTGAATTATACATCAATTTGTACATTTTTATGAATTACACATATAGCATGCAGACTAGAAAAAGCAACTTTTTAGAATTATATTTTTGGTGCTCTACTTTATATATAAAACAAATGATGATTAGAGAGACAAAATGATAATTCAATTAATGTAAATCTTTATACATACAATTAAACCTTAACATTTAAACTTAGATCATTTTTAATCTTTCATTTTTATCTACTTTTTTCCCTCTCACCATGTTTACATATAACTCTACCAATAGTTCCTACTAAAATATTTAATCGTCATATATTTATAAAAAGACAATGTACATTCATTCAAATTCATATTCAAAATGACGTAAAGCAAGGGACAATTATTACAGTTCCCTAAAATAAACAATTATTTCAATTTATCAAGATATAAAGATCCCATAGCAAAAAATAGAATATAAAGGTTCCATCAGACAGAGCCATATGAGTCTCTGCATCAGATAAAGAGAAATGTTGAACATTCTTGAATAAATATTAGTGCGTGTACAAAAACTACAAAAATATTTCAAAATATTAAAACAATATAACAAACAGGCTTTGTATAAAAAAACTACCTCATACCCACCTACCCACGTATGTGGGACATGATACAGTCTTTGAAGGGTTCAATTTTAAAGATCTTAGTTTATTAAATCTTAGTTTATGATGAATTATAGATGCATTTGTAACGACCCTTGATAGCAAGTTGCTACTACATCCCAGCTGGGTTCGATTCCCACTCGGGACATCGAATTTAGCACACTTTCTTTCAATTTCTTTATCTGGCTTGTTGGACCTATGCTCGCAGTCATTTAAATGCATCCATATGCCTTTATTTATGGATCTGTCATCTGTCTAGTCATAAAATAAAGCCGGAATTGTAGAAATGTTAATAATTTTTGTTAATTATATTTTGAGATTTAATAATCTTTAAAATTGAACCCTTCAATGACTGTATCATGTTCCACGTAGGTGGGTAGGTGGGTAGGTGGGTATGAGGTAGGAGGTTTTTTATACAAAGCCTAACAAACATGGTGAATTCAACAGTGTAACAATACCAGTGAAGGTTATATAGGTGATAACTATCAAGTCAAGTCCATTCCGTACATTATGGAATTAAGTTTTGGAATCAGTTAGATTCCGCACGATCTAATGCTCCCCTCCCCCTCCGCCTTACTTCACTCTATTCTCTTAATTTCATAATTCTGGATAATTTCCCCCTGGCACTTCTTGTATACTTGCATACAATGACACGGGCGTAGCATTATATTTGAAGTTATACCCCCAGAGAATGGGATGCCAAAGGCTGGCCCACAGGGGGGTCCATAAGCAGTTCCCTACCCATTCCTAGAAAATGTTGATACTTTCGCCGCAATCTGAGCATTTCTAATACCTGAATTACTTAAAAAATCAGACTGGAAGTTATTTTCAAATTCTCTGCTATGCATATTCCATAAAGGATGCTATGCCCGTGAATGCATCAAATTCACATCAAGACATACATTGTCTCTGTTCCTTTCATTTCTTGCTAATTCCCCTCCTATAAAAACCTGATTTTGAGATTCAAAGTCACCGTATTCAATTCAATAAGTGCCTAAATAAGCAGATTATGCTTCCTACGTTGTCACGTATTGATAATGCCGATAATTCTTAATAAAGCATGATTGATATAAATATGAGTCTCGTATATTTCTCTAAAAGCTGAGTTGCAGGCACATCTTTGTCCAGTAAGTATGTAGAGATATTTGAAATGTGTTCAATGATTAAGTGTTCAACACTTCAGTCAATGGTACTTTGAGTATTACCCTTTTAAGTTCAATTGGCCAAGTTTAAACCCAGTCATTTCTCCTTAGATTTGAATCATGATATGTGATAAGAACATATATTTCAATATGATTTTTGAGCGTCTGATTGTTTTGTTCATTGCTATTGATCCTTCATTTTAATATACATTGTTATATCAAAACATGGCCTGTCTTCATGGTTTGTCTTCAATTCCTTATATGGAGCTTCATCCTTTCTTCCTAATATGGTGCTATATGGAGAAGTTGGCATAAGTGCTGAAAGACTCCATGTAGAACTGGGACATGTCATACAGGAACTTGTACTGCTCCTACAATGGTAAAACCAGTACATAATATATGGACTCCATTATCTCCAATACGAAATGGATGGAGTTATTTGTTTGGTGAATTTCTAATGCAACACAATGATTTATTGAATATTGGAGATAATTCAAAAAATGTGAATTCTAACCTAAAATTGAAAAGGATTCTCCTTTTACAAGGATTTGAAATCTTATGATTCACCCATTATGTGCAATGCCAAATTAACCACATCAAGCCAGAAGCTACAAGGGATGTAATATAAATTGAGTTACAGTAAAAAACGTAAAATAATGCACGTAAAAATGGTAGCCATTTTTCAAAATGTACGCCTACGCCCTTAAGTGTCATTAGACAGTGTGCCATGCTTATGGTATTTACATATCAAATATGAACAAAATCGCTCAACTACTTTTGGAGTTATAGTAAAAAAAGTTATAAAATGACGGCCATTTTTCAAAATGGCCTTTCTTCCAAAAGTGTCATAAGACACTGTACCATGGTATTCACATACTAAATATGAAGAAAATCGCTTCACTACTTTTCGAGTTAGAGTAAAAACGTTAAAATGGCAGCCATTTTTAAAAATGGCTGCCTTCTAGCAAAAGTGTCATGAGATAGCGTGCCAAGCTTATAGTATTCACATACCAAATATGAACAAAATCACTCCACTAGTTTTCGAGATATACTAAAAAACGTTAAAATGGGGGCCATTTTTCAAAATGGCTGCCTTCTACCAAAAGTGTCATAGACAGTGTGCCATGCTTATAGCATTCACATACGAAATATAAACAAAATCATTCCACTACTTTTCAAGTTACAGCAAAAATCATAAAATAGCGTGTTAAGGCCACCATTTTTCAAGATGGCTGCCATGTGTTTCTTTGATATCTACATTTCTAGCTTTATTAAGGTCCTATATAATTTCTTCCATTTAAAACATATTCACTGGTACTTACGCTGACGATACGTCAGCGTAACAAGATGGAAGAACTTCCGGGCTTTGTTTTCGGTAAGATATTTTTATTTCTCGATTCTACACCACATATAAGTCAAATTGTGGACAATAATTTGGCTTATATATACAAAACATAGAACTGCCTGCATATTCTCAAACTAGACCATCTTCCTTATCTTTGAGCCAAATTATTGTCCACAAGTTGACTTATAAGTGGTGTAGAATCAAGAAATAAAAATATCTTACTGAAAACGAAGCCCGGAAGTTCTTCCATCTTGTTACGCTGACATGTTGTCAGCATAACTAGGTGAGTACCAGTGATATTACTATTACAGTTTTACATATTGTACCTAAATTATTGTAAAATCGGCACTAAAATGACAGCCATTTTTGAATAAGTGGCCATTTTGAAAATTGGCTTTCGAGCAGAACTTCTACCTCCATAGGGTATATGTGTACAAAATATGAACAAAATCGGGCCAATGGTGTTTGAGTTATTGCCCGGATGGACTGATGTATGGAAGGACGTATGTCCATATGGACGGACGGACGGATGGATGGATGGACGGATAGAGGCGTTTTCTATATCCCTCCCAACTTCATTTAATGGGATAACAATTAAATCTTATTTATGAAGTTAGAATAGCTTACAACATCAGTGATGATCTCTGGTCTATGGTTCCTCATATGCTTCACTGTCTGGAAGATGTCTATTTCCTGTTCTATCTTCATCTTTTCTCTTATACAGTTCAATGCTGCATAGACACCACTGAACTGGGACCCATTCCTGCAATTAAAGTGCAACATAAACTATATTTCAATGCCATTTGTTCTTCGCGATCTAAGAATCTCTTTTTGATTGCTCTGGGTCTAAGTGCATGCAAATGAAGCCATATTTCACAGCAATCAATAGTATAATTGCATTTAAAATACATACTAGTATTCCCCTGGTGATCCCTCATCTGTTAGTTCATCCAGTATAATCAATCTGATATTCTATTGTTCAAATTCATCCAGTGTAATCCACTACATATTCCCTGTTTTTTTATTTTTTAGTAAACATATTTTTTATTTCTTGACAGTTCTCTAAAAAATAATCAATTATCCAAACGAAAACTTTGGAAAATATTCAGCAGAAGGCAAGCCTATGTTCAGAGCTGCATTGTTATGAAAGAATCCCATTGATTATTATGGGATACATAAAGGTCCCATCATATGCTACTTACACACAGTGAATAACTATGGGTCCATTCTGGGTCTTCTGCTGCCACTTCTCAACATCATCAAACAAGCCAAGGAGAGACATGTTGGATGTTGGGAGGCTTTTGTCATTGGGCCAGCACTGAAAGTCAAACTGTTTGATGTCCCTGGGCTCTTCGTCAACCTGGAGGACAATAAAATATCATAAAAATATTCTGTGTATGTTGATGGAGTGCAACATAACCATACAAACTGACAAAGGGTCCCATTGAGCCAGTTAGGTTACATCTGGGCCAGCTGATATTTCCAGTATAGGAAAATAACATGACAGCTGATTGAACGGACTTCAAAAACACTTTCCAAACAATCCATACATTTGATTTACATGCCCCATGTGAATACAACTATTATGAGTTTAATGTTTTAGCAGTTTGATATATGTGTATCTATACAACGAGTAACAAAAGAAAGTAAACCAAATACCATATATCTGTTATGCAAATCGGTAATAGCATCCAAGAAGCCATGAATGTCACTAAACATTTTGAACAATTTGCGTTTGATTTTTTCAACATTATATCTTTACCCCTCTTGCTGATTAAACACCTTTAAGCAAAACGTTTTGAGAACTGGAGGTCCTTATAAGTTCCTTGTATCTTACTCTCTGCTACCCTTTGCATTCGTTAGATTTCTCTGCTACTCTTTGCATTCGTTAGATTTCACTTCTTAAAAGAGAGCTTCGTCTTCACTCTTTCAGTTTACAATAAATCTCTGATCTCACCGAGCCAATCAGAGTCCATCGTTAAAATATGGATGACTTTCAATATGGTTATTTCCTCTGACACCATGGCATAGTTAATGGGGACGTATTTAACATGTGTTTCTTCTACTTCGCTGATTGGTTGAGAAAGGGTTGGCTTGGTAGATTTGAAATGATTTATTACCCGAGCTGTCACAGGCACCAATCTTTGGGGCAGGGCTGCTAAACTGTAATATAGTCTATACTAGGCAGAGGGTAGTTTGTAACTAGACTCTGCATGCAGGGTAACTTTCTGCTCATTAGCATGGTGAAACATCTTCTCCTTTTATTTCTTAGACCACTTTTTGAGAAGTGGGATCTGATACATTATCTCATTCATTATCTTTGGACAGCATTCCACCATGGATACTTATTGAAAGAAAAAAATGTTACGTTAATGACCAAAGGACTTACTCTTTTACTGCAAGAAAGTTTGAATTGTCTCTCTGTCACATTAGCATTAGTGGAGTCCTCATTCAACAACTTTACTTGGAAGATCTCGTAAGTCTGTTCATCATCTGGCCAGTACTTAGCACAGTTCTACAACGTGATCATGAACACATTCAACATTTATTCTACAAAGGTCTTCTAACAAGCAGTGCAGTAAATGGTTCAAATATTCACATTTACATTTTGTGTAAAGTTTGCTATACAAGATTGCCACATGTGCAAGTGAATTATTAGCTGGAATTATAGATAGTTTGAGGTGTCTTAGAGAAGGTTTTACTGTATGTGAAAAATTGAAAAATGGCACCATTTGATGGACACACATGGTCATTCCTTATGGCCATTATGGACACACATGGTCATTCATAATGGCCATTATGGACACACATGGTGATTCCTTATGGCCATTATGGACACACATGGTCATTCCTTATGGCCATTATGGACACACATGGTGATTCCTTATGGCCATTATGGACACACATGGTGATTCCTTATGGCCATTATGGACACACATGGTGATTCCTTATGGCCATTATGGACACACATGGTGATTCCTTATGACCATTATGGACACACATGGTGATTCCTTATGGCCATTATGGACACACATGGTGATTCCTTATGGCCATTATGGACACACATGGTGATTCCTTATGGCCATTATGAACACACATGGTGATTCCTTATGGCCATTATGGACACACATGGTGATTCCTTATGGCCATTATGGACACACATGGTGATTCCTTATGGCCATTATGGACACACATGGCCATTCCTTATGGCCATTATGGACACACATGGTCATTCCTTATAGCCATTATGGACAGTTTGATCAGTATGGACCCCTAATATGAGCATTAGTTAAGAAAATATCCAGTGTTCATATGTTCAAATTTTGTTGATGAACAGATGGACTGACAAATTGATGGATGGCAGGACGATAACAAAAGATCACCATGTGTGCCATCACCATGTGAGCAAATTGTAAGAAAATAGAAAAATGTTATGATATTTCATTTCTTCAATATCTGGGAAAAATAGAAAAAGATTGATGGCGTGAGTAACATAAGTATTACACAAATGTGAATAAAAACATTATAAATGAGTTGATATCAAGTATATCTTCATTCAAAAGTGAAACTGAAGGCAAAGCTTTATTACTTGATAAGCCAGGCTTTTAAGCCAGTCCCATTTTAATCATCAATTTCATATTGTTAATCAATTAGGATTTGTTGTAGCTTGAGGCAGGGAGTCAGTGAATCAATCAGGATATAGCTTCATAAAATAATACTAGTACACTCCCCTTAGTGAACTTTCGTAGAAAGTGAACAATTTGATTTTTGCCATGAACGTTTCAGGTCTATTGATACAAATAATGATGTGGAAAAGAAAATAAAAATTGAGTCACTGACCTTTAAAACATAGTTACTTTAAATGTCATGTTGACCTCACTACTAAGTATCACTTTCAAATTTAAATGAAACAGACATATATCTGATTTCTGGGTTCTTATTTACATTTATTGGTCTAATCATCTAGCTATACCAAAGAAGCAGAAATATGGTAACTTTAACAAGAAAAACATTAACAAATGAAACGTGCCTGGAGAAAATCATATAAATGATTTTGAAACAATTTATCACCATAACTTATTGAGTCTCAACATCTTCTTTTGTTCTCCTATTTCTAACCATGATATGATGCTTTGGTGTCAAGAATTCCCATGCCTTACAGGAGGTGTAACTTACTGTGTGGTTGATAGTGGGTGCAGGGGTTAGGTTAGAAGAAGGGGGGTCAGGTGTGTCAATTGAGAAATCTTCATTCTCAGTGAGAACCTCCTATATGACATAAACAAAAAACATTTATAGATGGCATGCAAGTGTAGCAAAACAAACAACAACACTAAGATGTCATGCGAGTATAACAGGAAGAGGAGGGAAACACGAAGAGGAGGTAAAACCCCAGAGTTCAGAGATGACTCAGAATTACCTCTCTTGCTTACCAAATTCATTTGTCCGAATTTCCATCGATGTGGTTGTTTAACTCAAATTAAACATATTCCTTACATCTGTCTTTATCTTGACTTGCAATTTTGGTAAACACGTCAAAACTAACATAATAATACTTGAATTCAAAAATCTGTTTTCATAACTTCCTGTCAATTGACTGCTCAATGGGTCATCTCTATATAGCTTTTCATTGAAAATATGGCTCTTCTCTGAACCCTGGGGTCTTTCCCTCTTTATAGCATGCAAGGATAGCTTCATACATGTACTATGGGTAGATTGGACACAAACTGCAGTGTATCTAGATTTTACTTAGTATTCATAGGGAAATCAACAACACAAATATTTATGTGATTTACTCTAAAATAAAACTATTTGAGCAGTAACACGGAAAGCACTGTTTAAATGACTTAAAAAGCATTAAAATGAAACCGATCTCACTGGCGGATCCAGATGCTAACAATTGGGGGGCCCAAATTTCAAATTTTGCACTTGTGCAGGAAAATTAAATCCAAAAATTGGACCCAAATTTTGAACATTTAATACCCATTTATTGATGATTTGGCCTAAAAAAGCCCATAAAGGCCAAGTAATACCCCTGAATGGCCCATTAATTGAGGCCCTACAAATTTTTCTGGGCCCACCCAAGGAGGGGAGAAGGCGCCCCCCCCCCCCCTCCCCCCTAGATCTGCCTGTGGATCTCGTTGTTCCAGAGACTGTTTCAAGACTAACTAAAATCATTTCAAATAAGTCAATTTTAAGACATTTTGTCTAAGATAATCAATAGGTGGTGTTTGAGTTTACGCATTGTGCTAAATATCAAAGAGACATTCTAAAGGAAGCATACAAAGACAATACTGCCTAAGAAGAACATAATGTATGTAACTATATTCTCTATTTAACTTACTACATGGTTTATGTATGCATTATCTGGTGGACTGTCTACCATGAGTTCAGAGCTAGACTCATCAAGGTTCTCCTATAGCAGGATAGTATACATTGGTTAGGTAGAAAATAGAAATGCTAGGTTTGTATTACATGTACATGTTGCAGGTGCTACGTATACATGCATATAAGTGGTCAATAAAGGGTTTATTGCTACTTTAAGTCATGCCTTTCATTTCAAAATGATTCAATAATATGATGCACTTATTCTGCCCAGCCCTTTACCAACTTGAAGACGTTTTTTTTTTTATCAAAAGTTTAATTCAATGGAGGTATCATCCCTGTTTGAAATCGGTGTTCATTTAAGACAGTCTATGGCATGGGCCATTTTCCACCGCTGTATGGGTCAGTTGTAAAATGGCCCGACCTAGTAACCTACATGCATATTTCTCTGTAATTAATCAAAATTAAGGATTAAAGATGGCATGATACTCTAGCTCATTTGAATATCTACACACCAGTGTCAGTCTCTTTTTTGACGTTCACATCAATATGGAGCAATAGCAATGTGAAGAATTTGGGAAGTTTTCTTAATTATCTCAATTTCTCATGAACCATTTTTTTTAAAAATAGGATCATAACGTAATTTAATATCTTGGCATCAAGTTTATTTGATTCATTTGAGTGACCAAAAAGCTTAAAGGGTAAAAAATCAAAGTGATCACGGCCTTGTGATTTCCAATATTTGATAAAACATTTTTTCACCCAGACTAGGTCATGACCTACTGGGCCATAATCCAACCCCATTAAAGATTGATATGTACAAATTACTTAATCAAGTGCCATTAATCTGCTAGTATAGTGTCTTTGTGGTACAGAAGATGTTAGCATATAATATTGAGCAGTTCACATACTTTGTAATATTAAAATTGTTGAAATAAGACTAAAAGATTTGCAGTTCTGATATGTCAGTTCACAAGTTCTAGTTAAACAAGGGGGGGGGGGGGTATAGCATTCTACTACAAGAGTACAATGTGACACAGTTTACAAGATCTATAGAACGATATTAACTATTTTTAACCTCACACCTTTCCTACTATTTTTCCATCTGATAAAAGTGCTTTGGCATTTAATCATTTTTATGCTGAATTTAATTGTGATAAGACAATATGTGTGAAATTGAATAAAGCAGTAAATACGAATTATTACGTTTTGACATATTTCATATGTAGAAACTGCTATGTACATGTACAGGGTGTCCCGAAAGTATGCCCCCCCCCCCTAGGCAGACATATTCCAGTGCCCTCATAGTATGTGTCATATATCATTTTAAAGCTTATCCAAAGTTACATTGATTTGCCAAGTATCATGGTTTAACTCCCGAATGGGAAAAAGTTACAGTCATTTTAAAAGTAAGTGTTTTGTCAAAATAAAGTTCAATTTTATACCACATTACTAGTCAATGTGCCCCCCTTGGCCATGTTAACAGCAGCGATTATTTTCAGATATGACCTTAAAAGCCCTTCAAATAGGGGTGTGGGATTTTATAACCCTCTTAAAACCTGTTAAGGGACTTTAGAAGAGTTTCCTTAGAGTTTCTACCCTCACCATTCTCTTTTTCAAACTCAATATCCCTCCGACCCGAAAAGAATTGCTGCTGTTAAGATGGCCCATGAGGACACATTGACTAGTGATTTGGTGTAAATTTGAACTTAATTTTGACCAAACACTAAATTTTCAAATGCCTGTAATTTTTTCACATTTGAGAGTTGAACCATGATACTTGGCGAATCAATGTAACTTTGGATAAGCTTTCAAATGATATATAACACATACTATGACGACACTGGTATATGTCTGCCTAGGGGGGGGCCATACTTTCGGGACACCCTGTCTATCATTTTTATCTCTCTATTATTCATTTACAATTGACTTGTTTCTTTTACCATTATTCAATGTGATTTTATTTCAAAAATAACGTTGTCTAATAATAATAATATGTTGTCTTCTGATAGCTTGTATTCTATATAGCTTCGTTTTTCTAAAAATAATTATACTTGTACATACAGAATGCATAGTTCATTTACTCAATGGACTTTTATATTGAAGGTGTTGAAATTCAACATCATAATATATTAGTAAACATAAGCCGAGTATGTGCTAAAACAATAGTCACTAAAACTAAAATAGAAAGATTTTTTAATGGATCTATTTGTGTTATACACTGTACGATCAACATAACAGATAATAATCAACTTATCCATTCTCATTTACTTTGCACAAGTCATCGGTGATGAGCAAGAAAAGGCTGCAAACAATCATATTCAACAAGAAATACAGATTTGTTTGACTTCCAACCCCATCACAATGGTAAATGCACTATATGTATACTTCAAAAAGAAAGGCAATGTACAAATGTTTAGATTCCATAGAACTAAAAACCCCGATAGATGCTTATTTGTTGCCTCAATATAATCACAAAAACAGAGATAAACAGATTTATAGAATAATATTTGCAAGAAATGACTTGTTAACAGTGATAAGATGAAAATATGTACACATTATCAGAAGAAATGGAATTATTTCCAAGTGAATCTCTATTAAATTCAATGAATGACATTTCTATTATATCATACTGCAAAGGAGATTGTCATTAGAGAGATTTCGTACATCGTGAAAGTACAACTAATAACATATACTTATACTTATAAGTAAACGTACTGTAAGGTGTTTCATAATGTGGGCTTTTCGTCAGGAAAGATCTTCTCGGACTGTAATAAATAAAGGTCAAAGGGATGCCATTTGTACTTTCTTGAATTGTAGCATGTTTAGTTGATCCAAATATGTTTGTCTAGGATAAAATAGGCTCATATATAGTACATAATGTTATAGACCCATCTCTTCTCAAATTGACTTTTTGGAGATGCTCGTTATGAAACACCCTGTATGTCATTTGTTGAGCTACTGAATGGGTCGTTTCCAGGAATCGCTAGAACCTACTGGTTTGATTGGTGTTTCAAATTGATGGTTAAGGTATTTGATTGGATATTGTTCCTATTCAGTCAATTAATCCAACTGTATACGTTATCATCTACGTATTTATACCGTTTGTAAGTTCATTGAACTTATACTGATCATGAAAACTTTGAAATAATCAGCTTGTTTATGTAATGACTCACTTTAAAGGATAATGACTCACTTTAAAGGATCGTGTTTATAATACACTATAACTACTATGACACGGAAGCAAGCATTTAATTATAATGTGCATAATCTACACGTGCAGATGACAGTGCATTCACAGTCTCTAGTTGATGGAGCTTTTCTATATCGGGAATAGTTATGTTCCATTAAGTACAATTTAAAATTGATTTTAGTAAATATAATAGTTCGACAAGATCCTTTAAGTTATACATATACGTATAAGTTGTACTTTCACTTATGTGCGAAATCTCTACTCTATTCTGCCCCTAAAATGGTTATAATTTTGGAAAGATTGTTGTTAATGACAATTTATTGGCTCTTTGTTATTTTTGACAAATATGGAAAAAGTGCAGATATTCTGGGATTAGTAAGAGAAAAACGCTTGAAAGTTGCGTGTAGGTGGGCATGTAGGTTCCTTGGGATTTCTTCCATAACAAAGGCATGACAACAATACATATGCATACATATTGTTAAATCTATCCTTTGGGTCTGGGATGACCTTCGTTTTTATATGAGGAAGGCCCTTCATTTAAAATATTGATACCCAAGATAGATGATACTTCCAAAATTTTGTATGAATATACAACTATTGCAATTTTACTGTATAACTAGATTCAACAATATTGAAATATTCATGTACTAGGAGTAATCTACACTCAATTTGTATAATCGTGTTTTGTTTAATTGAGTGAATCAGGTCGGGCCATTTTACAATTTTAGTTAAGGTCATGGAATTAGGTCATTTGGGCCTTTTCTCCCATGGAAGCTATGACCTAATATGAGGTGGAAAATGGCCCATGCCATAGACTGTTAAGATAAGATATACAAGTATCCATAACGTCTCTTTACACATAACACTAATTTGTATTGTAATTGTAATAAAAATACTTTATGGACACCCTATATATTCAAGCATTCAAGTAAATGTGGTAAAATGCTATAATTTATTTATAATAATGAAGTTTTTTGGTAATTCCTTTATTCATGAAAGCATGACTTGTGTGAGATCTTATTCTCAATATTACTACTAGATTTTAGAATAAACTATATTCCTCACATTAGTAAATTTAAAAATAGGTAAATGGATATAATATAATATACCATTAAGAAAAGAAAGAAATAAGTACATAATATTATATTAATATTATGCCATACATTATGTAGTGTTAAGTACATACATGCAATAATACATTCATTAACCAAGTTAATTCATACATAATGCATTATTATACCACTTAATCTATATATTCTATATATATACCAGTGCATCTTATAGTATAACCTTATTGTGTTATCTAGATTAAATATTATTCCAATGTAACAGCAAGGGAAAAGGGTTTTTTGATCAGGAAAAACTTCAATTGATCAGGAAACCTTTCAGCACTCTCCCCATTATATTCTTGGGTGCAAAATTGTTTTACATATTTTGATTAGGACATGTACAAACTGCTCAAAATAACCAATGCTTACCAAAATCTTAATAACAAAATGCAAATGTCAAAGGTGAAGTTGTATCAAAACTGGGAAGATTGCTATCCCCTGTAGCAGAACAGTTGTCATGCCAATAGAATATCGGGTGTACCAAAAATGAGACACTTTTTGCCAAGTAATTTCTCGGCAACTGATGAACCAAATTTTGGGAAAATTTGTACAAAGGAGCCCAGGAGTATCGGTAGCAAGGTACAGAAACATGACAAAGATCAGATAAATGTTGTGTGAGTACTAAGAAATGCAAGATAGCATGTCAAAATGTCCCATACCGGAGCAATACTATGAAAATTTTCATCGCACCAGAAAATGGGAAGGAATTTGACAAGTGATTTCCCAGCAATAGATGAGCCAAATTATTTGAAAACTTTACTTGACGCACTTTGGGGTATCTTCTGCTTGTGCTATGAATATGTAAAATATTGGCTTCATACTATGTGTGTATTGTTGAATTAAAAACAGTATGTAAAAATAATCAATATCGATGTAAATCTCACTTATTAATCCTTTTCATGCAAAATACCTTTCCGTATTTATTCTAACAATATCACCTCCAATGAATTTTGAGAATGAATGGATTTTGGATATTTGGGAAGAATGAAATATATTGAGTAGACATGACACACAGACAAGCTATTTTGACTTATTTACAAATGCTATCACCAGTGATAGCATTTGTAAATCATCACAGTTTGATAGCTGGTACAAACACTATAGAGGTCTCATCGCAGAGTTCCAATATGGGGATTTTTGACATGCTATTTTGAATCTCTTATTACTCGCAGAATATTTACTTGATCTTTTTATATTTGTACAACTTGCTAATGATACTCTCAGGCTAATTTGAACAAATTGTCGGTGAATTTGGTTAATTAGTTGCCGAGAAAATACCTGGCAAAAAGTGTCTCATTTTTTGGGACACCCGATACATACAATAACTGTGTAACCATTGGTATAATATACAAATACAGCAAGTAGATCTACATACCTCTGAGTCATATGTGAGTTCATTCAGCATGACTATACTGTGTACATGGTGATCATGTATGAGTCTCCAGAAGTCTGTCACTGTGTGAGGCATGGGATGTTGGGTTATAATGTAGGCATTCTTTTGTTTGTAGCCCTGGAATGATGAATAGAACATGTAACTATGGCTAGGAGCTTGATTTGAAACAGGTATTATAAGAGCAAACGTTGTTGCATTCAGTACTTGATATACATAATAGGGTCATAAATAAGTTTTGCAGATGATTGACTACCTCAGAAAATAGATTTGAGACTCATTAAATGCAAGTTAATATTATGCTTCATATGAATAAATGAAAGTTAGCATATTTTATTTACTTACATCTAAGTATACAGCATTGATGTAGTCTGTTCCACCATCCACCATTGTGATTAGGTAAGGCCGGTATAAGTTAGCTGAAATAGCATGCAATTCATAATTTCATATTCAACCATAGTTAAATACATGGACTCTCAACCAATCATATTGCTCAGTTACTGTTCATTATTATAGAACAATAAATGCTTATTGGTAAATAACGATGTATTTTAAACTTTTCAAAACTGTGACATTACAATTGCTGATTTGCATTTAGTAAACTCACAAATTGGTACTCTTAAAAAGTGATTCTTGTTCTTTTTAGTGAACATTAAATGGCTAAAATGTTCAAGCATACAGTACTAAATGGAAGTGATCCTGCATTGAAGATAGTCCATCAATTACATACCTGGTAACACAGACATGTCTCTGTTCTTCTCTTTGTTCCTGGGTTCTGTAGCATTGCTGATCTTCTCGGGTTCAACCTCAGTTCTCATCTGGTTTAAAATCTGAAAAATGAAAAGGAGAGTCAAATATTATAATAAAGATACCTCAATTACCCATATTATAATAAAATTAAACAAGGCATAAACATGCAAAATGTCACCACCTGCCATTTGTTTACAGACACCGAACACAGTCCAAAAAACCTTGAAGAGTATAACAATATGCCATCACTTGTGTTGTTGACATGATGGAACGCAAGTGTGACAAGTGGGAATTTGAAAAATAGGATTAATTTAGGTATTCACCCAATGCTGATTATTCTAGAGACATTCATTTTACCAAAGCAACTCAATTTTGCCATAGCAACATCTATTTTACCAAAGCTATTTCATTTAAGTGGGTAAAGAGGGTGGCTCCATACAAGGTCAATGTATACCCAAAACCACAATAAAAATCAATTTCACTTCTGAGAGTACATGTATATATGTCCTCTCTATGAAACAGAAATCCATTAATACCTCATACTGGCGCTGTAACTGAGACTTCCCTGTGGTGGCATCTATTTCACACAGTTGTTGATAAGTCTCCTGGAATTCTGAACATGGAATGTTTGTCTCCCCACAGATCAATGCCTCAACCAATGCATCATGCACAAATATATATTGCTCCTAAAATATAAACAGTAAAATAAACATGTTACACAATATCTGAACACCTCTCAATCTTTCTTTTCAACTTTCAGCCTCTTATTGATTCAAATGTCAAACTTCTATATCTGAGCACTTTTCTTTTCTGAACACTTTTTATTTCAATTTTTCATTATTTTTACTTATATTATTTTCAAACTCACCAATGTCTGCACCATCTTTACTCTGTCAGCTCTCATATTTAGGACTGTGTCATATACATTAACGATCCCTGTCCTCTTAGCTGTGTGAATACACTTGTCTACAGTAATATAGGAGCCAGTCCTTCCAACACCAGCACTACAATTACAATAAACAATTACAATTTCAGTAGAACAATAACAATTACAGTAAAACAGTTACAATAACAGGACAACAATATACAATGACAATGTTATTTTGGTACATGATAAAATAATGCAATGTATGACATAAGTATTTATGACAGGCTGATTATGTCAATATTTGCAGCCAATCATTGAAGGTTTACAAAAGTCCTTACAGATGTCAAAAAAGTGCTCCAGTCCAATCAATGTTTTGCTTAACATACAGGGTGGTAAAAAAACGGCACATGTATTTTCCTCATATCTTTGTCATTTTAGGAAATTTTTCCCGATATTTTACGCAATAGTACATCATTCAATCTCCTATCAGCCTACCATATTTCATGACCATCAGACTAAAATGTTACAGCACTTTAAACAAGATGCCCAGGTGTGGCCATCACCGCACTTAGGCAAACCTGCACAAGTAGTCTATGACCCAACTGCAATCCTCAAAGAGGTATAGCCTGAATGACAATTATGACCTCCTTTTTGAAGTCTGTAAGTGCCCTGAGGTCATTTTTGTACACTTCATCTTTGCCATATCCCACAGGTCGAAGTCAAGTATGAACATTTTGGATGAGGGTGCAGGTTTGCCTACAGCGCAATATTGGCCTCTGGGGCATGATGTTCAAAGTGCTGTAACATTGTAACTATCAATCTGATGGTCATGAAATATTGTAGGCTGGTAGGAGATTGAATAATGTACACATGTACCAAATATCACTCATCTAAAATGACAAAGATTTGAGAAAAATAACAGCAGGGTTGCCGTTTTATTTGACCACCCTGTACAATCAGAGCCATATAAAGATCTTTATTGTAACTGCATGTATTTAAATTCTGTATTTATATTTGTATCATGTAATTGAGAAGCATTCAAATTAGTAACTATGCTATTTTGCTAATCTGAATAAATATAGTATTATAACATATAAAGATATATATAGTAAAAGGGGAGGAACTATTTCTCCCAGGACCCTCTCTTTCTGTGGCTTACCTGCAATGTACCAGTAATCTGCCCTTGTTATGTTCAGCATATGAATTTACTTTACGTCGCAGACCCAGCAGTGACGTGGCATTTGGCACACCATGGTCCGGCCATGACGTAAACAGGAAGTGGTGAACGTGTCTAGCTGTCCCACCCTGAGGAAATAGTGAATGTGCATGAATATACATAACAGAAGCACATACTTTTATTTTCGTATCATATCAACATTTCCTTAGCCAAAAGACAGACACAGCAAATAAAAATTTGACCTGGGTAGGACTGGAAACTTAGTCTAGGGAGAAAATTTCTTTCATTCAGGAGATGACAGATTCAAAATTTGGGAAATTCATATTAATACACTTTACAGAAAAATATGGTGTTAGAAAGGTAATATACTCGACTTTAAGAGTCATAATTACCTTTGCTACCTCCCACAAAACACTGCTTCCAATATCACATTAAATGTTGTATAATAAATTCAATATATACTCACTCTTTTAGAAATAGCAAATGTCCTTATGATAAAGTCTGAGAGTTGTTGTGTTTCAGCTAGTTCCACAGTGAATTCGCCATACTCAAGAGAACCATCATCTGGCCAATACTGCTCACACTTTTTCTATAATGATGACATGATGTTTAAATATGGACAGTTGAAATAATAAATCTTGCTACAAGTAGTGTTGTCGCGATTAATCGATACATTGCGATATACATCGCCAAAGCTGATTCTGGCGATGCATCGATGTCAGAAACAAAACATCGATGTTTTTAAAAAAATTTAGTTTGCTTAAAATCACCCTTTCTTATCTTATTTTGACGCAAATTGTTTACCTTTCTCATGTCTTTTTTCATTTTCCAATGTTTTCTGATATTCTTTCACTTTAAAACTGTTTTAAATAGTCGAAATGAACCATTAATCTAAAAAAATTACTTTACTTTCATTTCACCGTTACTAGAAGTTCCCGGATTTACCACCGTACTCTTATTAATTTGTTCTGTTTGGTATTATAGTGCATTAGCGTTTGGTATTTCAGTGCACTTTTCTCGCCGACTTTTTCTCGATGTACATCGCAATGTGCATTGATGTTTACTACTGAAAATTGCCGATGCATCGATGTACGATTATGGCACATTGCGACAACACTAGCTACAAGCCCTTGTGACCCCCCCCCACAATACAACTCTCCATAAGTGGCGGAATAGAAGGGGTCTAGAGACTTGAAACAAGTCTAGGCTATATCTACAGTACAAATTTCTTCCTTTTGATGACTGCAGGTGTATCATGGATTATCATACTAAAAGTGGACTGAAAGTTATCTAATATAAAATCGAAAACAGATCTACAATTCAGAAAATCTCAACCTCTCTATTTTTGGGTCATAATTAAAGTTGAACTGACCTTCCCATTCTCTACTAAGTTGGTAACCATGACGATCCTATTGCAGTTCTCCTGCCATACAAGTCTCCACATGTCAATAGCTGTGTACTTATTAGGCCCTGCAATATGTATACACAACATAAGTTACTATTGCAGTTCTACTGCTTTTAAAGCCTCCATGAGTCCATGTGTTCTTTTTATCCTTTGTATTATGAATCTTATACTGATTGTCATCCTAAATATGATAATCTCCCACTAAATGTCAAGGTCACTTTAAGATATACTTACAATACATACATAAATCTAATCTTACCCTGTGAAGCAATATATCCAGTGTTGCCTTCGTAGCCCTGCAAACAAAATAGAGGTGAATACAAACTTGGTGATATGCACAATTTTTTAATTGACAAAAAACAACAGCAATCATATACTGTGGTTAATATATATGTTAAACAGTTATGACAATTCATCAAATGTTGCGATTAGTTCACAATCAACGTCACAGGATAGGATTCAATTCATGAAATCATAAACGTAATAAATCGGGCTGTTTCAAAATAAACTTTTCTACATCTACTCATGGAATGGATATTAATATTTATGATCTACAAACTTATCAAGAGCATAATTAAGTAATAATTAGTAAATTTCTACCACACTATTGGTCTAAGTCTACAAGCTGGAAAAGTAGTCTAAAATTATGCAGCATTCTAATGTCTGTGTGGGACCTACCCCCACAGGGAAGGGGCAGGAATTTGACGAGCATTATTGTCCCAAAGGGCGATTTTGACATGTAATTTGACCCGGGAGTACAAACTTGTGAATTGCCCTTGTAATTGGAGTTTTGCCTATATCCGACCAGCTATTATTGCTCCCAGTGTGTGGATATTGACTAGGAAATTTTACAGCCCAATTTTTATTTTGCCAAAATACCCATCCCTTCCCTAGTGGGGTTCTCACATAAACCTTTGAATGGTGCATTAGTTAAAATAATTAGTTTTTTAAGCATCATAACATGTTATTTCCATGCATTATTTTCATGCAATTAGTATGTGACATTATTGAAGCCATTCTGTGACTTAAGTCTTCTGTTTTCCGTGAGTTAACTGAAAGCTGAAATATAAATTGTGATTAAGTGAAAAAATTAATAAGTAGAAGAGTATTAATAAAATGAACAGGTGTCAACATGGTTTTAATATTAAAGGTGCAACAATAATTTTTTTAATTCATTTGATTCAACATTTTGTTACAACAAAATGTTATTTTCTTTGTTTATTGCACAATTAACAAGGGCACCAATGAATTATAATGTCAACATTGTCATTGAATAATTCAGAAACAGGCAAACCATTTTCTACACAAGATGGAGATTGTGAAATGAGACAATTGAACAAGTTAACAATCCAGGATTATGAAGAGAAAAGGAATACGAAATGTTGAGATATGAAATCCATTAGAAGGTATTAGGAGTGGAAATCCACAGTTCATCTTGATAATACCAAATATTTTTTAACATTTTAGGCAATAATTGAAGTAATTCCCCTGGGAATATATGCTCTAATGTAGAATATGAGGCTAATAATGGGTACCTGATGCCATCCACTATTAGAAAAATCTATAAGCTTCACGGGGCACCAAAAGTTAAGTATCCACATATAATGTTAAGTGGTGATGGTAGATGACATAACATGGTGAAGGTGAAAAGCAAGGTGACTTCCCAATTAATAAATTTCACAGTGATCTCCTTAATGATGTTAAAAGCACACGATTGTCACGATAGTCCCTGAAAGCCTATGTCACGTCACACAGAGAAAATGTCACACATAGAATATGTGAGGTAGAACATATCACACCCTTTACCAGAGGGGCAGCCTAGACTAGTAAATCTAGAGACCCATCTTTCTATATGGAGGAGTCCATATAGGATCCTTTGTATACAAACCTTGATGTAACTAGCATTCACATAATCAGAGTCAGGATCGTCATCTTCCTGTTCAAGGATGACTCTACTGTGGTCATCTATGGGGGAAATATGGGGGAAGAAATCAACATTAGTTTCAACTCCTATATGAATGTTACAATATATGTACAGGCTCAACAGCAAGATCATTCAAGGGAACATATGGTGATAAAACATATACTGTCTGAACACTATATACTGTAGATATTGGATATTATTCCATGGTTACATGGATATAGATCGTATATCAGGTGAAGATTTATTGATATATGGATCGATTAGATATTATATTTTAGCAAAAAATCCCCAAACAATCGAATATCACTTCTCAAAAAGTGATAGGATACTCCTATAATAGTATTATGTTATTTCATCACCATAATTTCTCCTCAAAAGTCACCATTTTTTCTTCTTTTCTCATTTCATCATAGAATGATTATGGCTATTGGGCACATGCTTAATCTGGCAATACATGCAGGAATGGTTGTTTCATTTCATTTGAGTTAATGTGGGGAATGGGATATCTACAGCAAATCAGTATCTAACTAATAAACAGATCAAAGAGTTGCATCTAGGATTGAATATAGAATGGGAACTCATTGAAGACAACAGTCATCTTAAATTGCTAGTTCAACAATTGACTACTCCATTCATGTAATTATATAAGTCAGCATCCATGGGTTATATCGAACAATAAATAAAAGCACAACATCATTTTTGTATATATCATGTCATAGTTCTTATTTATGCCTTGAACAAATTAAAGAACCATTCAAATATTCTTGGCAAATAAACTACAGAATTAAAGCGAATTAAATGGTACTTACATGCTATAATGTTAATAAATCTGTTTTTGTTTTTGTTTACATCCCGTGATGCCACTTCTGTAGGCTCAGTTAGGTCAAAGGGTATGCTCTAAAACAAAAAGTATTAACCATTAAAAACTTCAAAAATGATGTGTAATGCAATAGATAGGTTTACAAAATTGAAGAATAATGACAATGTAATTTTAATTTTACATTTTTTTCTTATTAATTTGATAAATGTTCCTGTATCAAAATCAAATAATTTTAATTTTCACATTGTGTCAAGTTAATTGATCAAAAACCTCATTGTGTTTGAAATCATAATTTACATTCATGAACATATGTCTCGTTTTCTAAAGCATGACATAAGGTATTCTTATGAATCATCCAAGGTCCGATCTTGTGTCTTTCATTCTTACATTATACTCCTTCTCAAAGAGTTCAGCTTTATTCTCCTTCTTGTGTTTGATATACTCCCAGAGTTCTTCAACTGGAATGTCATGATTCTCTCGTCTTATGGCGCTGGCATCACTCCCAACGCTGGTGACGCTGACCCCACTTTTGTTACTGATTCCACTTCTGTTACTGGGTTGCCTTGAAACGTCCTCTTTAACAAAGGTGGGATTGTCAATGCCTGACATGGCAGAGTTATGTTTGCCATTGGCATCATGCGCAGTTAGTCTGCCATTTGTCCTTGACTCTTGCGTTTCATGCATTTCTGGCATCTCAACTAGAACAGATAGGTTAGTAATAGAGAGTTAAAGTGGAGATGAGATGATGTGCAGGTAATTGAAAACAATATGCTCCGTGTAGTATATCACAAAGCATGCTCCCAGTAATATATCACAAGTGATCAGTTAAATGGATTATAAAGTAAGTCCATAATGTATTCTAGTAGTTAATTAAATTTGTGACATTAGTAACGATATCTTAATGAAATCAAACATATTTTTGATCACTCAATATCGTTCACTATCATTCAATATCATTCAATAACATTCCAATTAGGCTAGAGATTCTATAATTCATATCTACATGCGCACTTAATTAATTCACATTTGTTCAACATCTAAATAATCTTAATAACAAATCAAAATAAACAACACAAAAAAATGCAAATGCAACGATACACTGAAGAGACGATGCAACACAAAATGTTACAATAAAAATTAAAACATTCACAAGAATCAATTGCACAATGTATTCTACTCAAACGAAGTAAAAGCCCATGACAACTTTTTTTCTATTCTCATAACTTTTGTAGATAGTTAGTGGGGTCTTGTTTTCCACATTTTATTTGACAATGACAATGATCATACATGTTTGATACATGATACATGTTCACAACATCTAATGAACATTTACATGTTAGATATCGACAGGTTAGACATTGGTCTTTAACTTTTTTTTAGTAGTATAGAAGTTTATACAATAGAGTTCCATACAATATAATGAAGTACAATAAGAATCAGTCACACTACTATAACAGATCAACTGGGACAAGATAACCCAGAAGAATAAATAAAAAGATCAAAAACCCAAAATAAAAAATACTGGTAATTATACAAAAAAATTATGAAAAACAACAGTAAATATGCCTGAAAACAAGGCCTATTTGACAAGTTTTACACAACACATTTTATATAATAAACATATTTCAGCAAAAGAACTGCAGTTTTGCCATTGTATTAACTATACATGCAGGGACTTACAGAAATATTGTTGGATGAATCCTGTAGAAATTAGAGGAGGTAAAGCATAGGAAAACACAAGTATTACTATTTATACATACAGGTTAAAGGAGAAAAACATTTAATGTAACATGAATGGTACTTAGAATACCAACATTTAGTATGGAACATGCATATTTGACTTTTTCTTCACACAAAGTATTTTTAATATTTCCTACAGATTCAAAGACACGAAGACACTAACCTCTAAGAATTTCTTCAATTTTGCAAATAAAATAGAGTTTTCTGCAAAAGAGTCAAGTTGTACCACTCTCTATGTTGGTTTAAATAAATGTGTAACTTACTGCTTGCGTGTCTGTTGGCTCCATGCATTGAGTCCCTCTGATGGACGTTCAATGTTTTGACATTCTTGGTATTTCTTTCTTTTCTTTTTCTCTCCCTACAATTCCACACACAGTACATTAAAAAGGGGGTTCAATGTACTTATATTATAAAAGAAATTAGAGATCTATAATTTAGGAATAAAGACCGAGATTTAATGATTTATGGCGTAATATATGACCACCAAAATCGTAAAGCTATTGTGACGTACACACTCCATATATAGAACAGTTATCAAATTTCTAGCCATTGTGACATCACAAAGCATATTAGAATGTAGTAATAAAGCTAACCTCTATAAATGAAAATGGTGTCTTTCTGTTTTTTTTTAGTTCTTCTTATGCATGAGTCACGAGCTATTGTTTTCGTCCACTTGTTTTTAATATTACAATCATAGCAAAGACCACAATTATATATACTCTAGGGGCGAGGAGGGAAATTCTCAATAAATGGAGTATAGTTGGTTTGGCAGCATTTTCAGTTAGGGGAGAGTCTTGGATGAAATTTCCACCTAGGTGATAGCTTCACAGAGTGGTAGGAAGTTCTTTTTTTTGAAGAGTTAGCCCCCTACCCCACAAAAACACCCCACCCCGGGGAAAAAAATTATTCACACTAAATAACCTTAGATATTTTGATGTGTGTAAGTGACATACATAGATATTATATATATGAATCATTTGCAGTATAATTGATGCTGATTACTCCTAAAAAAATTGAATATTAGTACAAAGTGTGTACCCCAGGGGGCAAATTCGTGACCCATTTCCTTACTATTTTGATCCTAACTTTTCAACTAGACACTGTAAGAGGTTGAAAAAATTCATGTGAAGTGCCCAATAGCAGGGTTAGTAACCCTGAGAGATGCAAAGCCATGGAAGAGTTAGGAGCTGAGAAAAAAATTGTTGATTTTTCGAAAAATTTGACATTTTTGACAACTGGATTTTGTGTATGACTATAGCTGACCCCTATAGTTACTGGATCCATCCCTCTATGATGATATAAATGGTTTTATAGTGTAGAACTAAGATGTAAAACATAATTAAGATGGGTTTTAAGGAAGTTTAAGGTTTTAAACAAGTCCAAAATTTGAAAAATTGTAAATATAAGGTTTCAAATTTACGAATTCCAGGTAGAGCCAAGGCAGACCCCTATAGTTTCTAGATCCATCCCTCTATGGTGATACTTATGGTATTGCTGTATGGAACTAATATGTAAAACACAATTTAGATGGGTTTTAAGGAAGTTTAAGGTTTTAAACAAGTTCAAAATTTGAAAAATTGTAAATATAAGGTTTCAAATTTACGAATTTCAGGTATAGCCATGGCTGACCCTTATGGTTTTTACATCCATACCTCTATGATTAAATATACAGTTTTAGAGTGTGGGACTAAGATTTAACATACCCAAAATGAATTTTAAGAAAGTTTAAGGTTTTAAACAAGTCAAAAATTTGAAGAATTGTAAATGTAAGTTTTCAAATTTATGAATTTCAGGTATAGCCAAAGATGACCCTTATGGTTTTTTTTACATCTATACCTCAGTGATGAGATATATATTTTTAGAGTATTTAACTAAAATGTAAAAGATGCATAAGATGAGTTTGAAGGAAGTTCAAGGTTTTAAACAAGTGCAAAATTTGAAAAATTGATTTCGAAAATTGGTCTCAAATTCACGTTATTCAGGTACAGCCTTGAATGAGCCCTGATAATCGAAGGTTATGAGCATAATAGTAACAACTGTGATATCATAGCTTAGAGACCAGGTGTAGAATATATGCCTGTTGCAGCAGTTAGTCTGCTGCATATAGATGGAGTGAGAAGTCATGAACTACTGTAAAATCTTTCTAATCTGAATGCTACTAGATATAGTATTTGGACCAGCTAAAAGCGTTCAAATTAGAAGTGTTTGAATTTTGAGGTTTTTACATCTGCAATATTCTGGATTTTGAAGAAATATGAATGCATTCTCAATGAAAAATATTAATAAATATTAATAATATTTATACTGACCACCCAAAAAGCTTAATAGCATTCCAAAATCCAATTCAAAAGTTTTGATATCATAACAATTCAGTGTTAAACTGACAATATTTGAGCAATTTTGTAAGAAATATGTGATATTTGGTATAAAAAAGCTCAAGTTAAACAGGTTGATTTTTCAAATATGAGTGTTCACTGTTCGAATTAAGAGGTGTTCAGATTTCAATTTTTAAACATAGGAGTCAATGGGAGGAAGGAAAAATTGAACTGGGGAAAAGTGTTCAGATTGGTTGGTTTTCAGATAAGTCAGGTGTTGGGATGATTGGTAGGTGTTCACAATAGTCAGATGTTGGGATATACAGGTTTCACTGCTGATATATCATTTATACAAGATGATGAACTAGAACTACTGTACTAGGTGCCTTTGATAATTTTTACCACAATGTTATACTATGTCAGGAAAAGAAAGCACCCATGACACTGTGCTTGTACAACTTGAAAATCAACAACACTTTAACATTTGATAAAGGTGTCTACCAAATGAGTAATCCACATAAATTCAAAACAAGCACTTGGCATGCTATTCCCTATGATCATTAGTTTCATTAGTTTCTCTAGAATCTAAAATTGACCTTGGGTTTATGAGAGTAGTAAATTGGAATGCAGTTATATGGAATATTGAATTGGCTGGAATTGGACACACCTTGCCTAGAAATGTGTGAGTAAACTATGATCTTATATGGATACAAACAGTTCGTTTGACAATGATCATCTATCTTATCCTGTAAAATCAGAACCTAAAAAGGGGTTTGAAATGGAGATCGATGAAACCATACCACAAATTGATAAAAGTTTCGTGATTGATGCAATGGCTATGACAAAGGGAAAATGAAGATTAACTTATATGTTGAAATTTGGAGAGTTTTGGAAAGCTATATTTGACTACTCCATCAAATCTAGTAAAGGAGCCCAAAGAATAGATTTCATATTAGACTTCAAGCTAGTTGTCTCCATCAGTAAAGGATTCTGAAAGAATGCGAAGAATGGATGCTTCCCCTATTGAACTTTAATCCATAGAAGAAAATACACCATTACCTAAAAATATGAATGCCTTTGTCCAAGTAATATAAGACAAATTTTCAAAGATTACAAAGAAATTCAATAAAGCACACGGTGACCAAGAGTTAACAGTGCAAATCGGCCCGGTCGTGTTTTTTTAAACTCTTTAGTCGTGTTTTGTTGAAAATTTGAGAGGTAGGTTGATAAATTTGGTCATGAAATTGCTGTCACTTGACTTTATGTAAAAGTAAGTAATTTATATTGCTTTCCATACTATATATCTTAACTTCAGGTATTCGTAAACGTGTTATTTGCACGAATCGTATGTTATAGTCTTGTTATATCGGGAAATGAGCAATTCTGTCAGTGTTATACATATTTTTTGCCTGAAAATCACTTGCCTGACTTGTATTCAATGAATACATCGATTCGTAAGGAAAGCATTCACAATATGTGCGAAAATCAAAAATTAGAAGAGCTTAAATAAGTAGCAATTGACCGAATAATATTTTTTAGATTAAACTCTTTAGACGTGTTTAAAAGATTGCGGTTAATGACGTTGACCTGTTAGTGAAACATTCTAGACGTGTAGAGACATTGAGGTTTAACGATTTGGAAGTGGGAAACGGCACAATTAACATTATGTATTTCCCCAAAAATGATCACAATGTGGAAGAAGTTGTTGTCTGAGTGACACTATCTTAATTATAAATGATTAACAATAATCAAATGTACGACATAATATGTCAAGATTGATCTATGGGATCATTACCGAATTTGATACTTAAATCAAAATGGTTAGAATCAGACACGCATGGTTAATGCAAGCGAGCTTTGCCTCGTCGCTCGTCATTTTGAAAATTTGACCAGTCATATTATTTTTTAATTGCCCTGTCGCTCATTAAATGGCTCGTTGCTATTTTTGAATTTGCCTCAAATACGTTTTAAAACGTCCCTATTGGCCTTAAACTCACTTTTCCCTGTCATGAACGTAAATAAATTTATTTAAAATGAGAGGAAATGTTTAGTTTGTGATGCACTACATGTAAATGCATATATATGATCACCTAATGTAAGGAATAACTCCACCGTTATTAAAATCGTATGCTCAATATCTATTAGGTTTGCCTCAGGATTTTTAACAATTTGATTCGATGTTATTCCCTAATTCGCCTCACACAATGCAATACAATTTCAATTTTAATTTTCAAATTGCAATAGGTTAAAAACGCTACATATACTGCTATCGTTCTATGAGTGATCAATGAACTGTACTGTAACATAGTTTTCTAGCGAATTAAATTACAACATCTGTTGATCTTGTTAAATCATATATCTGTCTTTTTTATTTATTCTTATTTATTCATATCTTGACTACAAATTACAATAAACGGGTGACACATAATGTATATTCCCGTGTTTAGTACTAATACGATTATTTTCAGAAGCACAGACAAATTATTAAGCAACAAAACATGGTTATGTGAACAATATTACAAGACAATTCAAAGTCGTTAATTTTATCACGTCTAAAACGTTATCTTTACAATTCCAAAACGTTAACATGCTTTTTATAAGACACGTCCATGACGTTATATTGTCCCTTCTCCATAGTTAACTCCACTTTCTACATTTACGGTCATTTATGGCAATTTTAAGATAAATACAGTTAAAATATTTACACGATCTTTAGAGTAGTGAATATTATTCCACGTTGTTGAATGGATTGTCTGTTTAAACTTGATTAAATAACACTAAATGCAAATTAAGTACATATTTCTGGCACTTTTGGTATATAATTCCGATTGATATGAAGTATGATGGATTTATCCCCAAAATAGATTCGTGGGTATGAAGAAGAACATCTTAGGTAGAAGTCAAGATATGTAAGTTTGTAAAATATAGAATATTCTTACCATTTTGCTCCATTCTATCGAATGTCGCATCCCATGTTCTTACAAAACACGACTAAAGAGTTTAAAAAAACACGACCGGGCCGATTTGCACTGTTAACTCTTGGTCACCGTGAAGCAGCATTCTAAAAGTGTGCCAAATGTCAAGATTGTTTTAAGTGGAACTATTGGAGAGAACTCAAATATCTGTGAAAATGATAACTGAAATCTCCTGTTAAATTCCACTCCTGAAGAGGCTGATTTTAAAATTATTCACTCTGTTTTACATTCAGCAGAACATGTGGGACTGCAGTAATTTGCATCAAATGACACTGATATTATAATTTTATGACTATCATTTCAATAAATGAAAAAAATTCTTCAACTATGCTAGAAAATGTCATCTGCAAAGTCAGTATGTAAACATTTTCTACAATGTCTGATTGTTTGAAACATATTGATCATATCACCATATATACTTTTTTGATCTACATGAAGATTTTAATGTGACAAGACCCTTTTACCCTAGAGTTCCTTATATCATTGCACTAACGGAAGTTTCTAGGCCCGGGGGGGGGGGGGGTATGATCCTTATAATCCTTATTTTCCCAAATAATTACTGTTGCCTGATGACAAATTGTTTCATTGGGAGTGTAGTGATTATAATTTGATAATTCATAACAACATTTTGTATTAGGAGATGATCATTGCTTAATTACAAAAGGGGCATAACAAAATATAGAGAAAACATGTTTCTTTTAATTAACCATGTCTTTATGTATTTTGATAATGCAGAACATTACATCGAACATGTTGATGTGAAAAAGTAAAAATGCTATATCACATAATAAATATCATCAAATAATAATTAATTAGTTATAATCCATTTAATCAATCAATTACTCATGTTACTACACTGTATACAATATCCCTAGGAGCAGTTACACTTACTGGGGGATTTATTAACCTCTCACCCCCTTAGGAACTCAAGGGTTAAGTCCTCAACTCTAATGATATTTTTCTTTTAACAATACATGTAACATGGATCAAACCTGACCACAATATTTTCAATATCTAATTTCTAAGCTAAGTCATACATTCAAAAAGAGGGACATCCAGGGCTATACCTGAAATCGTAAAGGAGGACTGAAAGTATCGCAACAGATTTCAGCAATCATATGTTGGATTTTGGCTGTTTTCTGAGGATTTGAGGAGGTGCATATGTTAGGCCAATGCATTTCCTCCAGGAAAAGCACCCATAGAGATGATAAAATAATTTCTATTTTGAGACAGGGAAGGTGCAAACAACCCACCCACATGCATAAAGATATATGTGTATAACACTGTATATGTATAAATATATGTGTTTTTACATACAGTTAACCCAATGGATCACATGAGTTTTCCCTATGGGAAAATAACAGGAAAACATTGTTTTCCGCTTTATCTGAAAGAAATTTATCCTTTTAATGGTTAACTATGTCTCAAAATGCAACATATTGATGCAACAAACATTGAAAAACCAGGGGTGAACGGGGTTGAAAATCAGGACGACATTTCCCAAAAAACATGTGGGTGGATTGTTTTCACCTTCGCTGTCTCAATTTCAAATTATTTTATCATCTCTAAGAGTTCTTTTCCTGTAGGTAATGCAATGGCCTATCATATGCACCTGCTTACATCCTCAGAAAACAGACAAAATCCAACATATGACTGTCTGAAATCTGTTGCGATACTTTCCGTGCTCCTTTGAGACCTGATATTTCTCAATTTTTCAAATATTGCACTTGTAAAAATTCTTAAACTTCCTTAAAATTCATCTTCGGTATGTTTTACATCTTAGTTTCACACTCTAAAAGTATATGTTTCATCATAGAAGTATTGATGAAAAAGCCATAAGGGTCATCCATGGCTATACCTAAAATTCGTAAACTTGAAACCTTATATTTACAATTTTTCAAATTTTGGACTTGTTTTAAATCATTAACTTCCTTAAAACCCATCTAAATTATGTTTTACATCTTTAGTTCCATGCTACAAAACCATAGATATCATCAAAGAGGGATGGATCTAGAAACTATAGGGGTCAGCCATGGCTATAGCTTGAATTCATAAATTTGAAACCTTACATTTACAATTTTTCTAATTTTGGACTTGTTTAAAACCTATAACTTCCTTAAAACCCATCTAATTTATGTTTTACATCTTAGTTTCACACTATGAAAGCATATATATCATCAAAAATGGATGGATCTAGAAACTATAGGGGTCAGCCATGGCTATACCTGGAATTCGTAAATTTGAAACCTTATATTTACATTTTTTCAAATTTTGGACTTGTTTAAAACCTTTAACTTCCTTAAAACCCATCTAAATTATGTTTTACATCTTAGTTCCACACTATAAAACCATAAATATCATCATAAAGGGATGGATCTAGAAACTATAGGGGTCAGCTATAGTCATACACAAAATCCAGTTGTCAAAAATGTCAAATTTTTCGAAAAATCAACAATTTTTTTCTCAGCTCCTACTTCTTCCATGGCTTTGCATCTTTCAGAGTTACTAACCCTGCTATTGGGCACTTCACATGAATTTTTTCAACCTCTTACAGTGTCTAATTGAAAAGTTAGAATCAAAACAGTAAGAAAATGAGTCACGAATTTGCCCCCTGGGGTACACACTTTGTACTGATATTCAAATTCTTTAGGAGTAATCAGCATCAATAATACTGCAAATTATTCATGTATATAATATCTATGTATGTCACTTACAAACATCAAAATATCTAAGGTAATTTAGTGTGAACAATTTTTTCCCCAGAGTGGGGTGTTTTTGGGGGGTGGGGGGCTAACTCCTCAAAAAAAGAACTTCCTACCACTCTGCGAAGCTATCACCTAGGTGGAAATTTCATCCAAGACTCTCCCCTAACTGAAAATACTGCCAAACCAACTATACACCATTTATTGAGAATTTTCCTCCTCGCCCCTTGAGTAATAATATAATATGTAAGCTTTTATTCTGCAAAACTGAGAATATCCAACAAAAATTAAGAAAATTAATCTAAAGTTAGAGGATTGTTTCTCTGGGTGACCCTGTATATTAATAAATACTTACACGAGGAAGTAAACAAGGAGAAGTATAACAATGAGGACAACAACAGCCGCAATGACGATTCCAACAATAGCAGCTCCCAAAGCATCTTCTGTAGCTTGGTGCGATGACTGAATCTTAGCCTCAGTGGATACTGAAGCTCTGCCAGCATTAGTGTAGTTCCCTATGACATTCTGAAGCATAAATGATCATTTTATATGTATTGCATTTTATGATAATTGTGAGATTAATTTTCACTAATAATGCACTGACCTAGAGCACTGCATCGACCTACTAATTCTTTTGTGCATCGTGACCTACTGATTCTTAAGTGCATCGACCTACTAATTCCTTAGTATATTTCAAACCACACATGTATGTCATAATGATATTTTATTCTACAAATGCTTGGTTAATTTGACATAAATAGTACCATGGTTACTTAGGGGTCATAAAAAAATGATAAAATAAAAATGATGTCCATTTTGAATCAATGTTCACTTATAAAATTATGTAGTTTGACAATTTCAAGCCAGTTAATGTGATGCTTTTGGAGTAATGAGCAAAAAGAACTGAAAACATGACCTTTATTTTTGAGGATAAAAGTGGCAGACATTTTTGAATTTTACTATATATTTTGCCAATAAATGGACAACTGAAGACTTTTTATAGACACATTTTAAAAGTGAAACGATTTCAATTGCCATGAAGGATTTCGAATTTGGTAACACATAGACAGACGGACAGACGAATGAATGGACAGACAGATTCAGATTAATTCTCACCTCTCCATCTTTGTACATAGTCCCAATATGGAATTCATATGTTTCTCCAGGGTCAAGATGTCTGTTATTAAAGCCATTGTAATTCCTGTTATCTCCTATCGTGAACTCATTCTTTTCCGCGATCATACTCGGGAGCACATCCGCAGCAACATACTGATCTATATTCTGTGCTTTGGCTTGCTCATACGTCAGTGCTGTGTCATACATTTCTTCACTTGATCGTTTTTTCCTTCTATTTGGAATTTTTACAACTATAAATCTTATAAGACTGGAAAGCAAAAAAAACAGACGGATAAACATAAAAATAGACTCGAAAAAGTAGATTTTGTTTTACTGTAAAAGATGATCTCAGGGAAAAGGCTGTCAAGATGACCAGGCTAGTTGAAAGTGTGTATATTCACTTTTATTATTTTGGCCTGACTGCAAAACCAATCACCACCCAGATCACCTTATACTCATTTGAAACTTGCAAATTATTCAATACTTTCACCATTTGCTAAAATATGGGTAATTTTAAGTAATGGTTACAGTTAAGGACACAATGCTATTTTAAAACCATGAATGTTGACTACCAACATCTGATTCTTGCAATATATCTAATATTTTAACAGTTATAAGAATGAACTTGGGTTTAAAAAAGGGTCATATGTTAACAAAGAGTATATTCAATATGTTTATCTAATTTGAGCTCAATTGAGTCATTTATCCACTTTATTCTCCCGATACTATGTTTTTCAACAAAATTGTCAATATTTTAATATGGGGAATTAACAGTATATAGTAATACTACATCCACACTACATCCAAACACTCTACTTTTATAATTATGAAATATTTGCTCACTCTGGTTGGTCAATCCCTTGTGTGTACATAGCACCCTCTTTAAATGTGATGTCTACCATTCCGTTCATAGATTCCTTGTTACCATCACCAACTTTAACTTTCATATCATCCTTTGGGATCGCAGGAGGAGCTACAATTGAATATTCAATACTATCAATGTACTGGTTCTTTACACATTTTAAATGAATTTCTATCTGTCTGTATGCTTTCTGTTCCAATCCAAAAAGTGAGAATAGGAAACAATTCAAAATATGTTGCACAATGTGTAAAATTTAGAGAACAAGTTTTTATAAAATCACAGGAAAAATACTGAAGAATCCTAGCGCAACAGTGATGATAATGACATCATTGACAAGTTATTCTCTCACAATCATGTGACTTTTCTATATGTTTATCTGAAATCAACATCCAACATTTTAGAACCTCTATTATATGTTAATATAATGTGTTTCTTGTTCAAATCCAGGGCTTACGTTTTTTCATTGTTTTCTGTGTGATTGGATTAGATGCAGGCCCCGGTCCAATACTTGTAGATGCACTAACAAAGCAAGAGTAGTTGCTTTCAGATTCAAGGTTGTCAACTCTTATTTCCAAAGTTGAGCTGTCCACTGTACTTGATCGTTGGAAATCTGAGGACTGATCCTCACACTTGGCCTACAGACATAGTACAATGAAAATTAAACTCATAGTAATATTATTTGTACACATGGAAATATCAAAATAGGTTCTAAATAAAGCTATAAAATCTTGCATCATCTATTACATTTAACTTTAAGTTAATGCAGGTCATGGAACTCTGAAAGGTATTCAACTAGTTCCACTTACAAAAAAGTTCCACTTTCAAAGGTGTTCCACTAACAAAGGAGTTCCACTTACAGAGGACCACTACCTAAAAGCCTTTACTGTACATTAACTTGTGAACAACCACATCTATGTACTGTACTTTATACTCACCGTGTAGTTGGTGATGATACCATTCTTCTCAAGAGGTTCTTCATACTCTAATCTTATATAGTCACTGCCATGTGACAAACGTTTGAGATTCCTCGGGGCGCTTGGAACTGGAAAACATCATGAAAACCAAATACTAAATAGATAATCAGATTACTATTATTTTATTCAATTCAAGAACATTTCTAGCATTTTGAAGTAATACGTAACAATATACTACAGAAAAATGAGAGCGACTTTTGGGAATGTATAGAAAATGGCTGAATGAAAATGTTTGAATTATCCTGTATGATATTAGTAGTTTTTACTTGAACATTAAATGGTCTTCTTTGAAAATTCAGTCTTACAACAACACAATATTGATCAATTAAAAGTTCACCAGGAAATGTTGTTTACATAGATAATACTACAGATCCTTTAAATTACCCCCTTCTTGAGTTCTAAGTTCTCCAACACTGCTGTTTACACTGTAATCATCATCATTTGTAATTCTGATCTTGAATACATATGTGGTGAAGAAATCTAGAGCTGGGATGGTATATTCAGGAGTTTTTGTGTCTTCCATTTGCATAGCACTCCAAACAGTGTCTTCTTCTCTCTTGTATAGGATCTCTACTTTAGTCAGACTGTTACAGCCCCATGTGTCCATAGGGGGATACTGGAAAATATGCCAAATGGTGAAATAGGAATTCAAATATTAATTAACTGAAACTGGAAAAGTACTATTGATATTCATCAGAAATAATAAACCAGAACAACGGCAACGCCAAAGCGTAGCGAATCCCATCGAACAGCCTTGGCTGGCATTTTTACAAACAAAGTATATAGCAAAAATGGCAGCCATTTTTCAAAATGGCCACCTTCTACCAAAAGTGTCATTAGACAGTGTGCCATACTTATAATATTCACATACCAAATATGAACAAAATCGCTCTACTACTTTTCGAGTTATAGTAAAATGCGTTAAAATGGCGGCCATTTTCAAAAATGGCCACCTTCTACCAAAAGTGTCATTAGACAGTGTGCCATGCTTATAGTATTCACATACCAAATATGAACAAAATCGCTCCACTACTTTTCAAGTTATAGTAAAATACATTAAAATGGCAGCTAATTTTCAAAATGTCCGCCATTTTTCAAAATGGCAGCCTTCTACCAAAAGTGTCATTAAAGACAGTGTGCCATGCTTATAGTATTCACATACCAAATATGAACAAAATCGCTCCACTACTTTTCGAGTTACAGCAAAAATCGTAAAATAACGAGTAAAGGCCGCCATTTTTTAAGATGGCTGCCATGTGCTTTTTTAATATCTACATTTCTAGCTTTATTAATGTCTTACATAATTTTTTACATTTAAAACATATTGCTATTACAGTTTTACATATTGCACCTAAATTACTGTAAAATCGGTACTAAAATGGCCGCCATTTTTAAATGAACAGCCATTTTGAAAATCGGCTTTCGAGCAGAACTTCTAACCCCATAGGGTATGTGTGTACAAAATATGAACAAAATCGGGCCAACGGTATTTGAGACTTGAGTTATTGCCCGGACAGACGGATGGACGTACGTACAGACGTACGTACGGACGGACGGAGGCGTTCCCTATATCCCTCCGAACTTCGTTCGATGGGATAATTAAAGTAATGGCTTGATATTTCATATGTTGTATAAATATTTAAAGTCTTACAGTCCAAGTGAGCTTGACAGAAGTTTTTGGACTTTCACTAGCTGAAACACTGTCTGTTATATTGCATCCTTCTGTGGGAGCTGGAAAAAAAATTAAAAAATTTAAATTTAAAAGGTAACAGTTTCTGCAACATTTTCTTATCATTTCTTATTATGTTCATTTATTTTACATATAAGATTTCGATAGCTGAGGCATAAAGGACTATTGTCAGACTCCATATTAAAACCATGCTTTGCCTCATTTATAAAAGATATATTCTCATCTGGATTTTCAGCATAAAAGAGAGATCAAGGACTAGTAACTAATGTAAAGCAGAAAAAACATGAGGCCACCTTCAAAGAGATGCACAAAGCGCGATACAATACCAAAACAATTATGTTAATTTTATGATAACCTCCACATAGGGTTGTTCCTTCAGCTCCTCTTGGTCCTGGTCTCCCTTGGTAAAGCTGACCTTTATACTCAGAGTAAATCACAACCCTGAATGCATAGGCCTTATTAGTAGCAAGGCCAGTAACAACCGTTGTATTTGTATTGCCTTCTCTTATATGGTCCACCTGACAAGAGATTAAATCTATAATTAACATTTTTGACTTTTAACTTTATTTTGATGCCTTTCTACTTATTACAAGTAATTTAATACAATGAATAATGACAAAATTGAATATTGTATGTGAAGTACTTCAAAATCACAGATATCATAGCCTCAAGTTAATTAATGCACATGTATTGCATTTACTTGTCTTGTACAATAACACCAAAGTGTTCTTCCAAAGTGTGTTACCTTAGGTCCATCGGTGCATATGTCCCCCACACGAGGTACATCACAGTACTGTACAATGTAATGCTTTATAGTGACTTTGTCTGCATCACCTGCATCCACTCCTGATGTCCACTGGTTGAATGTTACACTGATTGAATCAGATGTAACACTTCCTTCAGCTAACACTGGTGGCTTTGTCATAACAGGCAGATCTAATGAACACAAAATATTGTTGTAGCAACAGCATCAATATGTTTTTGTACATTAGTTTTGGATATTGAACTCTGATGACCGTAAAATTAAAACAAAATTCCAATTGTATTGTTTCTCATGTATACTCTCATCTTTTGTGAATCTGAACATCTCAATATACATGACAACCTTTCACTTCTCTGTATTACCTTTAGTCAAAGAGTTGTACAAGGGAAATAAAGTGATGAATGAGACAATCACCTTTGCAGAGTTCTTAAACATTTTCGGATTGAAATTCCTTGACATATTCAGGGAACAATATGAATTTTCAGAGCCGTTTTGCTTTGCACTGCTTCAAGAAACTCATTTCATCTTAATTTCCCTTACATTTTCAGGTCTGCAAGAACAACAATTTGCGACTGTTTTGGTCACTCTTAACTTAAAAGTCTCTTTGCATTACAATCAAAATATTGATATTGTATTTTATTGGACTTACATATATCACATAGAGCACCTAAGTAGTAATCTGCACAACCACAAGAGCCATCAAATCTATCACATGTGCCCCCTGAGCATCCATCATCACACCTTTGCTCACAGTTGTCTCCCCAGTAACCACTGGAGCATGCTAAAATATGTGTTTATAACACATGTAATCATAGTTGACAGAAGAAGAATAAATTACTAGTAAGCCAATCAGTGGGGTCTAACAACTAAACTTCAAATTAGTTGTCCCAGCCATTTTTTCTTCAATTTTAGAAAATGAAAGAATTTGTCCACATGCAAACAAATGGGGGTAAATACAATAGTTTGACAATTATGCTTATTTTTCATCTATTCACCACCTTTTAAGGCTGCTGTCAATCATCTTGAGGCCAGAGGTGAATCTGAGTTATGGTACATGCACTACACTAACATATTTTACTATGAGATCCTACCTCTCTGACAAGGTCCATTGTCTGCATCATCTGTCCATCCTGCACCACAACCATTGCTACATTCTCCAGTTGCTTTGTCACATACATCATTGTTCTTACAATGACATGTCTTGTCACATCCACTTCCAAATGTACCTGCGTCACATGCTGTAACAAAGCAGGAAAAGGTTAAATGATGTTGTTTTTTATAAGGTCTGACTGGAGAATTTTAAAATAATTTTGCATTTGGTTCCTAATTATCTCCATAAAATGACTTACTACTTGTACATACAGTACAATACCAATACTAGATGTACCTCAACTTTTTTCCATGAAAATAATATAGAAATCTAAATTATATTAGATCATATTCATCAAATGAAAATCATATACACATGATGGATTGTGGTTTGGGGTAATATTTGGAAACACTTTCGGAATGAACAGGTTACTATTTGTGAAAATTGAATACAATACTATCATCTCTAATGGACCTACAATAATGATATAATCATATAGACGAACAGTGACTTCACTGCATCAATAAATATCATAATACCCCTTTTAAGTTACATACATATTGTCCCTTGAGATAAAACACAAATACAACACTTGAGAATAAAAAAAGAATATTGAAAAGTAAGACTGTTTATCATCTACAAGAGCGTATTTGTTAATGTACATCTTTAGAATGGTTGATATTGACTTCAATTTCAGCATTATGACATACTGTACAGTACCAAAACTCTGCATCAAAGTACCACAGCATTATTGTTCTCGATTCAGAGAGGTTTCCAGTGAGTATCTCCAATAGATATTCTAATTGGCAATCCTCAATATATTAGTAGGTGTTGGACAGTTTGTGATGGTCTAAATTATTAATTTCGCTCTTATTAATTCAGGTCTCCCTATAGCACAATAGCAATGTGAATGCCAAGAACATGTAATTATTTACAAGCATTAATGTTCAATTGCTGCCATTTGGCAGGTTGTATTGTTATTCTTAACTTATGTTTAACTTCGGGGATAAGTTAGTTCATTATAATTAAATATGTATGATTGACTGGAGGTATGACTAATATACGATCTGTTCAAGTAAAATAATTGTATTCAGTCAAGCATAACTGCAGACTTATTTCAAGCATCCGTGACCCAAAAATGAGCACATTTCCACCTTCCCGATGGGTATATATAATATACATAATATGGATAAGCAATATTCAAGATTAATAAAAACCTGATATAAATAAAAACAAGCATTAATGATGAGCCATCATACACACCTAGAGTTTTCAATAGAATGTAAACCAAATTTTAGAAGATTTCAATACCCGCAGTGTTGTGATGATTTGCTTTAAAATGAATTGAAGCAAAATTTATAAGTGGCGTGCACATTCAGAATGACTCAAGATAGGAAGTTCTATCATCACACTTCTTTTCACAGCCATACAAACATCTATTTTATTTTCTATATCTGATTGAATGCACAATGACACACCTTTGACCTCTGTATTGAAATTAAAAATTCATGGGAAAAATGTAAGCCTTCTCTGTGAATAGCACTTATAGCATATTCTAGTTATGAGCAAAAATTGCCCTCAGCTTAATATGAAAACATGATTTCTGATTCATACTGTAGATTTATCCAGACATTAATTAATGTCAGAAAGAGTTTTGAATGTTTTACTAAGGTGTGGAACATTCATGAGAACAAGGGAGTAAATATACACCCTTGATCATATATATAGAATATTGGGTAATTCACAAAAAAATATATATTGTCCTAACTATAACAATTACAAAAAGTTAATTGTAGGAAATTGCAAGAATGATTGTTTAGGTAAAAAATACTGTCTACTACTGTCTGGGTAAAATAAGTTTTCCAGGAAATCTTTATTAATCTCGAGAATATGTTCTTTAACCAGAGTATTCTTAAAGATTTCAATGGATTTTAACAGATTAATTCCTAAAAAATGAAAAATGTTGTAAATTACAAATGTGTTTGGTTTATTTTTCTGACCAGTCTATGAAGAAATATTTCTTTGCCATTCATTAAAATTTGAGAGGGCATTGAAAATGATGAAATCAATGGTTCATTGGAAAACATTCCATACATATGAGCAACAGTGTATTAAGATCACAATGACTTCTACTGTGTTGAAAGACCACACAAACATGACAAAGATTTGTCATTTACATCGTTACAACATTATTTTGCTGCCTTAAAATAATATTAAAGGTGAAAAGTACAGGGTGTTATAAGCCAAGGTACATAAAATTGGCTGTTTACTGTTATTTTTAACTTGTTATTTGCAGATGGATTTTCTGAACTTTAAATTATGTTTACTTTCATATTTTATTCATATAATTAAACATTCCATGTTAATAATCAATAGAATTTGAATAAAATCAATAGATTAAAGCGAACACACACAATATGATTCAATATCATAACAAATACTAGAAACAGCTTTGTTTCTGATATATTAAATACATATTGACCAATTAAAATAAATTCTGCTTAAGTTAATCTTATCAAAATACCAGGATTGTTTTTGCACATGTATTTGTATTCATTTTATTGGATTTGAGAACCATATGTTTTCCAAATCCTAAAATTACTTGAGTTTATATCTACTGATGTAAAAAAACAAGTATATTAATGTAAACAGGTATATTGAGGTGAATATATAATTTAACAACACAATATCCGTGGATTACATGTAGTTTTCCTTTAAATGAGCCACTGATATAAAAATGTACTTAAATAAATATAAGATCATAAACACTTATTATTTAAAGAGGATTATTAACCAACCTATTACACGGGCATACGTGTATATGTTAAGTACATAAGTCCATCAACATGATCATGTGGATGAATCGTTTTTGGATGTATTACTCTTTTGAAATATTGTTCCTATGTTCACAAAGTCACAGTAATATGAAGGATGAGTTTACTTACTAGTATTTTAAGCAACCCACATTCATATTAAAGTCAAAAGAATGAAACAACAATATATCCTATATTTACTACAAAATTTTCGGAAATCAAATACCAAAAGAATATAAATGTGAAAAACTATAGTAATACATTTATGCTTCTACATAAAAGTGCATAAAAGTTATATTGACATGAGTTTTTGACACATATTTTACCCTCCCAATGTCTACTCAAAAAATGATTTTAGAAATTAAAATCCTCAGTTACGCCAATTTTAGATAGAAAAGTTCACAACTTTGATTAACCAATCTGATGATAGTACTGCATTAAGGTGAATAAGGATACATAGTATATAGTCCACCCGTATAGCTCAGCGGTAGAGCATGTACCTCCTACGCAATTGGTCCCGGATTCGAACCCCCGTTCAGGCAAGACTTAATTTGCTTGTTTGCGTAAAGTACTTCAGGGTGTTTGACTGAGTGGTCCACAACTCATATAAAAGGCTGTTGTATGTACTTGTATGCCTATGTATAAGTGCACATAAAAGAACACAGAGTTCCTTCAAGGAGGGACTTCTGGGTCTATCTTCCAGGATAATTAGGTAAATTACGACCATATAGATATACTCAAGAAGTATTGCTCACCATCATTAATGGTTAACAAAATACAATACACTTCATGGATTGTAAATTATTTGAGGTAAAGGTACATTGTGTACTTTCTTTCACAACAATTTAAACCACTTTAGTGCAACTTAGAGTGTCATTGTGACATTGTAACAATGTCTTTCTTTGTTGCGGCTTTATGTATATTTACAATTTCTTAAAAAAGTGACATGGATTTTAAAGAATCTATAATGTATGCATAATAGATTCCTCGAAATTCAACTTTAAAATGATACAATACATATCAAATGCATTATCAAGTTGCAAAATATCACACCATCAGGTTGTGTATAAACTAGAAAACAGCAACTCCCCAGTGTAGCAGACCCCACAGAGCAAAATATATTTTATCACATCACTTGTCATTTTGAACATTTCATGATACAAATAACCAGGTGGTAGTAACATGGACATACGGCTTCTCTATATCCCTCACAAACTACCTTCAATGAGATACTATAGTAATTCAATCTTCAGTATGACACACACACATTTCTATAAAACACTCCTCCCAAATGAATTGAGGTTACCTACCTTGGTCACACCCTGTGCCCTTCCACCCAGCAGCACAGCCAGATGTACAGACTCCTGTCCACTTGTCACAATGCTCTGAACTGTCCTTACAATGACACCGGGAGGCACATGTGGAGCCAAAGTATCCCTTTTCACACACTGCAAATATCGTATAACACAAATGAATTTTTACATATGTGTTTGTAATGTACCATTAGAAATGATTCCGAGGTAATTTTCTTTTATTACTATTTTTGTGGATGTGGGTTGATATTCTTTGTTAACATTCGAAAGTTCAAGAAAAGCAGGCAGAAAAATGAAATTAACTGTGACAACATCCGTAAACATCCGCTAAATTTTGTTGAAAGAGGTTTAAAATCACCACCCAGCATATTCAAATGAAAGAGCCATGCAAATTTGCTTTTATAATTCTACCTAAGAACACAATGTGCCTCTTCCACTTTGGAAGTGGAAACTCTGAAGAACATGAACTAAATTTGTAGTAAGTATAACTTACCATTTATCTTCACCTCACACAGAGACAGTATAGTTTTAGAGTTTGTAACTCCCCTTCTGATGATCACCCAGTTTCTCTCTATGTTACTCAAGAACATGATCTTAATTTGAAGTTATTATGGCTTACCATTTATCTTCACTTCACACAGAGACAGTATAGTTTTAGGACCTCCTCCTCTCCTGATGATCACCCAGTTTCCCTCTAAGTTACTGTCACATTGTACTACTCGGGTTTCTTTGTTTGGTAAAGTTTCTGTTCTACATAGAGCATTCTGATTGTAGTCCTGATCACTTCCCACATAGATCTTATATTCTACACTTGAGCTTGATGCTGCATCCAAAATATATAAATAAATTTTAATACATTTTCAACAGTAATAGGCAACAGCTAATGAACATATATGCATGGACTCATCAACAATTTCAACCAAATACAGTTGGATGTAGTTAATTGGTGATAAATAATGAAAATGCACAACACAACACAATCAATGCCATGTTACAGGCACACTAAAGATGTATGTGGTATTTTGCAATTGTAGTTAGCCTCATATTATGAATGTTGAAACAAAATGGATAGACATCATGGTTTATATAGTTATGTTACTTTGTAGGACATGCTTCTATATATTCAATGAGAAGAATTCTCATTTATAGATAAATTGATATAATGCGTAAGTGTGACATCAAGGAACATCCAAGAAAAGCAGCACATAACTAACTGTTCTATGAATGTTCATTCCATCTCAGAGTTCAATTTAAACTCTGAAATTCAATACATTTGATAAGTGTAAGAAACTGTTGTGTTTGCACTTATATGATAACTTACCTTGTTTGAAGTATGTGTAGCGATTGCCTCTTCCTTTAGAGTCAGGCTGAGCTGTAGTACCACAATTCATGCTACTGAATGCATAACATCCCTTTATTCCATCACTAGCAGGTTCCATAGCAATCTGGAATCCTTTACAATCATCTCTACCCCTGCATCCTTCCAGGCAGGTTGAGAAGTCAAATTGTCCATTTGTTGTCAAATCATTTATTGTAGGCCCTGTACAAGTTCCATTTTGAGCATCAAATAATGGATCTGAAAAATTATTTCTGTGAAATATTTCAACAACAAAAAGAAGTATTGGAAAGAGATACATTTGTAATTTCAGATCAAACAACACCAAAAGGTCTACCTTTTGCTTGTGTAGTAATCTCAATATTATTAATCTGATGACTTCCATCCAGCGGAACCCTCCAGTAGGGACCATCATCTGCATTGGTCTGGGAACATGTTGCAACGTTAAGATCATTTGCTCTGAAGGCATTGTAAGCAGATTCTATCTTATTGTAGCTGGTATCAAACTGGTAGTAGCTTGAAGATTGCTCAGGTGACCTGCCCTGTGCCATGTTCACATAGCCACCATCTGGAAATCAAGAATCAAAGGTGAAAATTGGTCATGTTTAGCAGGTAGTATCTACTAACATGACAATCTTATTCATGTAAATGTTGCTACAAGCACATGGTCAATATCTTTAAGTAAAAGAAATATGTGACACTCAGAAAGAAATGGAATCATATTTAGAAAGAAACTTTAATTAGGCAGCATTTGAATATCACAAAGAATACAAATGTTTGAACTGCATCATTTGAGCAACATAAGGCCATATCAATAAATGAAATTGATACGCTTGATAGAATTACAGACCAGTATGAAGCATGTCAGGCAAATTCAAAACCTTCGAGAAAGGTTCATGCTCATGATGTAATTTCTCAGTATGTACTTAGTATTGAAATGAGACTGATGCAATCAGGCATTGGAACTTACTATATATTAATTTGGTACCATTTTAAAGCACATTTTATGTTTTCCAATACTTGGTGATGAATATTTATAAAAACACGCCTGGTGATCGTACAAAATGGATGGGGGGGATTAGGCGATTTCTGCAAAAAAAAACTCAACAAATTTGGAAGATCTATTTTTTCAAGAGAAAATTTACAACTGAATTGCCAAATGAATAGGCATGTTAGGTCATCTAGTATTTTTTTTGAACTGATACCCTTCTAAGATATGAGATCTATTGAAAAAGGCGCATCATCACCAACGTGCAAAAGTCAATGTTTTTGCTATAAATCGGGCAACAATGGTCTACACGACCTGTAATAAATAGGTATAAGGGACGTTATTATCACCATACTTATGACATTGCTCACTTTTTAAAGTTAGTTTCCATGCGTTATACAAAAAATAATCGAAATAAATTAATATTGGATGGAGTGGGGATCACGTGTATGTAAGACATGCTACTTGAATTTATTCTTATGACTCCAAATTTTCCCATTTTTCATTCTCCAAAGATATAATATCCAGTTTCTTACTGGGGTACTGAGTTTAGTTTTTTCAAATACACGAGTTCTTATGAATTTGTTGACATATAAATCTTGAAATATCTTGATAAATCTATAAAAAATTGAGTTTTCTTGCAGAAATCGCCTAATCCCCCTCCATCCATTTTGTACGATCACCAGGCGTAAAAAAGCACCAGTTGTGAATGATAGATAGAACCAGCCAATATGAACTTCAGTACATGTATACCAATTACAGGGATGAAATATTTATATTCAACCACATGTTATCATGCAATGATTCCACATGCGTGTTCATGTGCAGTATGTCATGGATATGACTGTGTTTTGCATAATGATATTGGAATATTAATGTAAATGCCAACATGGGTAAATTAAGCCTCATGGTCTTGTCTTTACTCAATTAAATCTTTCATCCAGTATACCCCTTCCTTCCCACTGGCGGATCCTGGTGCGGGCCCAGAACAAAATTTTAGGGTGCCAAAATGTTTGTAGGGCCTCAAAAATAGGCCTTCTTGGACATTATTTTAGACCAAGTTTTCAAAAAAGGGCCTTGAATTTTCAAAATTTGGGCCCAATTTTTGGTTTCAGGGGGCCAAATGTGCGGAAAAATTTCCTGACTCAAACTTTGGGCCCCCCTTGTTAGCTTCTGGATCCGCCGTTGCCTCCTCTTAGCACAAGTTAGAAGAGGAATAAGGAGTACAGTGGTTTCATCAATTGATGCAAGAGTACTGACTGTTGTAATTCCCCAAATATGAAACAGACAACATGGGTGTCATCATTTCAATTTCCAACGTTTAAAGCTTCTCAAAGCATATTTATATAAGTATGCATATGTATATAAAGAGTACCAGGGACCTTTGTGCACATCCTTCATTATTTACCTAAAGTTAATCTACTGTGAAACAATCAGATATCAGGGCTTAAGACTCGCAAATTGTAAACAAGAATAAAAAAATACCTGTAATTTCCACCAGTGCTGATTTGTTGTACCTGTTTTTGAATAGCATCATGAGATTAACAAACTGACATCTGATTACCCTACTAAGTTCAAAAACTTATATCCTAGAAAACTTACCAGTACAAGTTCATGGTTTAATACAGGTAGCTATTTTAGGAACTTGGCAAAAATGTAACAAGTAGTATCAAGAGTTCGAACCCTGCTAATTTTGTGACAATATGTTGGAATAAGAATAAAAAGAACTCAATTATTAATTACATCTGGCAATGTTTCTTTATATAATAGTAATATGATGAAGCTACAATTTAAAGACTACATCACATTAAAGACATGTCTGTTTACATCTGTAATTATATACAGATATATACAAGTTTATCAGAACTTAAGTACCATGAGATCAGGATGACATTACTAGTTATCAACCCACTCATATTTTGACTCAGGATATATGTATGAAAACCAGTTTTCTGCAAGTTGAAACAACCTTTGACAAACATATGAGAAATACAATTAAAGAATCTGATATCTGTTCATAAGAACACCACCCTAATGATACATCAGTTTATGAATTAGCACTACTTGCTTTAAGCTTGAAGTGCTACATCAACAATTAGTGACCGAGCTCGGGCATACTGGGGGTGCATTGGGTGCGACCACACTCTCCTTTTGAGCCAAGAAGAGGAAAGAAAAACTGTGTGCTCTAGCGAAATAGGTGGAGCAGCTAGACTTCAAGTTCAAGCAAGCTATGCTAATAGAGATACACCGCATTGGAAAAATCTGGGGTGAGCCCCTGCAGTGTTTAGTGATCATTTATACAATGAATGCTGAAACAACAGTTTCGTCGAAATCTTATATAATTCTTCCATTATCAATATCATCACATGATCGTACTATAATCTTTTGGACCAATTGTACAGAAGGTTGCAACTCCCATCCCCTAAACACAACAACTCACAAAATTAAAACATATGTTGCATTAAAAGTCTACTTAAACCGTTCATCTTTATCATTATTCTTTCAATACTCGTAAGTCTCAATGGAACTGACAAGGTTTGTAACAACATACATATATATATATATGTACCTGTGCTCTGTCAACTGGGGTCATCACAATGGACAAGGGTATAGATACAAACTTTTAGACCTTTCAATAGAAATAAAATAAAACAGGTATTAGTGAAAAGTAAAAGTGAGAAAACAGCGCATGAGTGTTAAACAGTGACAAGTGAATAAAGACAGCATCCATGCGTGTAGCGCTATTATTATGAGTAGTACTCCACCATGGGAATAAGAGTTGAATGAAGTGAAAAATGAGCGTTTAGTGGGGGCGGTTCCCATCAGAAAAAATCTAAGCTTGGTTGTATTTGGAGTGTATGTAAAACCATCTGGTACGCCTGTGAGTACCAGGCCTACCAAGGCACCTTATAGGGCTTATAGTAGGGCCATGGGTTTTCAATTAGACTAGTTGAAACCCCATGGTAGGGCCTATATCTTATAGTGCCAAAGAGTTCGCTGAACACAGACGTGGACAAAAGGGCGAAGATGACACAAGAAACTGAACTGTTTCTCCTTTTAGACTCCAGAGCATGGATAATTCGCTGACATGTGATATCTAAACGTATTCCTGACTACTGCGATGCATTTGTTTTGGACAGTGGCCCAAAGATTGAAAGAATATCAGTTGTGCAACGAAATGGCAACAGGTTCAGGATTCAAGCGATATCAGTCAATGGACAATATAGCACAAAAAATAAAATGACAACATTATAGAAATGCAATTGCATAAACATATATCTAGTTATACACTCATTTTATGCATTTTAATTAATGTGAAGCCTCCCCCTCCCTCCTCTGTAGATTTACATGGTTAATTATTTATTAACTTCCGGGTCGATTGGGCGTATAGTGGTCCACAGAAATAAAGTTGTTTTTACCTCAAGTGACACCTCTTACTTGGATTAAATTTTACAATTATATGTATATGACCCTCCTCCACAATAAAACACTATGAAATATGACTTACCTATAGATTTGATGACCAAGACCAGGTGGCAAAGTAGAACCACTTTCCAGCGACTTTTCATGTTTACAATTTAATCTAAATGACGGATTCCGCGAAACGAATACATAAGTGTCCCAATAGCTAGGGCGACATCTTTAAATTCAAATATTATTATTTTCGACTTGTCATAGATCCCGGCCAGATTCTTTTGTAGTAGAATCAGTAGCTCAATTAATATTCTTGAAAGTTTCTAAAATCCGCTGTATAAAAACAAGTTCAATAATTAACACTTAATTATTCTTAACGTCTTCCAATGTTCTTAATAAAACTTATGAAGCTAGTCTTTATTTTACAATAATTTATTATTTTTTCAATAAGAATTGCCACCATTCTTAGAGAGAATTTAAACATTTCCACCCATTTTTGCACTTTGAATCTATTATAACTCCACAAAATAACATATCATGAATCTTTTGGGAGATTGTAATTGAGATTGTAAGGATTGTAAGGTTAGGCCTAGGTCAATTGTACATACTTGTATTGCTTGTAATTTTGTCACCCGCATAGATCTGATATTCTGCCGTGGTATTTCCCCGGGTATTTCGAAGGATTGGAAGCATTAGAAGTTGCTGAAGTTACTACACACCAACCCGCGCAATCAACATAAAGTTATATAATGATTTGTAAAATGGTTGTGCCGTTGGTGTGCACATCTGATTTTTAAACTTTAAATTCACATGATCAATGGCGTAGCTAAGCGTCATGTTATATAGGCCCTACAATAAACGCCCCAGTGGCGTTAACTAAATTTTAGGGAAAAATTGATTTATTAAGCATATATTGAATTGCCCCATACATGAAAATGGATAAAAATGGCCAATAATTTACATTATAATAGTCCATATTCGTCGGAATTTCGATTTTAAAACGCCTGAGAACGCTTTAGGCTAAATGTAATCTCCCCGGTAATCTCATTTTAAACCTTCAACAATTTGGCCCAAAAATCTCCAAAGGAGAAGGGGAAATTAGCGCAACAGATTTTGGACAGTCATATGTTGGATTTTGGCCATTTTCTGAGGATTTAAACAATTGCATATGTTAGGCGAATGCATTACCTCCAGGAAAATCACTTCTATTCAGGGGCTTTAAGATACCCATTATGGGTGACCAAACTTAGCTGAAAGCAATGATTTTTACCTATGGGAAAATAACATGGGAAATATTGTTTTCCACTTTATGACTGTCCAAAATCTGTTGCGCTAATTTCCCTACTCCTTTGGAGATTCTTGGGCCAAAGTTGTTGAAGGTTTAAAATGAGATTACCGGCTAATTTCCCTCCTCCTTTACTTGAAAAGTGCTCAAAATGGTGAAAAACTGCATGATTTTGAGAGTATTTTTGGCCAGGGGAGGGGTCGCTCGAGTCGCCCCCTCTTGAGTGAAACCTCTTGAAAGCCCATGGTGTTTTATGAGAAATAATACCCGAGGGCCTTGATTTTTCAGTGCTCTGAAATTGTGACTGAAAGTGCGATAAGTTGAAAATGTGCCCAATAAACGTACTGCTCCAAATGACAAGACCTTTGAAATTTCGAAAAATCGTCTGAAACAAAAATTGTTGTAAAAAGGAAAATGGATTGCTTTCAAATCATTTTTCTCTTCAAATCATTTTTTTCTAATTCTAGGAATGAATTAAAATTTTAAAAACCCTAGCATAGTTTTGGGCACTTCATTTTCTGAAAGATTTGATAGATTTCGTTTGATGACCTTTCCAAACTTTTAACTATTTTTCATTCACATTTTCAGAGGTTTGAAAAGGATAACTTACACACTGGTGGATCCAGAAGATAACAAGGGGGGACATTTCAAGAAGGAACAAGATTTCCAGAAAAAATGTGGGCCCCACAGAAGCAGAGGTAACGCTCGGAGTGATGAACTTCGAAAATTCGATGCCCATATTATGATGACTTGGCCTAAAAAGGTCTAAAAGTCCAAGATTTCCCAAAAAAGGCCCATTGTTGACGCCCTACAGAATTTCCTGGACGTATCTACAATACGAACCAAATTAAATGAATTTAATTAACTGAAACTAGGACATTTTCAACTAGGACGTTTCATCCTTCTACACCATTCTATTCTCATAATAGAAAAAAATTCTCTGAGATGTTATGTTAATTTCATTACTAAAGGGTTGATAGTTGCGATCACAACAATGTTGGTATTGTCTATTGTGCCCTTGGTCATGTCCCTTAGCAGACAATGACCTATAATTACAATGAAAATAATACCTATTCAGGGCCCTATTTGTTTGATTTACATTTACAAAATGTTTAATCACATTCAATTACAAAAATGTCATTTTCATTAGTGGTTTTGAAAATGAGAACACAATTTTGTTTTTATTAGTTTGCCTTCTGGCCTCATTAGCATACACATTTAAGTTTTCCCAAGTTATATACACTAGACAATACCACGTATTAAAAGATAACATGATAGTTCAGTTTAACAAGTCAAGTAAATATGAATCGAACAAATTAAATGGTACATTAAAAATATAATTCGGAAGTGAGGGAAACCGTCCTCTAATTAAGTATTCGTAGTTTGGAGAACGAGTTTCTCGCAGTGTAACTAATGGACGAAAACTCAATTTCTTACCTGGAGTATGTTTCCAATGCCATCGTGTCATGACAACATATTGGACCTAATTTTGAAGTAACGTACACGGTATATGCAGATAAATGTTAAAAAACAGCACTATTCAAGCGAGGGGTGCTGCTTACGGAAGGACTTAACCAAGAAAAATATTAGAGATTTATTCTGTACGACTTGTTAGGCCTAGTTAGACATATCATAGAAGATGAGTAGTATGCCAAGACCATACAGTTCTGCCAGTCACCCGCGGCAAGATACACGGTGAGTTACTTACTGAACGTACTCGGTTCACATTGCATTGTCTTTTCATTATATACCCATTCTGATACTCATAGCATCTTTCTGTTTCACCTGAAACAGGGCTGAGAAGAAATGAGATGTCATGGTATATCATGATGTTATATACCATGCAGAGTCTCTCTGTGTAGGCTTTTAACATTGAGTTCCCTCTTCTTGATATTTCCCCATTTTCCGCTGGCCATAAGGGTAGAAGCAGGTGTATACTCTTCATTTTTTGCATACTGCGTCCCTATAAAATGAATGAATTAGAATAACACTACTATTTTCACAATTCTATTGATATTAGGGGTCAACTGCTCATATATGGACATATTTGAAGACCCAAAACGCCTTAGTTTCAGAAATATCACAAATTAGAGTGGTCCAAAAAGTGAGCCGCTAAAACGGGCTATATTTCCCTTATTATCTGCAGGAATCCTTTCATATTTTCACATGTTGTAGAGGAATGCATGTTTAAAGTTTTTGTTCGTATCATACATTTTATTAGTCTTGCATAAAGTATAAGTCCAAACCAAATATTACTGAAAATGGATAAAATGTGAACTTTAAGATCCGCGATTCTTCAACCCTTCCCCTGACAATTTTTACCCGCTGTCTGAAAGACCTAATATTTTCTGACTTTATTTGGTTTTGAATTCCACACATTATGGTGTAAAAGCTAGCATCCTACCTTCTTTAGTTGCAAAATTATTGTGATCCAAAGAAATGTTCTAGGTTTGCAATTTGCATTGACGATTTCAAGTGAAATCGCAACATTCCCCTATATATATACTATATGGTCTTAAAATGTCAATATCTCAATTCTAATGAAATATGGCTCAAAACGTTGAATATTGGATTTTCTTTTGAATTTTGTAAGATATTTATATGAAGGGCTTCTCGGATTCCGGGGCACAGGGGGCAAATATTTCACACAGGCCCCGTCTGCATAGTGTGTGATGAGCGGCGGAAAAGTACGCCATAACTTCACAATCCATTCCAAAATGGTGGATAAACCGCTCGGAGAAAAACTGCTACGCCTTGACCTATTTTTCAGTAAAGTGTGTCACTCCCGGGAAGTTTTTAACTTTATTTAACGATAGAATTGAAAAACTGCAAGCGTCATTACAGTTTTTCAAAACACGTTGGACAGTAACTTGACATATTTCTTTTCATTATAACCTCAATAATGTATGCCAATCTAATGTTGAATATGTATTGATCTAAATCTTAAAGCGGTAAAGGTTTTCATTTTGAATACCGAAAAAACAGAAAAAATCAAACACCAAATTGAAAAAAATGAGTCGATGAACAGCTGTTCTTTATTTAGCATCATTCATTCACAGAGATCTGAGCCAAAGATAAACAGTACATAAAAAGTGAATCTTTTTAGTGCGTCTTTGGTTGAATCATTTTAGAGCCGTGGAAGTAAATATTGACAAGGGAAGTAAAACTTTAAATATCACATTTGTAATGATCAGACTGACGATTGATCCCACGATTGAACGCAAACGTTAAAAGAGACTGAAGATGAGATATCCGCTCGTTTATAGCTATAGCGATGGCATACCAATCAAATATTATGAGACAAATCAACCAGCAACATATTCACAAGTTGTATACAAGTATGCCTCTAACAAAACGGCTCTACCAATTATATCTTCGTAAGTACATATCATATATAGCAATGACAATTACATCACTACCTTTATTAGAGAATCAGATCTAGCGAGTAAGCTAAACAAAAAACTTGTTTGAATTTTAGAATACTTTTGGCTCATATCATTCTTTGTCATGTCTATTTTTTATTCCAGGAAAAGTTGACTGTTCCGGTCACTTAGAACTACGCGTTTGCTTCAATGGTCATTTTTCTATATAAAAAAAATTTTAAGTCTCGTTTTAATGATTTTTAACCATTGAAGACTAACGTGGGGCTAAATCCCATTGTTGAAAACCCTTTAAAGGTTCATTTACTCTTACAAGGATCACAATTCTAATGTGAAATCACAATCCACATGTCAATAAGATCATATAGTCACATTCCAATGGTGTTTGACATGTATGGTTTGATACCTAGATCTCCTACTTATAAATCAAAAATATGTATCGATATACAATATACGAGGTACAGGTATATCTACAATTACTGCTTTACAATAAGTCATAATGCCGCTGTTTTTTGCCTGATAACATTTTCCTGAACTGAATCCGGTTGGGTTTGATCGTCTTTACTACGCATAGCTAATAGGGTGGAATGAGATTTTTCAAATTAAAGAATATTTGGTTTGACCTATACTTCTTGGACTTCTTTTGATATCTCAAAACCACACCATGCGTTTAAGGGAAATGCGTATGTTTGGAATTTTATGTAGTCCTCATTCACTGGTCAGTATCAAGCGGAGGTAACGGCCGTCACCTCCGCATCAAAGATGGCGGAGGGGAAGTGTAGCTTTCGATATTTTTAGTTTTCATCGAATTAAACTTTATAGCAAGTTGACATATAATGCTTTGATATTTGACTAAATCCGACTTATATGACATGGAAACTATGGAGTATGATAATTTGTTCATATATCATGCGTAGGTGCCATAATTGTTCAACGATATCTTCCACCGTTAAGGGAAGTTTCCATGTCATATAAGTCGGATTGAGTTCCAATATCAAAGCAATTTGTCAACTATAGTAGTCCAATTCGATGAAAACTAAAAATATCGAAATCGACATTTCCCGTCCGCCATCTTTGATGCGAATGTGACGGCCGTTACCTTCGCTTGATACTGTGTCATTGGAGTCACATGTTATTTTCAGGTATTTTATATACGATCATATTTGCACAAAGAGTGCGCTATAGTACCTCATTCTGATACTCATGGCATCTCTCTAGAGATGGAGAGGGCGTGGCTTACCACGATGATGGTACCTCGAGAAATTTGGTTATAAAATGTATAAAAAGGGGAAAATAAAGTGACTTACTTATTTTGTACTATTAAAAAGTAGGTCACTTAATTTTCTTAATTTCACACATTTTATACATTAAACAAAATATTCGCCACCCTCTTTTTTATGAGCAAAACGGAAAGATGTAGACAATGTGGGTAAGGAGAAGTCTATATTTGAAAAGTAATATGTGACTACTATATGAGGATTGCGTCAAAATGGCCCAAAGTACACATTGACATGTAAAATCCCATTATGGAGACATCAATAGAGATACTTGTTAAGGAAAAAATATTATACTTAACTCCAAATCACAACAAAGCACCTCGTTTTTAACATTACAATCTTCATCAATTTTAAACAAGCCAGTCGTTTAACCATGGGGAATGGCAAATCTTTTCCTTCGACTTATTATTTTTTGCCAACATTTTCATTGTCTAGGTCGCATTTTGAAACTCTAAAATGTAGCCCCAAGTGCGACACAACAATTTTACAAAAACATATGAGATGACACTTGAATGTATCATTAATTATGTTCAAAACAATACTAGGCCTACATCATCGATATAAAAGTTCAATTCATTAATAAATAAATATTTAACCCTTGAGTGCTAAATTGCCGCTCTTTTTCACATTGGTTCGAAAGACAGACATTCAACGATGTTGACATGAAGCAACATGCTTGCTTAGCACGGGTGTAGCCAGGCACCAGGCAGGTTAAATATTCCAAAATATTGCAAAAATATTTCAGACGTTTTTTCAACGAAAACTGAAAAATGTGGAAGTTAAGTTCAGAGCTGAGATGGAAATACGCCATCGGGCCCGTAGCCAGAATTTGCCAAGGGGGGGGGTTCAGTTTTCAAAAATTTCCAGGGGGGTTCACATTTGACAATTTTGGTCCAAATATGGCTAAAATCACTTGAGAAGTGCTCAAAATGGTGAAAATCTGCATGATTTTGAAATAATTTTTGGCCTGGGGGGGGGGTCGCCCGAACCCCCCCCCCCCCCACCTCCCTGGCTACGGGCCTGTGTCATTCTGATTTATCATAGCAACTCTTTGTCTAATTCTCTTTCTATTGCAAGGGATATATACTAGTAAAGGCTGTTGATCCCATGATGGAAAGATACCTCTTTTAGCCTCAATTTCCTCACCAATTAATTTTTGCCTCGCCTAATTAGATTCTGACTACACCCCAGGCCCTGATTATTATAAAATAAAGTGTTTTTCAAAATCGATTCCTTCTCAGTTCGTTCATTGGCGACTGAATCGCTTGAATCATTGTATTTTTTCTTAAAACAAACAGTAAGGAGAAAACATAATAAGCTCAGTAAAAAGGTGATTTCTGTTTACTTTAAAAAATAGGTTAGGATAAATAGCCTGTGTAAAGAGGCGGTTTGTTTAAAATTGGATTATTGCTCTCAAAGAATATCATAATATCAAAGGAAATATGAATGGCGACAATCTGAACGGGAATAACTCATCGTTGGTTCAAAGGGTTAAACTATTTCCTGACACGTAAGTACAACTGCAATCATCATTTATGTATATTGTCAATTGTATACCGTTTAAAAATCTTCGGAGTTCTTTAATACCACACGGGCGGACTGTTGAAAGACACGTTTCATAAAGGTTAGAAATATGCCCAGCTACACAGGAATACCGACCCAAGCTTTAGTTCCAGCCAAGGCCAAGTAAGTGTGATTGCAAATGAAAAGTCCGAATGAGGTTAGCTAAGGCCATAAGACATTTTTAAAAGACTGGAATTTTAGGTCAATTAATTCTTTTTTCTTTTGACATTCATTTATTTAGCTACTCTCATTTTTTGTTAAAAAGTGTATATAGTGAAAATTGAACTATAGAACCTTGTCCAATCATATATTGTTAAATGAAATGAATTCAAATGAAAAAACCGAATGAGGTTAGCGAAAGCCAGATAAAACCCTTTTTTGTATGACAGGATTTTAATTCTTTTTCTTTTGACATTCGCGTGTTTAGGCTACTTTTATTTCATTTTTTTAAACAAAAAGTGTATACAGTGAAAATTGAAATCTCCACCCTCGGACCATGGTCGACTCTGGAGGCAGAACTATACAGCCTTATCTAATCATGTTTAAAATAGCTCTAATGCCGTTTTGCTGAGTTTGACTGTTCTTATCCGGTTCTTACTCGTATAACAAATGTCTAAACAAAGGAAGGATGATAAGTTATCTTTTATTTTGGTTATACTAAATAGTTTCCTTGTTTTTATTCAAAATCAATTTTTAAAATGCAATCCATGCAATAAAACTGTAATACATTATTAAAATGCAAATGTTATGTTTTTTCAATAGCCATAGTTTCAAAGTGAAGTGTATATTGAAACATAAAAACCACACCTAAAGTAAATAACCATGTTGTGCTACAGATTTTAATAAGTAAATATTTTCATGATTTGGGTAGCCTTATCGTGAAATATGTTGAAAATAATATAACTTCCGTAGTTAAAACTTAGGAAGACGCGGCACATGAAGCAACATTTAGAATTGCAAAAAATGATATCTTGGTCACAAACGCAATGGATATTTCTGGCATCTTATCCTTCATCAAAAGGCTTCATTGCTCGTTCAATTTAGAAAGAAATGAAATACCATTGGACCAAGGATGCTAGTATCTTTGCTAAAGGGACATTTCTTTTTTACATCTTAGTTTACAGCAAATAGTCTTCAGTCCTATATCAAACAAATATGAGAGGGGTATTTGACCTTACCCTAGAAACCAGTTTTATAGTTTCTGTTTACATTAAGTGACTTATAACTTATTTTTGTCGCAGGTATAATATTTGCAATAAACGCGGCATACATTATTAGAAAACATTACGAAAAAAGCACGACGCCCATATAAGATATCAATTAAATAGATTAAAAGATCTGGATTCACAGCTGTTGCAGCTGTATTTTAATTATCTAATTATTGCCCATGGAACATTAGTTTAAATCTTTATTGACAAGACAGACGAAAACGAACTACAGGATATATATGCAGTACCTTCACCATCAGGTTTTCTGGTGATGATACAATTATCTTATCGGGTTTATTAAAGGAACTGGTTGACTAGTTATTTGCTTTCTAGTTGAAATATATCATATTCGCATACTGGACTTATCATTATGGAATACGTGGTTTCATCGAAGCTAGTAGAGTAAGTGACAAAGATCATAATCCAAACACTGTTAGAGAGGATCAGAACTGTTAACCTCATGTGATTGTAAACATGCCGAATATAATTGTATTTCAAAATGAATATCATCATCGTTCACATTTATGCTGTGTCAGTCTTCAGCTTGTGGAAATTGTTTTGATAAGTTTTCATGGTTCAAAACATGTTATGTTCATTCTTTCAGGGGCCCTTGGCGTGGTTTTGCAGGAGGCGACTTCACCCACCCCACAGAACATAAACCAATGGTGATCGACATCATAGGTTGCCACAGGGAAGTCACCGTCTGCGGGCATATAGAGCTGTTAAGGAGGCTACCGATCAGACACCGCAACCACCTGCAACTGATGGAGACGTATTCCCGGGAGCCGGGCAACTACGAAGGGAGACACAGCGAGTATTATGACAGCCACGCGAAGCTGCTGGATTACGGCCACGGATATATTGCTCTACGGTTGTACGATGATATAACCAGGCCTGAGCTTGGAGAGTTCCTGTTGGGGAAAGGTTGGAAGATGATCGGTTTTGCTGCAAATAAGGATGGGAATAAAACAATTATCACCGAGAAATGGTGCAATATTAGAGACCATTGATGAACACGATATTTAAGCTGATGATGGACAATGTGCATTCGATATTGCGGGGGATGGAGGAACTTCATCGGTGGAGTGTATATAGTTAGCATATGTAATCGTCTCATTTGCAAAACAGATTAGATACGACGTAATATAGTGTTCAACAGTACCAAAATATCTTTAGGCAGTACATGATCTATTTAGCTGATCTTCTTCCATATCAACTTCCTTTTTATCTGCAACCCTGCCCACAGGAAATGGCTTTCAACATTTTCTTCATTCTAGGCTTCAACTCGTTGCCCAAAGGCTCTGTTTGGCACTATTCCAATGGCTAAACTGGTAATGCCATTAGTATTTCAATCAAGCCGAAGCAAATATCAGAATTAAATCTGATGATCAAATTTGAAACTGCGAATACTTTGGATATTATAGCCATTAAAAAGTATAGGATACACTCATATATATGATTGTCAAAATTATGTGGGATGCGAGTCAAAAAGTATATCATACTACCCCACGTGACCACATTTAAAAAGGATACAGGGTACAGTTAAGTTGCAAATGAAGCGGGCCTTCTCTATCTTTGTCCATTGAGCTTTATTGGTAATAATGCGTTGCAAACTGCCCGATGGATCTATACAATGTATAGTAGAACACTTGGAATATATGTAAAATCTAGTATACCTCAGAACTATGAAAATAAACAAACGCCCTCCATTTGCAACTTCACTGTATCTTGTATTTCTTTTAAAAGAAGACAGGATACAGTATGGGGTCTAGTAGTGAGTATATAAGTATGAATAAATAACTACAACTACCATGTTGTCATTCATTGAGTCTTATTTAGTTATTTGAGGCTCTTTCAGGCAAATGTTAGCCTTGCCCCAAGTCGGTCTCTTTTACTTATCTTGATTTCTATTATGACCGTAATAATTCAAGATCAGATAAAGTAAAAAATACCGACTTGGGGCAAGGCTAGGCAAATGTCAATGACATGATAAATGAGACGCTATTTCCTAAAGTTCTAATGTTTGTAATAGTTAGTCACGAATCCTCCATTTATATCCTTCTGGCCATATTCTCGTTAAAGATAAACTGATAGACTGAAGTTACCATGTTGAATAAACGGTACATAAAAACTGTGAGTTTAATGCTGGTGTGACTCAAGGATCAATCCTGGTTCCCTTATTGTTGGAGAACGTAACATGGGAACCTATAGAATCATTCCGATGAATAATTCCCTCTGGTCTGTTTGACTACTTATTCACTTGCGTTAAATGTTGGACATGACCTATTTTTAAATTGTTATGTCGGGGTTTTTAGACTATGCGGCAAATTTCCGCACCTGGAACTACGTGCGATGTATTCAATACGTGCGAATGGCGAATAAAACACTATATTCGATATACGCTGTGTTAACAATAAGTAGATCAAATCAACGTTTTTTACACAGACAGCAATTCCCACAATGTACAAATTGATACACCATTCAATTATATTTCAACTCTAAAATGACTTGTGTAATACATGTTTATATATATTTTATTTCCATGAAAGGGGAACGGGTAGCTAAGGATCAATACTAACTACTAACTACTACATAAGTTAACAAATAGGAGACGAGAGATGTAAGATACGCCAGTTACGCACAGTTAAAGAAATGTCTCAACTTGAAACAACACTCCGTTGCTTTACATGACATCTATTTTCCTAAATTACAACTGTCACATTCTCCACTCTCTAATTGGTCTCTGTCTTACATGTGACTAGGAAATGATATACGATGCCACGTCATCCTTGCTCCAAGGGTATTTCACTTCTTTCTGTATTGAGTAAGAAATGAAGTCCTTTGAATGAAGGATGAACCACATTCTCCGGTTGTGAGTTTGTCCAGTGTAATATAAACCATATTCTTGAACGAAAATTGAATCAGTTTTATTCAGAGGCATGACTTCGAAATAAAAGACGATACAGATACTTAGTAAGACAAGCAAAGCCGCATTTATGGTAACCCTTCGAGAAAGTGAGGAATATTAACAGCGAATAATAAAAACACATATCTAATTCTATTTCCGATAAATACCTGCATCTTTTACAAGCAATATTTCCCGAAGCCCTCCATCTTTCACAAGTTTCATATTCTCCTTGCCATTCGGAATTCGAGGAATATTGCTCATGAAAGATATTCACCTCAATAAAATAATAGAGATAAAATGTATATTTACAACAAAGACAAATGAATGGATTGTCTACCTCACTAGCAGGTCTAAATATCTAAACTTTTATTTTCTTGTAAACAACCGATGATATAAATCACATAAAATGTTTCTGTTTGCAATTCGCAAATCTATTTTTTCTTGTCAACCCAATTATCCATAAGTGGCATCGGTCCCTCGGGCGCAGGCGCAGATTCACTTTTCTTCCAAACCACAGGTGGGCAGACCTTCCAGACACACAATGGGACTCCTGCAATGTAACGTGCAGATGTATCAAATGAGATGGATGTACAATTGTGCATTTAATCGACAGTTTACAAAACTAAAGGTGTTAAGTCCGGGTGCCACTTACAAATATAGCTTTGTATCTAATATAAAAGCCATCAATCTTTGTTCTTCCCTACCACAAAAATCTAATTAGTTAACACAGAAGACTGAGCTCTATGAATTATAAGTTCAGATTAGTTTACAGGTTCTGAATGATACGTACTTTTAGTTTGTCGCATTCCTCGTTTATTCATCTCTTCGTCATCTAGCATATTATCTGGAACACAAACATGATAGGTAAATTTTTGCAATATATGCACATGTATCATCTTCGTTCACTCGGCTCCCGTCGGTAGATGAACGCAGTGAAGATCGAGCGTGCGAAGATGCACATGTATTGAAACTTGATTGCATATAATCATCGTCTGATTATCTGACATGCATTTATAGCTGCTCTTTTTCTTTAAGATTTAATATGTAATAAAAAACTTAATTTTTCGTACCTAGTTACAACAGAAGTTCACATTTCAGATTAATGGTATAAACAAAAATACATTTTCTTATTGACTTCTTCAAACATTCCCTGGAAAACCCTAGTTGGAAAATGTAATGGTGTCGTGATTTGCAAATAAGCAGCCACTCAACCATTAAAGTTATCATGTTAGTGTACATTGCAAAACAATGTTTCTTAATTAAATTATGTTTTTTTTGGGTTGTTATATTTTATTTATTCATTTCTCTTATAATAAATCAGGTATGTAGAGTATCTAATAAAGGGATGCACTGGAAAATTCAGGAACGTTAGAACAACGAATTGTACATAGTATCTGTTTTATTAATGGTCTTGGTTTGGGTTAAAATTAAATGGAGCGTCAAATATTAAATTTTGAACCACGGTTAGTATAACATCCAGTAGAAACGGTGTAACGTCCTCTTGTTCACCGTGATCAAATAATTTGTTTAATATAATTGATACCAAGTTATGATATGCTCGTGTAGTAATGAAATATATCGTATCAGTTATCAAAACACATTACCACGTATGAATGTAGGCAATGAATGAGAAAATTAGCTGAAGATTTCTGTTACACTTTTGTCATCCTCTGTTCAATCGCCATCCAACATTTGCCTTGAGGTCTCTCTATTTCGTCGCTTTCCCATTTGGTAATATTTGTCTTAATAGGCAGTGTCTAATTTGACACTAATACGTATGCCTGCTCTAATGGAATTAGAAATTCCCAATTATTTATTTGTTTCAACAATGATACAGACAATAAAACGCCAGATTTGCATTCTGTTGAAATTTCATTAGATGTTTACGCATTCATCATATTTATCATATTTCATTTTTCCTAATGATATGTGAAAGAACGAACCACTATTTTACAATATGACATTTAGTTTTGTGAAGGCGTTTTTTGTATTACTGTTACTGATTAGAAGATGCATACAACTTTAATGATATCTCCGTTTATTTGGCGATTAACCATATAACGAAGCCAATTTATATGAAAGAGTGGGCCGTCCTAAATGAAGTCATCTCATGGTAATCGACAACGTAGCTGAACCGAAGTTCAATACTGTACTGGGGCATATTTCAAATTTTAACGTTCGAGGTTCTTACCATGTAAATATCGATTCCAAAGTCTTCGTAAAGGTACCTTCTAAAACCTCATTTGTATAATTACATGACATTTTTCATTTTAGAGCATTTAAGAGCGTCCTTCATGGGTCAAAACGTCAGAAATACGCCGTCACGCGCAACATATTACCTCTAGATTTGTTTCGGTGAAACAAATGACTCATGATATGGCAACAAAGCTACAAGTTCAATTACTGCCCGCTTTTTACAGACTGAGCAATGATACTTTAAATGGAATAATCTGATTGAACGTTTTTTTTAAATTTTGAAAACAACGAACATTTCTAAGACAACGGCTAAGTCTTATGTAAGTTTTGCAGTGGAAGGCATATTTCCTTTAAGTCAAACGTAACATTCAGTATTTGAGTTATACAAGTTTATTTTGAAAAGTAGGTAGTTACACTCCCCTCCAAAAGTTTAACAACCTAAGCTCCCCAATGAACTACGTGTTAAAGCCTCTTCATGTTTGCATTTTTATTTACATAACCTATAAAGAAAAAACTACTTTTAGAGCTGGAAATATAAATTGACATCATTGACATAAACCGATGGGAAATGGCGGGTTTGCCGCAATTCCTATGACAGAATATGTATCCATTTGAGCCCTTGCAAACATACAAGTTAGGTAGTCAATTGAATTTGTTAACTTTATTCCTAAGAATTTGATACATTTCTTCAGGCTCAAAAAAGTTGCAGGTCTTCAAAGTCAAAAATATTTTTCAAAAAACTCCTCTCATTGAAATAACACCGAAGGCGAAAATAACTTTGAAGCTCTGTAACTTTATAATTCAGAAAGTAAACTTTCTACAGGGTGTCCCGAAAGTATGGGGCCCCCCCTAGGCAGACATATTCCAGTGTCCTCATAGTATGTGTCATATATCATTTTAAAGCTTATCCAAAGTTACATTGATTTGCCAAGTATCATGGTTTAACTCCCAAATAGGAAAAAGTTACAGTTATTTCAAAAGTTAGTGTTTTGTCAAAATAAAGTTAAAATTTTCACCACATTACTAGTCAATGAGTCCCCCCTTGGCCATGTTAACAGCAGCAATTATTTTCAAATATGACCTTAAAAGCCCTTCCAAATAGGGGTGTGGAATTTTATAACCCTCTTAAAACCTGTTAAGGCACTTTAGAAGAGTTTCCTTAGAGTTTCTACCCTCACCGTTCTCTTTTTCCAACTCAATACCCATCCGACCCAAAAAGAATTGCTGCTGCTAAGATGGCCCGGGAGAACACATTGACTATTGATTTGGTGTAAAATTGAACTTAATTTTGACCAAACACTAAATTTTGAAATGTCTGTAATTTTTTCACATTTGAGAGTTCAACCATGATACTTGGTGAATCAATGTAACTTTGGATAAGCTTTAAAATGATATATGACACATACTATGACGACACTGGTATATGTCTGCCTAGGGGGGGCCCCATACTTTCGGGACACCCTGTATATACAGATTAATAAAAATATTTTTGGTGAATCTTTTACTGGGTAGATATTCTGAAATCAGATCTTCTCCGAACCCACCATTCCCATTGGTTTACATGGGTATGACGATTTTCACAAATTCATCAAAATCATTAATTTTCTTATTGTTTTTGAAGGGGAAAAATTGGAGGTATTGGAAAAAAAGTCAAGTTACATTTCCATCAATATCAAGTATTCTCCTCGTAGGTTATGTTCGTAGTGCAATGAGGGAGCCGAGGTTGCCAAACTTTTGGAGTGAAGTGTATTATACAATGGTTTCGTAATTTTGTTTTTTGGTAATACGAAAGATGATGTTTTGTATCGATTTCAGTATAGGAAGCACCTAAACGTATATCTTTTAAATTGGAGACAATGGTTTTTCGAACATTATGTCTTTTAACAAAATTCTTGAAATGAGCTGAAACCTGTAACTTGTGGCTAAACTAAATGCAATGTAAATGGATATAATTATCAGCAATTACATAAGCGAAAAGATTAAATGCAATCTAACAAAGATATATTAGTAATATTGATGAAATTACTCTCTATTTATGATTTTACAATAACTGCTTTGAATAAATACTTTTCTTAACATTCATTTTATCACTTCCTGCCATTTCTTGCGGAATTTGCCGACATTTTAACAAAAAAAGTTTTCAAATACTTCAATCTAAAATACACAATTTTTTATAATACCACTGTATTCTGAGATCATGATTTTAAAATAGTAGTCACCAAGTAAGTACCTTTTGATTAAGGAATACCAATAGAGAAAGTATTTGGATGTACTAGTCCTTTAAGTACCTTTTTGATTAAGCAATACCAATTGAGAAAGTATCTTGGTGCAATATTCCTTTAAGTACCCTTTTGATTAGCAATACCAATAAAAAGTATATGAATGTACCACTCCTTTAAGTACCCTTTTGATAAAGCAACACGTACCAAAAGGGAACGTATATGGATGTACTATTCATTTAAGTACCCTTTTGATTAGCAATACCAATAAAATGTATATGAATGTACCACTCCTTTAAGTACCCTTTTGATAAAGCAATACGTACCAAAAAGGGAACGTATATGGATGCACTATTCATTTACCTTTTGATTAGCAATACCAAAAAAAGTATATGAATGTACCACTCCTTTAAGTACCCTTTTGATTAAGCAATACGTACCAAAAGGGAACATATATGGATGTACTATTCATTTAAGTACCCTTTTGATTAAGCAATAGAATAGAGAAAGTATTTGGATGTTCTACTTCTATAAGTATCCCCTTGTTTAAGCAATACTAATAGATCCACTGTACTACTATACTCCTTAAAGTACCCTCTTGATTAAGCAATACCTATAGCCTAAAGTATTTCTGCGCCTTGGGGTAATTACTAAGTATATTCATACATAAAAACGATTTATTGGCAATATCGCTTATTATTCCTTTAAAACGAGCCCTCTTGGCCATGATGGTAACATATATAAATCAAAGTATAGCGTGTGAGACGCACGTCTGTTCATTTTTATGATATACTTTGGGGCAAGATGATGTGATTGAAAAACCACAACCAGGATTGCCATAAAATATTAAATACTTTTTTTAACAGATTTGTCACGATTGATTTGTCAAATTGTTAGGAAAAGGCCAACTTCTTAAAAGTTTGGGCAAACTAACTAGTCTCGGTTACGAGAACGAAGTTATCAGTCTACTGCACGTTACGCCTGCTTCGGACAATTGTTATACTAGTATTTTTACATATTGTAGATTTAAATGTCCTCTTTTGAATATTCATAATTTAATTTGGGTGATATTTCTATATTTTTCATAGAAAGAATTATTAGCCCAGGAGACTCTTCTCTTTTAGCAATTTCTTTTGCGTCTCCGTTGATTTTTTTAGCTTGAGTCAAGGTTATTGGGGGTAGAGAGGGGCAAAGTTATGATAGTTGGAACTTGATGCCAATAAAATTAAAATTCATAAAATATTGATTTCTAGTATTTTATTTCATGAAAATCGAGCCTTTTTTGATGTAGTACATAAGTTATGAATTTATAAAGATAAAAAAAACAATTAATCGCCAAATATTCGCGAATCGCGTTCTCTTCACGATTTTTTTTTTTTTTCAAAAAACTACTTAATGAATTTTATTTTACATATTCCTGAATGTCTATTTTTACCATTTTCCAAATTTACGATTTTTTTTCTATTCTCCCCTACCTCCAATTTTTCAATTTTACTAAATTTCGATGAATGTGCCGTTGTCATGTGGTTGTTAGGTAACATCATTGACCGAAATTATATTGGAACAATACCAAGTCATACATTTATACATCTGCATACTAAATCACTGATTGGCATTTGTTGTACATCTTGAAATATGAACGCTAAAGTAGAACTTGAAATTGCTGACTGTTCAATTTCACGTTATATTGATTACATTGGGATTTCGCGATAACTGCTATCTTTGAAAGTGTATAACTTCAGTTCTAGATAAGCTTATTCCATGATTTTATTTGAAAGATAATAGATTAGCAGCGAAGCATTTTTTGGCACCAAAGAAATTATTGTGAAAGAGAATTGACAATTTATCACAAAATGTCAAAAATTCACACCTCCTAGGTCACGTTGACCTCGAGTTGACCTTTGTCGACCCCCTTTTTTAAAAAATCAAAAATTTTCTGAAGAGGAAATTGAATAAGGTTTAAAACAATACCAACAGATTGAAATCAGACAAGTAATAAAAAATCGCAGGGGGACCCCCCCTTCCCCTTGCGACTTAGAAGTTAACTCTACTAGTAGAGTACTATAATGATGCATGATAAGCCGATCGTATTGAGCAATTCGGCGAAACCGCTTGTACCGAAAACAAATTGTTAAATCAATTTGGTAGTTGAATTAGTATAGGTTACATCTGCATTGTACCATTGTCGTGGGCATGAAGACAATGAGAGTTGATGGAACAAGCGATCACTGAGATTTAATCAATTTAAAGTATCTGAACCTCTTGGATGAATTGGGTAGAACGACAACTCAGTCAATGGGAGCTTATATTCGAAAATTAATGAATTAATATATTCTAAATAATAATTATTTCTGAAGTAAATCCACCTACCAATATTTAAGGAATGTCTTTTTTGGTTATTTCCATTAGTTTCGTAATCTGCCAATAAAGCTTTTCTTCCTTCTATGGGACCTGATAACATTTTGTGAATCAGCATGTTTTCGCTGTTTCGCATTTCGTGTAGTGTATCTATGATATTTCCTAATGGATTGTCCTGTCAAGAGCAAAATAACACAACGAATAAATTTTGATTTTAGCAAGTACTTTTCATTCCTGTTCAAGAGAGACAATCTGAAACAATTTTGTGAATTGTCCCAAATATTGTTATCCTCTAAGTCGCAATGGCGCAAATGAAATACAAGATGAACTATATGTTCACTGCCTTACCTGTTTCGTAAAAGATCGCTTCGTTCGTGAGATTGTAGCAGCTTCGTTTACAGAGATGAAGAAGCAACTGAAGACGAGGAAGGAAATCATATCCTGCTTTCCTCCCATTTTCTAGTTACTCCCGGTGCTAGTCTAAAAAACGTCTCTGCTGAGCTGCGTCGTTTTCCAAAGAGCGCTTCTTGTTAGTGATTATTGCGCCAAATAACAAGGTCCGGGTGAATATATCTAAATATATCCCATTACATACTCCTCGTTGGATCTATATATCTTGTTAAATTCAATTGAATAAAACTAATGATAATACACAGGTATACTAAAATAGGATAACGCCCGGCTAAAGTGCGCTCCGAATGTGTGTGATTTATACTTCTTTTAGTAGTGATTTGAAACGAGAAACATCTCGCATCCTTTTATGACAGAACGTAGGGAAGCCTCGGGTCATTTTTAACATCGGAGTATCGAGATGTACCCAACTCCTACCCGTAAAACTGACGTAGAAATTAGGATTATCGTATCATCAAAGCTATTTTTGTCATGACAATTTCATTTAGGCCTTTACTTGGACATATATTGCGTCATGAAAATCAACATATTTATTACAAACCTACACTTTATTAATTATTAATTCAATAAACTAAATTAATTTACTTCATTGTTTATTTATGATTAATTGCATTCATTTTTTCAAAACAATTATTTGATTAGTCTATATAATATACTATACTAGTACTAATGCTCCGAAATCGGAGAAATTAAAAGAAAAACGACTTCGCTATTTCAGTACGATGTTACTAATCACAGGATAATCATTCTGATTTATAAGTCTCTCTTTCATCTATAAAGCGTGTTCCAAGGGATAGTAAAGACTGTTGATCCCACAATGCAGGATAATAGACTATTTGCAATGTATGCGGTTGTCTATGACATTTAAATATATTTTGTTCCACAGTATTCAATTAAATATATTATGTAAAATTTAACTGTTGGCGTTCATACACCCATTTGGGTGTCGTGGCATATACAAATGTAAATGTACAGGGTGTTTCATAATGACCGTCCCCCATCCACAGCCAATCCTAGATCACGTGGCCCCATAATCTAAATGACATAGTAAAGGTTTTTTAATGGATTTTTATTTCAGTTCAAAAAAGACATATAGTAAAGGTTATTTAATTCTGGACTTATGTGCCAAATGTTAGCATGCCTGGTCAATGAAAACATAATTTGTAAACTTATGTTTGATAGTCACTTTACCCTCAGTTTATGTGATTTGTGGCTACCATTTTTAATGGATTAAAGAGAGGAGCATATTGCTATATAATCCATTGAATCACCAAGAGCTCTCTGGGTAATTCTTTGAAATATTTAATACTTTTGTTTTTCAAATATCATTGGGATATATCTCCAGCATCCATCAAATGTTATACGTTTATTGTACATAACTTTATATAATAGTGTACATGTATTGAGGCATGGTTATCATAGCTGTTTGCAGGGCACGTGGCTAATTTTGGAAAAAACGTAGCTATCAGATTCTATGCTAAATGTAAAATGGGTACCTTTTGTAGAGGGGTATAGCAAGTTGTGAAGACTATTGAGCCTATTCAAAATTGTTTTAATTAGTCCGGATCTAGAATTGAACAAGCTTTCATATGATATATAACATATGCTGGTATGCTATTTGGGATTGGTGGTTACTGCTCAGGTCGATATAGTAAAATAAATGCCTTCTAATCTAGCACTAATACCCCTAGGACAGGCCCGGTAAGGTGGTTATAATACAATTACAATTTACAATACAATATAAATACAATACAATAGTAATTACAGTTTTCGCAAAGATGGATATGACGTGTACTTCATAATATTAAGAAAAATGAAATGCCATTAACCGCAAGATCAGTCTCAGTCGTAAATTCCGCTGGGATACGTGGCTATTTTTTCCATGCGTAGACATCTATGTTGCATTGAAATTTGACAATGATATTTGAGATTGATTTGACTTTGTTGATATTAGATTACCATATATTTGCATTCGTTCGACTTCACTTCTTAAAAGAGAGCCTCATCTTTCTCTACATCTAGTCTGTGCGCAGGGTAATATTAGATATCTAGATGAGATAATTCTAAATCAAAGTTATCTTGGCTGCACTCTTGAATCACAAAATTCCAAGTAAGTCCCAGAAGGATTTTTATATTATTTTATAAAACTGCCCCAAACCGAATGCGAATAATCGACAAGGAGACATGATACGACAAAAATGAAATCAGTTGCTGGACAAAATGTTTGCTCCTCCCTTGGCCTATTCATAGTTATGCGTTAGATAAAGACCTCCTCCGGGTAGAGACAGTGGAGAATCGCCATGATGACAATAATAAGGACTTCAAACTAAAGAAATCATGCATGATTTTGAACAAAATGAATACGTTCACTGAAGATCCATGCGACTGAATGAGAGGGTTACTGGTGCCGTAACCACAAAATAAAATTTACTTTATTAAAAGATGTCTCTGTTTTCCTAGAATCGTAAGGAGAAAGCTGATCGTAGGATGCAACAGTTATTCATCGTGTAATATGTTTTTTCATCAAGAACCTACCCAATATCAAACTATTGTCGTTGTTAAGTATCTAGCCCATTTTTAATTTGACTCTCTAGACGGATTTTTATATTTATATTGTAAAGTATTAAATATACTTAAATGGGCTTTTTATGCTATTTTATGCTGTTTTGACTTATGACTTCGAAATTAAGGAAAGAAACTCATAAGAGAAAAGAATTATGCACTGTTCTTTATCCTGTGGGTTTACTATAGAATTATGCCTCTGTAACGAATCTGCATATGCATTTGCATTATGTTCTGTGTGTGGTTATACGCTAGTCATTCACGGGGTTCGCTTCTGTTTACCACACATACGGTGCCCTGCCTCCTCACTCATCAATCATCCAACATGACAAATTCTAGCAAAAGATTCTATGCTATTGACACTATTAATTTTCAACGGTTCGCCTGCCTTTTCTACGTCTGTCTAACCCTAAAGAAGTCAGCCAGGAGCCGTAAAAGTGTCATCTGCTTGCATCTGACAAATGGGGACACAAAATATTAAGAACAAGTGAAGTATATATCGATGCGACATTTCTAGTTTTAGATGGCTAACTTTGAGCAATAATACATGTTTATCAGTTTTAATTGGCGTTAATTTACGGAAACGGATCGCTTATCAGTAGAGAGGCAAATCGTCCCAGGAATCAAAGTGACGAATCGGATATATCCTAGTTTATTGCCATTAATACCTGCAATTAAAACGATAAGTTGATTAGAAATAACAACAAACACTTATCTCCGTAAATTTCCAGAATTTTCATCAAGCAAATGGACAATTGGATACGAGGATAATATTTTATGAGAAATCAGTTTCATCAACCAAATGGACGATTGAATACTAGGAAAATTTATGAGATTTAACTTTTAAGACTTATCTGACATAATTACAAAAGTAATCGTCGTGTTGTTTTGTCGTCACGCTTCTGTGGAAACCATCACGTACGCTTCCTATATGTGGGCAAAACACATTATTTAGATGGTATCAAACCGTATCTCAACACATTATTTCAGCATTTAGTAGAGGTTAAATATACCCTAAGGAAACGTTTTTTGTTTCGAATGACTTTTTAGCGTGTTGACTAAGAAACCCAGTGGTGGGAAAAACCCATATAGGCTCTATAAACTCGACCAACCCAGACCAACCACATAGTAAGAAACTCGAAATATTTCGGCAAATCTGATGGGGTTTTCTCTTGCTAGCTAGATTACAGTGTATGTTTCTAAAGCCACCATCTGCGTAGCACACTTACAGGGTGGTAGCTAGTTTCAAACAGAGATCGCTAAGGATTAGACGCTCCATCGCTCAGCGGGATAACTCAAATATATACCTTATTTAGGATGTATTACTATAGAACAATGCAGAAGAAACACCTGTATACCTTACTGATGTTCATGTTACTCTTGGAAGAATGTTATGCTGCAGCGGGAATAAAATGGCTGTAAGTTAGATACAACTACTTACTTAAATTATCTGTTTGCAAAACCGCTCATTAATTAGGAACTACATACCCCTATTGACGTTCTGTTTTCTTTGGAGCTGAAATGCACGGATAGCAATGACAGCTTTGAAGATATATAGGAAACAGTTACTAACGCTCAAATTGATTTTAATGAATATTTTGATTTTGTAAGAATTGTAAGAATTCTTTATTTCAGTTATTTTGTTCTTTTTGTTATTTTCTTTTCATAATTCATTTTTTGGCATCATACTTTCGTCGGTGTACAAATTTTAGTTTACCCGTATCTGTTTTTCTGATTTGACTTTTAAACATCTATGATGAATGGGAAATGACTTTAATATTCTGACATGCTTGTCACTAATGCACATTAAGGTACACTTATACCTTTATTTTTAATCACTGACAACCATACTATAATTGTGAAGAGTGAAAAGCGTCTGAGATATCTTGTCAAGCCATGTTATAAATTCAAAGAATCGTTATTTAAATATTTCAAATGATAAATGAGTCATTTACTGCATGGTATGCATGTTTTTAATGATATCAAATTAGTATACACTGATACGGAACATATACGCTGATGAGACGTTTTATCATTTTTCAAATCGGTCTTCCAACAGACCCCCATATAATCATTATGAAAAGGTACAAATTTCTGTAGATGTAAATTCATCCAAATTTTGCATATTTAAAACCAAACATAATATTAGACAGGCTCTAGTTGTACGACAAGATGTACGGTGTAAATTCTGCATTTAACCAAAGCTGGCTCTGTAAAATTCAATGTTCGACATTTGTAAACGTGGAAATGATAATTTAAGACTGATGATGAATGGTGTCATAATGACAAATTGCCCCGGCCTTCAACTGCAACCAGCAAATTATCACAAACACATTTCAATGAACGAAAGAATGTTCCAAGCTCTAAATCAACTTTGTTGAATCCGAGTAGTGCTAGGGGCTACTGAGTATGATTTTCCCCACCTTTTGAGATCCTGACAGGAACTTGAAGTTCAACCCCTTAGCTAATCTATTTTGTTATTTTCCACACTGTTCTTCCAGTTAATTACTTCACTCATGCATTGGTGGAATCAAAATTGTAATTATCATAAAAGAACTTGGAAAACTTGTGCAGTCGATTCTTAAATGTCTGGGATTGTGGGTGTTTTCTGGTTGAAAGTACGTATACGACCCTTATATGTACATTACTTGTAGGGCTCTTGGATTATCACAGACCATACCACGTATACAAGATGAAACAATTTGTGATAAACTAACTGGACTAGTGAAGAAACAAAAACACATCTGCAGACAACAAATAGAGGTGATGGACAGCGTCAAACTCGGAGCGTCCATGGCTATTAAAGAATGCCAGTTCCAGTTCAGAAATAGACGCTGGAACTGCAGTACCGTGGACCCCGTATCTGTCTTCGGTAATATTTTGAATCAAGGTAAGGGTGCTGGTAGTATGCATCCTGAACCTTACAGGCCTGTTTAACAATTTGAGAATTAAAGGATGGGTCCCGTCTCTGGCCTAGGTCTCTTCGGTGTTCTGCTCCACCATACCAACCTTATCAAACTTGTTCACAGCAGTCACATGTTAGCATGTTAGCCAAATCGTGTACCCATTAGATATTTTCAAAAATCATCTTCATTATCGAGAATTGGACCCATCCTTTAACCATGGGCTTTCAACTTTTCTGTATTGTCATAATTATGATGAATTCCTTTTTTATTAAATTATCAACATGCATGGAGATAATCATGTTTTTATTTTCGAGTTCTTTCTTTAAATCATCCATAAAAAGTAAAAAAAAGATCTTTTTGGAATGTGTACATTCTACAATTTTGAAAACCCAAAGGCAATGCTTATGTATGTGAACTATCGGAAGTTGCCTACCCTTCTAGTTGAAAGTGAAGGCCCGTGCTTTAACCAACTACTGTCTGAATCTAGAAAGTCTGGAACAAGAATAAACAAATGAAAATTTATATAATAAAAATCTTAATAATTAAATAGAGTGAAGTGTGTGGGGATAGTATTTAAGATGTCAACTGTGGAAATTACTTTACAACTCGTCCATGATTGGGTAGACAAAAATAACCTTGTAAAACTGGTTCCTCGGGGTATATAATTTCGTGACAATAAGTTTGTGTGCATGTAATCTGGAAACAAATACAATATAACGTTAATGTCGTGACTCATAGTGCCCTGTCTCTTTACTTACCACTAGACATACCTGTAATTAAATCCCAGGTTAATTAAAAGTATAGTTCAATAGTTCAATATTGATGGTTTTTATTTCCAAATTTAGAATGACATCATAAAAACGTGACCCTATAGTTTTTCATTAGATCACTAGACCATGAATATACCTACACTCCCCTCCATAAGTTTGGCAACCTTTTTTCTCCATTGAACTACGTGTTAAAGCCTCTTTACGTTTGAATTTTTATTTACTTAACCGGCGATGAAATAACTAATAATATTAATGGAAACGTAATTTGACTTTATTTCCAATACCTCCAAATTTTCTCAATTTTTTTCCTCAATTACAATAGGTCGAAAATTGATGATAAATTTGATGAATTTTTGAAAATCGTCATTCCCATGTAATCCAATGGGAAATGGAGGGTTCGGGGCAAATCTGAAATTAGGATATCGTTTCAGTAAAAGATTCAGCAAAAAATATTTTTATATAGAAAATTGAATTGTCTAACTTTTTTGAACACTAAGTGTTTAGTTTATTTGATGAATATTAAAGTTACAGCGCTTCAAAGTCATTTTTGAAAATAATTTTTCGCCTCCTGTGTTATTTCAATGGGAGAGTTTTTTTGAAAAACAATTTTGACTTTAAAGCCCTATAACTTTGTTGAACCTGAAGAAACATATCAATTTTTTGTTAAATAAAGTTAGCAAATTCAATTACCTGCCTAACTCGTATTTTTCGCAAGGACTCGGATGGATGGATATTCTGTCATATGACTTGCGGCAAACCTACCATTTCCCATTGGTTAACATGGAAATGTCGATTTTCAAAAATTCATCAAATTCATCATCAATTTTCGACCTACTGTAATTGAGGAAAAAAATTGAGAAAACTTGGAGGTATTGGAATTAAAGTCAAATTACGTTTCCATCAATAGTATAAGTATTTTCATCGCAGGTTAAGTAAATAAAAATTAAAAGGTAAAGAGGCTTTAACACGTAGTTCAATGGGGGAAAAAAGGTTGCCAAACTTATGGAGGGGAGTGTACGTACCAGAACTTAGATGACTAGAAATCATCAAGTCAAGTCATCATAATTCTTATTCATTTAGAAACTATTTTTACCTTGTTTACAGTGCACGTCAACGATCCGGTACAAAATGAAAATCAGAGGGTCACAAATGTCAAAGGATAGGTATCGATATGGTGAACTGAATTCAACAATGTTTTTCTATTAAACCAATTATTGAAAACATTCTGTAAAAAACACGGTATTTTATGTAATGTTGACTGATTGACAACAATTTAATGCGAAAATTATTTAGAAATATTTTATATAACTGTTTTTGTTTACATTTTTGTTTTTTAATGCAATTGTTTTTGCTCCTTTCTACCAATTCTTGAGAATGAAATAAAATGTCTTTCCGAATCTTGTTGGAACAAAATAGCATATACAACATGTTTTTTGACCTATCAATATAATAGTTATACAAACGAAATTTTGGTTGATTTTAAAAAAGTATTCAAAAAATTAAAACAAAATCAAGATAAACCTTTTATTTCATTAACAAGATACTTTTTTAAAATCAACCAAAATTTCCTTTGTACAATAACAATATTGAGAGACCTAAACATGTTGTGTTTATCTCGTTGTTTTGTTCCAATAAGGTTCGGAAAGATGTTTCATTTCACAAGATGGAAACATGATACCAAGAACAAAACAAATGTTTGTGTTTTCTAAAACAATATAGATGAACGTATATATATATTTTTCAAATTATACTGTTACCATTCAAAAGATGACCATTCAATTGACGAGGTGTTAAATTTTTAGATTTTTTATGACTGGTTTAAGAGAAACGTGTGTTCAAAAAGTTCACCATATCGATTCCACTCCTTTCCGAAAATAGCATAATATGGTAACACCTGTAAAACCATGTGAATAGTCTAGCTACAACCCCGTGACCACAAGGTTGTTAGAGTAGATAGTACAGGGTTCTGAAGCAAGACTACCATGTGAATATTCTTATGTCATTTCTCTGAAACAATTATATTTCTTATCAAGTATACTCCATTTCAGGTACTAGAGAAGTTGCCTTTGTGCATTCAATATCGTCTGCAGGCGTCTCACATACCGTCACCCGAGCTTGCAGTTCCGCGAAGCTTACGAAATGCGGATGTGACCGGACGGTTAGGGGACGGAGTTCCAAGGGATTTGATTGGGCTGGATGCTCGGATAACATCGCATACGGAAATGCATTCTCCAAGACGTTTGTAGACGCTAGAGAGCGGGGGAGAAAGGGGGATGGGGGAAGATCGTTGATGAACTTACACAATAATGAGGCTGGTAGACAAGTAAGTCCTACAATGTTATTGTCACAAGTATCCAGATTAAGGTTAAGATTGAGCAGAAGAGTAACATGGCAATGGGGCCTGTACCCACACATTAAAAAGTTAATGAATTGACTCAAATAATGTGAGAAAACAAAGGAGTTGACTGAAATCCTCCATTTTCATTGGTTCATTGGTTAAATAATCTGACATTTTAAGAGTAATACGACGCAGAAATGCCAGTCACAAAGTAGCCCCATTCTTGCTATCTAAAAACTATTTTCCAAACTATTCATACCAAGAACTGAATATTTTTGAAGTGCCTGGTTCAACACACCCTTACCAGCGATATTCCCAGTGAATCCATTTGTCATTGTCCATGTATACATAACAAGGTCAGCGTGAATGAGAACAAGAGCATGACGTTGGTATTTATTTAGGGTGATTTGGGGAATACCCTTTGACCCAGGGGCTGTCAGTAAAAACCATCCTCTATGGATCTGGAATAATATAACAGTTTAATATTGATACGATCTTAATGACCTCAATTAACCTTTATGGCATTTTACTGGAGTTTACGAAAGAAATGTCAGGTATGAAAGGTAGATAATAATACATCTTGAAAAAAACTCGATAAAAGAATATCTCTTATTACCTACCCTTTGCATTCGTCTGACTTGGTTCCTCAAAAGAAATCGTCGTCTTTGTCGTAAGTACGTTTAGAACTAAACTCCGCGCTCGGGGTAATTTCTTATTTTATAGAGATGGATAGTTAAAATTCCTTTCATAGCAGGCCCGGAGCCAGGATTTGCCAAGGGGTTGTTCAGTTTTCAAAAGTTTCCAGGGGGGTTCACATTTGACAATTTTGGCCCAAATATGGCTAAAATCACTTGAGAAGTGATAAAAATGGTGAAAAACTGCATGATTTTGAAAGAATTTTTGGTCAGGGGGGGGGGGGTTCGCTGGCTACGGGCCTGCATAGGATATTAGTTTATTGTGCTTAGACAAGCTCCTGGTTATAATTTGTTATTCTTTATTTTCATGTCATGATACTGTCGTTGACAAAATCCATTTTGAAAGTCAGTAAGTCAAACTGAATATATATAGTAATAGGTTTGTGTGTCTAGAACATTTCATAATTGAACAGAAAAACCTCAGAGTTTTCACAAAAAATATTGCCCCTTATCGACAAATCGATAAATGTGCTTATGTTTAAAAACTCCAATTACAAATTGGTAAATAAAAGATACATACATACATACTATGAAATCATTTGTGACATTTATCTCAGCTTTCCAATGGTGTATTGAAACTTAGCTTAATGCTGATAGAATTATCTAATCTCTTACCTCAGAGTACATGTAAATAACGAATTTATTTCTTTATTGAGGGTATTTCGAGATAAATTATCAGAATTTGATTAGAGATTGGGGGATTAACTCATTATATTCCTGGTGGTGTGACTTTGACATTGACGAATTGCAGAATTATTCCTAAATCTACCGGGAATAATTACGTGTGTACTGGAATATTTTCTTATTTTTTCAGTTCACCTTACAAACCCCACGTTTCAAACAGTAATGTATTTCTATGTTCTCACTTCTACTGTTGCCCAATATCTGACATATTACTGCTCTAGCTCTGGGCTGTTTGCGCCAGGAAAACATAAACTTATCTGTTTTGTATTTAACGCTTTGATGCGCTTTTCTGCCCAAATCTTCCGACGTTAATTGTGTGAATGATACAAATGCCAGAGTTGCATTTGCGATACTTCTAGGTATCATGTCCCGCCTCCAGGCGGCTCTAACGATGATACACTAAAAACGGATCTGATAATCCTTGGGAGGTTTCAATTTGATCTAGAAAAAACTTTAAAATGTAAACTTTTGGTTATTTTTTACATGTCTTATTTGTTTTTGCTCAGTTGTGATTCAGTTCTTGTTGATTTGATTGGAATTCATTGTTTTTGCATATCTTACAGATAATAGTAGTTCGACTGGAACATGTTTTAATTAATTACCACAATGAGAAACACGCGCAGAGAGTTGTTCTGAGGTAGGGTCTTACAGCTGAAGAATCGCAGATTTTTAGATACATATCACTCTGAGGATACAGTCTACGACAGCTGTATGCGAGATTAACATTCGTCTTACATGTCAGGGCACCAAGCATTTGTTGAAGAGCCACGGGTCTTCGTTTATTTACTTGGAATCCTGATACATAATATCTAATTAAAGAAAGCTGCTTTAAGTATGAGGAACCCATCTCTGAACAAGTTGTGGTTGCTAACCGTGTCTCGAAACGACGCGAAGCAAGGCGTATCATTGCATTTATAATCCAGAGAGAGATGAAACCTGTCAAATGCTCTGATGATATTGTTGCTAAACATTTCTGTGGCTCCTGGGCTCTTATTACAGTCATAACAAAAGTCAGAGAGGAGGTTCATTCACAGTTCTGTGATCTCTCTGTGATGGTCGTTCCGGTGGCCACCAATTGGAACTTGCTGTGACGCACGATGGTCGTTCGTGGCCACCAATTGGAACTTGCTGTGACACACCATGGTCGTTCGTGGCCACCAATTGGAACTTGCTGTGATACACGATGGTCGTTCGTGGCCACCAATTGAAACTTCCTGCAACACATGATGGTCGTTCTTGGCCAACAATTGAAACTCGCTGCCACAGTTTTCATTGAACAATTTGATGTGCAATGCCAATGACATTAGTTTGGTTGTGATTGTCCAACGAAAAATAACTCAGTTGAAGAATGCTGCTTTATATATCGTCATTCGTTGAAAGAATGGAGTTCATTGACTAATGGCTGGTGGTTCCCAGAATTAGGATCCGGGTTGTCAATGTATATACTTAAGACTTTATTACATTGACGATGTGGGGTGGCCAAATGAACCATTAAATAACATCATCAGGGCAACTATACGAGGTTTATCTCCCTATTACTCAGCCTGAGTCAAGTTCTACGATGTTGTAAACATTCTTAATTACAAATGCCCTCGTATTATCTGTTACCGTACCCTTAAATCCAGCGTAATTAGTTGTAACTCGTCCCTAAAGTGAGGCTCGACGAGGGCTGTCTTTGAACTTTGTGGTTTAAGGTCATAAAATAAAAAAGTAGTTAGATACCTCTTTTAAACATTGTTAAGTACACCGCTTGGTTACTACTTTGCACTGCAAGTTCTCTTCGAAGAGAATTACAATATATAAAATGTATAGTATGAAGATTTGAGAAATTGATTTCTCCTTAAATCCACAAAATACAAATATTACAACAGGTATAAGATGTAATTTTTCGAAGGGGTCTAATTTTTTATGCTTTGTCTCAAAGAATCAATTTTGAGCGATATCACAAACAAGAAATGTGCCAAAAGTCGAAATTCGGTCAACCAGCTCATGACAAAGGTTGATCATAGAATGCTCCACTCATCTTTCATTCTTTTACGATTGATTCTATTTTTAGATCGATCAGGCCTAAAAATAACTTATTTCAAATTAACTATGTTCATCTACTGTCTTGATGAAATATAATGACGTAATTGGGCTTGTATTTTCTATTGCTATGTTGTGCCAGTCCATCAGCGGCTTATCAAAAACACGTCTTTAACACTTGGAATCTTTGCAGAATAACTGCGCGTTTTGCAAAAATTCAGACAAGGCTTTCAGACATAAATTTGACACATGCTTCCAACCGTCATCAGGTTTGGATTGTTCAGCAGACGCTATGTCAAAATAGAAGCATTTGAGAAGTATCTACCATTGACAAGTTGTGCTTTAAACTTGAGGTTATCATTAATTAAAGGAATCTTCAACAGGTGCTCTTTTTCACCTGGATGACGATACATAAACAATAAACAGTCTGCATCATGTTACACCGTTGGGGAAATATTTTGAAACATGTTATACCTCTAAGCATACTGTTATAGCAATGATCTCACGTTCAGTCTGGGAGAGTTTGAAGGTCCATAGACTTGTATCAACAGTATTTCTCCCCCAACTAGTAGGACTTATATATATTGGATAAATGCGGTTGAATAATTACACACGAAATGAATAACAAAAACCCAAAACATTGAAACCAAGTCTCTGGAAAGATCACAAATAGTAGGTAAAGTTTTGATAAAATTCCCCATTAGATGATGGGAGGTCAAATCTGTGTGTAAGTTTAGGCTTACCGGCCTTTCCTTCATGTTCAATTTCTGGATATGGTCAAATAAACAAATGGACCTTCGGATGTATCCTCAAACATTTCCATTTGGCAGAAACAATGTTCAAAAGCAAATGGACATATATCACTCAGAATATATAGACTACAGATGGTCTGGTGTGTTTCTCTTATTGTTCACAAGAGTAGGTACTATCTGTGGACTGGAGCGGGCAGAACCACTTTTGACGTTTGACCAGCGTATGGCTGGTTTTATCAGATACTACCCTATTACCAGCATTTACTATGGGTCAGTGCTTCTCAGATGCTTCATGACTTCATTCTGAAGTATCCACTAGTGATTTTATCTTGCATTCTATTGAAGGAATGATGTTATCTGGCGTTCTATTGACAGACATAATGTTCATTTGTGCCTGATGTTGAAAGATAGCGATATTTCCAAGACGTGGTAAATAGAAAATGATCTAGAGTCAAGAGTAGCACTTGGCTCGCCTCAGTACTATAACCATACTATACCAACCAAGTAAACTTTAAAAACACCATATCATGTCTTGATAACTTTCAAATATTTCAGTCCAATGTGCTGTCAGTCAAATGTTTCCCTATCTCGCAAGCATCCTCTTTAGTAATGATATTTGCAACATTTTATGTTCCCTGAAACTGATGCCTAATAATTCTTGTCAGATTTCTGTCAGATGTTTACCACAAATAAATCGCTATTGTAAGAGTTGTTGATTTTGAAATTGAAATATCGCTATTTAAATCAGTAAGTCAGGAAATGGTTATTTTTATAATAGTTTGTCTCAGATACTAGTAGTTGAGAAATAGCGAAGTTTGTTGTTTATAGC